ACTTATGATTATTACGGATAGGCAGCCATGCCTCAGACTCTACGGAACTGAACGGAAAGGGTCGAGTAGATGACGGACACTTATGTTTATTACGGATAGGCAGTCATGCCTCAGACTCTACGGAACTGAACGGAAAGGGTCGAATAGATGACGGACACTTATGTTTATTACGGATAGGCAGTCATGCCTCAGACTTTACTGAACTGAACGGAAAGGGTCGAGTAGATGACGGACACTTATGTTTATTACGGATAGGCAGTCATGCCTCAGACTTTACTGAACTGAACGGAAAGGGTCGAGTAGATGACGGACACTTATGTTTATTACGGATAGGCAGTCATGCCTCAGACTTTACTGAACTGAACGGAAAGGGTCGAGTAGATGACGGACACTTATGTTTATTACGGATAGGCAGTCATGCCTCAGACTCTAAGGAACTGAACGGAAAGGGTCGAGTAGATGACGGACACTTATGTTTATTACGGATAGGCAGTCATGCCTCAGACTCTACGGAACTGAACGGAAAGGGTCGAGTAGATGACGGACACTTATGTTTATTACGGATAGGCAGTCATGCCTCAGACTCTACGGAACTGAACGGAAAGGGTCGAATAGATGACGGACACTTATGTTTATTACGGATAGGCAGTCATGCCTCAGACTTTACTGAACTGAACGGAAAGGGTCGAGTAGATGACGGACACTTATGTTTATTACGGATAGGCAGTCATGCCTCAGACTTTACTGAACTGAACGGAAAGGGTCGAGTAGATGACGGACACTTATGTTTATTACGGATAGGCAGTCATGCCTCAGACTTTACTGAACTGAACGGAAAGGGTCGAGTAGATGACGGACACTTATGTTTATTACGGATAGGCAGTCATGCCTCAGACTCTAAGGAACTGAACGGAAAGGGTCGAGTAGATGACGGACACTTATGTTTATTACGGATAGGCAGTCATGCCTCAGACTCTACGGAACTGAACGGAAAGGGTCGAATAGATGACGGACACTTATGTTTATTACGGATAGGCAGCCATGCCTCAGACTCTCGGAACTGAACGGAAAGGGTCGAGTAGATGACGGACACTTATGATTATTACGGATAGGCAGCCATGCCTCAGACTCTACGGAACTGAACGGAAAGGGTCGAGTAGATGACGGACACTTATGTTTATTACGGATAGGCAGTCATGCCTCAGACTCTACGGAACTGAACGGAAAGGGTCGAATAGATGACGGACACTTATGTTTATTACGGATAGGCAGTCATGCCTCAGACTCTCGGAACTGAACGGAAAGGGTCGAGTAGATGACGGACACTTATGATTATTACGGATAGGCAGCCATGCCTCAGACTCTACGGAACTGAACGGAAAGGGTCGAGTAGATGACGGACACTTATGTTTATTACGGATAGGCAGTCATGCCTCAGACTCTACGGAACTGAACGGAAAGGGTCGAATAGATGACGGACACTTATGTTTATTACGGATAGGCAGTCATGCCTCAGACTTTACTGAACTGAACGGAAAGGGTCGAGTAGATGACGGACACTTATGTTTATTACGGATAGGCAGTCATGCCTCAGACTTTACTGAACTGAACGGAAAGGGTCGAGTAGATGACGGACACTTATGTTTATTACGGATAGGCAGTCATGCCTCAGACTTTACTGAACTGAACGGAAAGGGTCGAGTAGATGACGGACACTTATGTTTATTACGGATAGGCAGTCATGCCTCAGACTCTAAGGAACTGAACGGAAAGGGTCGAGTAGATGACGGACACTTATGTTTATTACGGATAGGCAGTCATGCCTCAGACTCTACGGAACTGAACGGAAAGGGTCGAGTAGATGACGGACACTTATGTTTATTACGGATAGGCAGTCATGCCTCAGACTCTACGGAACTGAACGGAAAGGGTCGAATAGATGACGGACACTTATGTTTATTACGGATAGGCAGTCATGCCTCAGACTTTACTGAACTGAACGGAAAGGGTCGAGTAGATGACGGACACTTATGTTTATTATGGATAGGCAGTCATGCCTCAGACTTTACTGAACTGAACGGAAAGGGTCGAGTAGATGACGGACACTTATGTTTATTACGGATAGGCAGTCATGCCTCAGACTTTACTGAACTGAACGGAAAGGGTCGAGTAGATGACGGACACTTATGTTTATTACGGATAGGCAGTCATGCCTCAGACTCTAAGGAACTGAACGGAAAGGGTCGAGTAGATGACGGACACTTATGTTTATTACGGATAGGCAGTCATGCCTCAGACTCTACGGAACTGAACGGAAAGGGTCGAGTAGATGACGGACACTTATGTTTATTACGGATAGGCAGCCATGCCTCAGACTCTACGGAACTGAACGGAAAGGGTCGAGTAGATGACGGACACTTATGTTTATTACGGATAGGCAGTCATGCCTCAGACTCTACGGAACTGAACGGAAAGGGTCGAATAGATGACGGACACTTATGTTTATTACGGATAGGCAGTCATGCCTAAGACTTTACTGAACTGAACGGAAAGGGTCGAATAGATGACGGACACTTATGTTTATTACGGATAGGCAGTCATGCCTCAGACTCTACGGAACTGAACGGAAAGGGTCGAGTAGATGACGGACACTTATGTTTATTACGGATAGGCAGTCATGCCTCAGACTCTACGGAACTGAACGGAAAGGGTCGAGTAGATGACGGACACTTATGTTTATTACGGATAGGCAGTCATGCCTCAGACTCTACGGAACTGAACGGAAAGGGTCGAATAGATGACGGACACTTATGTTTATTACGGATAGGCAGTCATGCCTCAGACTCTACGGAACTGAACGGAAAGGGTCGAATAGATGACGGACACTTATGTTTATTACGGATAGGCAGTCATGCCTCAGACTCTACGGAACTGAACGGAAAGGGTCGAATAGATGACGGACACTTATGTTTATTACGGATAGGCAGTCATGCCTCAGACTCTACGGAACTGAACGGAAAGGGTCGAATAGATGACGGACACTTATGTTTATTACGGATAGGCAGTCATGCCTCAGACTCTACGGAACTGAACGGAAAGGGTCGAGTAGATGACGGACACTTATGTTTATTACGGATAGGCAGTCATGCCTCAGACTCTACGGAACTGAACGGAAAGGGTCGAATAGATGACGGACACTTATGTTTATTACAGATAGGCAGTCATGCCTCAGACTCTACGGAACTGAACGGAAAGGGTCGAATAGATGACGGACACTTATGTTTATTACGGATAGGCAGTCATGCCTCAGACTCTACGGAACTGAACGGAAAGGGTCGAATAGATGACGGACACTTATGTTTATTACGGATAGGCAGTCATGCCTCAGACTCTACGGAACTGAACGGAAAGGGTCGAATAGATGACGGACACTTATGTTTATTACGGATAGGCAGTCATGCCTCAGACTCTACGGAACTGAACGGAAAGGGTCGAATAGATGACGGACACTTATGTTTATTACGGATAGGCAGTCATGCCTCAGACTCTACGGAACTGAACGGAAAGGGTCGAATAGATGACGGACACTTATGTTTATTACGGATAGGCAGTCATGCCTCAGACTCTACGGAACTGAACGGAAAGGGTCGAGTAGATGACGGACACTTATGATTATTACGGATAGGCAGTCATGCCTCAGACTCTACGGAACTGAACGGAAAGGGTCGAATAGATGACGGACACTTATGTTTATTACGGATAGGCATGGCGCTTCGTGACTTCAATGGCAGATGTGTCTTGTCACTTGATTTGAACGTCATGGTGACCGATGACGTCACAGGAGTACTGCTGTGCGGCAATACCTACTTTCTGTTTTATGCAAATTGCGGCTGCTACCGGTAGGGCTGGACATGCTTACCCTTTTCGCGTACACCTGGTGTCATCACTGATTTTCAGTGGTCCATTCATATAAGTTTCACAGCTTTTCTTCCCTTTCAATACACCACATGGAAACTGTTTCGGCGGATAATCTCGACTGGTTAATCTTTTGCATTGACAATTAATATTTAGCCTACGGACACTCACGTCTGATCCCGATGCAATTATTTTTGGCAACACTCGTCCCACCCCAAAATCCATAAGAGGAATGAGCCGGTATGGCGCGAACGGCTCCGGGCGGCAGACTTTGAATTCATAATTTCGAATGGATGACGTTTTGATAACTCGTTGGGCTTTGGTGGAAATTCCATGACAGTTTCCTGAAGCCAAAACATTTTACATAAAACTACTTCATCCTGCAAATTTGACGCTTTCGTGGGAAAAATACATGCAACTGAAAATGCGAACATTAAGATAAACAAGAATACCCTGAAAAGTGCATTTATTTGAACACTTCGTGTCTTTGGCTCCAATGCTTGAATGCATTAGAATGGTGTACAACAACCTTAAACCCCCTTCACAGCTCGTCAAGCCTCGTATCCTTCCTTTGGACTACAAATCTAATTAATTTCTTGCAACAGAAGTCCCACGATAGGTGAATAGTGTTCGGTCTGGTGATGTTTAGATTGTGTGCAAAGTCATTAAAAAATACCTAATTAACTGCAATCCTGTGCATAATAATGACCTCTAAGGGGATGTCCTCAGATTTTTGTTTAGCGGTAGCAAGAACTAAGATCTGATTTTAATTAGATTGTACAGCCAAGGTGTGTGTGCGTGTGTGTTTGCGTGTGTGTGTGTGTGTGTGTGCGTGCGTGCGTGCGTGCGTGCGTGCGTGCGTGCGTGTGTGTGTGTGTTTGTGTGCGTGTGTGTGTGTGGCATACTATTCTTGTAGACGTATAAGAAAAGCACAATTAAATCATTTGCTGACTAAAAAATTAATTGACTACTATTTCTTTTAAATAGAAACGTACACGTATGTGCAAGCATTTGTATTTTCTGTACTCACTGGTGTTCTGGTACACTGTGGCTGGTAACATACATGACACTGTATTCCAAATAAGGTCATCCTGCCCACTGGAGGAAGCGTGTCGGTGGCGATTAAAGGTAACTTCCTCAACGTGTACGTGTACCCATCAGTGCAAGACGTTCAGAAGAGCAGCGGCCTGTGTGGTCTACTCTCCTCAACCACTGGTGACGACTTCGTCAAGAGGGACGGCACCACCATCACAAACCATAGGGCATTCTCCGATTCATGGAGGTAAGCGCTGACTCACTGTCAGCGACATCACTTACACTGACCATTACAAGACATATGATCAAGAAAGTGAGTGAGTGAGTGAGTATGGTTTTACGCCGCTTTTAGCAATATTCCAGCAATATCACGGCGGGGGACACCAGAAATGGGCTTCACACATTGTACCCATGTCGGGATTCGAACCCGGGTCTTCGGCGTGACGAGCGAACGCTTTAACCGCTTGGCTACCCGACCGCCCCTGATCAAGAAAGAGACTTGTGTCCACCTCAATCCCCATTGGAACTGATTTCACTAGTTTCGCTAGTTTAAGTGACTATCACATTACACAACACCTTCGGGCTGCACTGGTGGTCCTTCTCTAACTGGTTCTCGATAATATACCTTGTTTTTATATTAATTCTAAATTAGCTTCACTGAACATTGATTGTACGAACTATATGCGGACAGAAACAGTGAAATCGTGCCGCATCACTGCTCCATTGCTACGTGAAGTATTTTGAAAGTAGTGGAATACGCCGAGTGGACCCGAATGGTCCGAATGGCAATATAACGGAAACAACTTCAATCTCTTTAGATTATCAGCCATGTCAAGACAGAAAGATGATCTTAGATTTGCGTTCGGTGATTTATCGAAGCTTTCTGCAAATGTCTGCTGCAAATATTTAAAAAAAATCCTAATCAGAATATTTTTCTAAGTCAGGTTATCATAAGTTTTCAAAATAATCTAATGCTCAAAAAACGAAACTCTGTCGTGAGAAAGGACATTCTTACCCTTATTGCGATCACCAGGGCCCACTTGCACAAAGCGATCTTAGCGCTAAGATGATCGTAACTCCCATACTTTAACATAGGCTTGTGATAGTCTTAGCGCTAAGATCGTTTTGTGCAAGTGGGCCAAGGTGTTCAGTGGTTCATTCATATAATTTTCACAGCTGTTTTTCCCTTTACGCCAAATCTGTTTCGGATAATCGGATAATCTAGACTGGTTATTTTCTTGCACTGACAATTTATGTTTAGTATATGGTATTTGATCCGAATTTTGTAGGGTTGGCGCCGGCAACAACCTGTTTAATCACGACACACATGACAGTTTAACGTCCTGGCCGAAGACATTCAGCTTCTGCTCATGCCGCCCCAAGGGAAAAGCAGGCAACCAAATACAGTGCACAGCCTCCCAGGCTCACGAGGACATCAAAATAATGCCTGGCTTCACTGATGTCCCACCCTCCAAGTGCAGGATTACAGAAAGACGGAAGAGAAGGTCTGTGCTGAGCTTGCCGGGTGCTTCACCATCACGGGGTCGCAGGGTAAGTTCATATCACCTGAAAGTCATGTGGCATTTGATGGGCCAAGTACGGCGTCAAAATGACATCATGTGGCATTTGATGGTGGGCCAAGTTATACATCAAAATGACATCATGTGGCCTTTGCTACGCAAAGTACGACGTCAAAATGACATGTGGCATTTGATGGGCCACGTACGACGTCAGCATGACATGTGGCATTTGATGGGCCAAGAACGACGTCAGAATGACATCATGTGGCCTTTGGTGGGCCAAGTACGGCGTCAAAATGACATCATGTGGCATTAGATGGGCCAAGTTGTACATCAAAATGACATCATGTGGCCTTTGGTACGCAAAGTACGACGTCAAAATGACATGTGGCATTTGATGGGCCACGTACGACGTCAACATGACATGTGGCCTTTGGTGAGCCAAGGTCATCGTAAAAATGACAGCATGTGACCTTTCATAGGCCAAGCACGGCGTCACAATGACATCATGATGGCCTTCGTTGGGCCAAGTACGACGTCAAAATGACATGTGGCCTTCGGTGGGCCAGGTTCGTCGTAAATATGACATCGTGTGACCTTTAATAGGCCAAGTACGGCGTCACAATGACATCATGTGACCAAGTGCGATGCCAAAATGACCCCAAAATGAGCTCAAGTGGCCAAGGTTTCTGTCACCTATTTTTTTAATCCGGGACATCCGGGACGCCTATCTGGCTTCACCAACGTGATAAATGTACAACACCTGTTTAAGTTTCTCCGTCTTTCTCTGTTAAGCTGAACAGCCTAGACTAAAACTACTGTTCAAAGCGGCGTTGAGCCAAACAGGTTCTCCACCGACATGGCGCCCGACTGTTTGTCATAAGTAGTCACAGGCACACTGTCCATCACATCTCTAAGGTTAGATGAACTGACATTGCATTAAGATGAACCAGAAGTGAGTGAGTGAGTATGGTTTTACGCCGCTTTTAGCAATATTCCAGCAATATCACGGCAGGTGACTCCAGAAATGGGGTCCACACATTGTATCCATGTCGGGAATCGAACCCGGATCTTCGGCGTGACGAGCGAACGCTTTAACCACTAGGCTACCCTAAACAAGAAGTAATGTCATTGCATCATCAAAAAGAGTAGAAGATTCTTTGGTAGATATTTCCAATTTTATATTTTTTTTACACAATGATAGCACAAGAACTCACACGATGTCAATCATTGTTTGTCGGACCCATACTGGATCACATACATTACGATGACCCATAAGGGACATGGAGTCTGTTTTTCAATATTTTGATGTTTCACTTACTTTTATCGTAACCTTTTGCAAATAAACTCAATTTGTCATACAAATAGGGGATAAATCATGTATAAAAACAACCGAAAACATGGAAAATGTACTTTCAAGTAGCTATTGAGTCGCTGAAATGTGAAGCGAAAATGTCAAAAGCAAAAATGGAAATGTCAAAAACCAAAACGAAAAGGTCAAAAACTAAAATGAAAATGTCCAAAACAAAAACGAAAATGTCCAAAACTAAAATGAAATAACAGGAAACTATTTCCACCGCGGTGATAATATTGGAATAGTATCATCGCGGTGGAAATAGTTTTCGGTATTTTCATTTTAGTTTTTGACATTTTCGCGTTTGTTTTTGACATTGTCTTTTCAGTTTTTGACATTTTCGTTTCACTTTTCAACGATTCAATATCTTCTTGACACATGATTTATCACATATTTGTAAGACAAATCGTGTTAATTTGCAAAAGGTTACGATAAAATTAAGTAAAATTTCAAAATATGGAAAAACAGACTCCATGTCCCTTATGAGCCACCGTACATATATGGAGGATATTGATGACTACGGTGTATAAATACCGACACTCAAAAGTTCCTTTTTCTCCAGCAAGTTGAAGAGCAGTGGCGAGGGGGGTGGACAGAGGACAAAGCCAGAGCTTATTGTGAAGATATGTTCCACAAGTCCCGGTCCATGCAGGCGTGCGACAACGTGCCCGAAATGTACACCAACGACAGCCTGGCCAACTGCGTGATGGACATTCAGGTAGCGTTAGACTGGTCTGTTAGCTCACCTGAACTGAGGGTGGGTTTTGTTCTGCCCGTCCGCCTCTCCGTCTTCGACATTTCAAATTGTTGGCTTTGTGTTGTTTCTGGAAAAAACATCCGATCCGATTTTAAGCATGGCCGCCACGGTGGCCATTCCCTGCCACTGATTTACCTAACTGAACTAGAAATAAGAGACAAGTGAGACCGCCTCATTGTGTTCATATTTAGATCTGGACCGCCTCCGTGGTCTAGTGGTAGAGCGTCCGCCCGGAGAGCGGAAGGTCCGGGGTTCGATCCCCGACCGCGTCATACCAAAAGACGTTAAAAGATGGTACTTGTTGTTACCCTGTCTGGCGTTCGGCATTAAGGGGCTAAAACAAGGACTGGTCGGCTCGGAGTCAGTATACTGTGTCTGAGTGGGGTATTCATGTTAAACTGCGGCATGTTATCTCAGTGAGCTAGCACTATAAATCGGCATCAGTCCGGACTAGTACAAACGCACACACGTACATGCACGTCGCTATATAAGTGCAATAATCTTGGACCCGACGTTAAACCCCATTTCACCTCACCTCATATTTAGATCTATGCATAAAGATCCCCAGTGACTTAGCACTATCCACAAGACTATATGACAAAAGAGATTACTTCAGCATCCCAATAGTCAAATATTCCTGCAGCTCCAGCTCTGTGTGTCTTCATTTCACAACGTTTGAGGTGAAATCGAGCATGCTCTTTCTACCAAGATTTCAAAGAGCGTCATATGACTCTTGTTTGATCAATTGTTTGATCAGTTGTGTGATCAGTTGTTTGATCAATGTCCAACATTCAAAGCATACATGGTGTACATGTGGAGGACATTTTCAAATATGGTCAACTGTTTATTTTATGATAGGCCATAGGGCCAAATACATGAGTGAGTGAGTGAGTTGGGTTTAACGCCGCTTTTAACAGTATTCCAGTTATATCGTGGCGTGTCAGCTTCATTTTGGAGGAAAGCCCGAAGTGATGCAGGTCTCAGACGTTTACCACTTCGGTGAAACCCACGAGCACGGGTATGGTGCTGACAAACCTAGAAACATAATCGGGGCGAACCGGGATTCGAACCCACAATCATAGTTTTTTGGCGTGCCCAAGGGACGCAACTCTGCACAGCGAATATCGGCGCCTTCGACGACTGGGCCACCCGTGTCCCCTTACAGTTAACTGACTCCATTAATGATCTTATGTATTCTATATCTCATAACTCATGTATTCTGTGTATCCTGTAACTACAGCGACGAACCCATATCGGCAATAGCCGCTATTTTGAAGGTCAGAATTGTCTATGGTTTGGGGAATGCATTCGTACCTTATAACAGTAATAGCAACAAGCACTTAAACAATTAAATTGTTCTGAAATAATTGATGACAGTGCAAGTCATTTTTAATCAGCTGACGGGCACCACCGACTTTTTCCAATCAGCCGTGGACACTGTGACAGACCAGTGTATCCACGAGGTTGTGGTAAACCCGCTACTCTGGGAGAAGACCCAGCAGGACGACGGGATGAAGTCCATCTACGATATGGTGATGGCCGAGGCGTGTCCTAGCGACTGCAGTGGGAACGGCAACTGCGTACAAGGTATGTTTACATGGAAGTGTTAATGTTGATATGCAACCTTGAGGCTGAACGGCAAATGTAATGGTGGCCGAGAGGGGACATCGCTTTCTCGCTTTCTCGCTCTATCGCTTTATCGCTTTCTCGCTCTATCGCTTTCTCGCTCTGTATAAGTCACCAGATAAAATGGTCAACATCAACCCATCATTTTTACAATGAGCATCTTTCAGTCCCTTAGGTGAGGTGAGGTGGGGTGAGGTGAAATGGGGTGACGTGAGGTCGAATGGGGTTTGACATAATGTCAACTGCGGCAAAGCAGCAAGAACATGAAAGTGACCAATCAAGTGATTAAGATTCAATTATGCAAATGATTCTGCATTAGGGAATTTGAAAACTCAGTAGTAAGCCTGAACTCCAACAATATTATCAACTGCAGCAATGCATCAAGAACATGAAAGTAACTGCTAAAAAAGTTGAACAATTTTCCAATCAATTGCTTGTTCGTTGTTTAACGCCGCGCCCGGCAATATTCCAGACATATGACGGCGCCAATCAATTGAAGAACTCCCCACTGTGGAAGCTGTTCTGCACAATGCAAATATAGCAGCTTGCAATATACGCAACATGAAACGTGGTAATAACCTACAAACAGCTTTCAAGTTCTGCAATCTTGCAATAAAACTGTTCTAGAATCATCAAGAGAAAATGAAAAACTAATCCAAGGCGGGGTATACAGTGTCCAAAGTACAGTAGACGTTGTCAATTCTGTATTTAATCCCAGCTGCATCTAATCCATTAAGTTCAGGTGGCAAACCTTTGGCCAACACGCTTCATGTTCCTTTTGTTTAACTGACAGATAGTTGGTGTAATTTCAGGAGACCTCTGTTTTATAATTCAATGTCTTTTAGGTTCTGAGAGCGCGTGTCAATAATTATTTCCTTTTTTGGGCATACATGTGAGAAATGACAATGATATAACTGGTGAAGCAGTAAACGGTAAGTACACCATGGGGTTTTTTTTGCAAAAAATACACGGGTAACCAGAAGCTATCTACATCAATAACGCCAAACTGGAAAGAGGTATAACTTATATTTAATAACACGATAAGTGATCTTGTAGTCTCAGTTGGTTTCCTTTCACACTCAAAATGGCATCGAAATCAAAGTGTCTCTATAAAACACTATTACCTTTAATATCGTTGAACTTCAGGCAAATTCTGTTCATAACAGTTTAAATATATTCTATAAGGAGAAGTTTGAAAATATGAACGATCAGCTAGCCAGGGGGCTAAAGGAAACCCCACATTCTTTAAAATATACTACAAAACAAATTAGAACCAAAAGGGTCTATTGGTGAATATAAGAAATTGTTGACTTTGTTATCGTTTCTAGCTATTCCTTGTTAAGCTAACTCCGTGACATTAACGCTTCATCATTCATTAATCAAATATGATATGGAAGAAAGCAATAAATATTAAAGTGATTTCACGACATATTGCTAAACAAGTTACTGAGGAACAAAAGGGCCTTTTTATACATTAATTGAAGCACTATAACATGGTACATGCGTAACAATGCTTCAAAATGTTTTACTGTCATCGAATTGTTCAACGGATTGTCGAAATATTCCTGTAAAGCTTTAATATACGATCTGTACACCTCTCATTTCGGCTGTATGTTGAAATCAAAACGGCATAGTGTCCTCTAATGCTTTGATAATGAGGAACATAATGTACCTAGTGTAACACAAGCTGATGGAGGGACTTTCCAGTCACACGGGTTGTATGAAATTTAGAACAATATTTGAGTGAGTGAGTTTGATTTTACGCCGCTTTTAGCAATATTCCAGCAATATCACGACGGGGGACACCAGAAATGGGAATCGAACCCGGGTCTTCAGCGTGACGAGCGAACGCTTTAACCACTAGGCTACCCGACCGCCCCCAACACTATTTGAAAAAGATCCATTTGGAAAGAAAATGCAATAACAAATGTTTGGCCAAATGGGGACATAGAACCAATCATCTGGTTCTCTGGCGACGAAATATCATCAGATGTAAAGAGGGAGGGGGTTGCCAGCCCCCAGAACCCCTGGATCCGCCACTGTGTTTCGGAGACTATTGCGAAACTGATGTCTGTCCTCTTTACATTTTCAGGCAACTGCGATTGCGAAACCAACTACTGTGGCACAGACTGTTCCGTGGACCTGACAATTCCGCCGAGGTTAATGGATCTTGACAATGGTGGCACATGCGATATGTCACGTGGTGTGTGTAACGTCACATCATTGGATGGAGAAACATTTGTGGACGGCGTATCAACCTGCTCAGTTGAAGAATTAAGGGTAATTAATTTCCTTGCGTTTTCCTGCGTTTTCTCTAAAGCCTTATGTTTATTCTTTAGCAACAAATTGCATAATGGACAACATAAGGCAGCTTTCCTTATGGGATTAGTGGTTGATCTCAAGGCGTCAAGGATCGTGATGCCATTGTGACGATGCTACAAATAAAGCTGAAAATTACGATTTGGGTCAAGTTCCTCATCTCCGATTATCCATGGTAATTTATATCCATTGTATTATCAATAGTTCACCCAGAATACGATCGCCACTAAAGTTTCGTTCCGGAAGTGGCATCGCCAGCTCAGTCTCTCTAGTCACTAACTTCGCACAGAAAGTCTCTCGCTCATGAGTGTAATTTGATTGGAGGGCTATTTTCAGCGTCAAGCAATAGTTGCGAATAGGTCCAGGGAAATTATCCTAAACGTATAGACATAAATCATACTGGATAATCGAGGGTGCAGTTTCCTTTTTTGTCACTGGTGGACATTGGGGCATTGGGACGTCTTTTTGTAGACTGTAACGATGTTACAGAATAGCACCTGCAATATAGCGTTACTTTGCCGAAAGCACCTGCAATAAATTGTAACTATGCCAATGACGTGTATAATATATCGTTACTATGCAAATGGCGCTTACAATATATCGTTACAATGCCGATAACATCTGCAATATATCGCTACCGTGCCGATGGCACCTGCAAGATTAACGTGTAAATATGTCGGGTTATTTGCACACAGTTAATGTCATCATTAAAGTGCCTTTAGTGTTCAGGTGTTAATGAAAACTTATTTAATTTCGTCATTATATGTAACTTATGAATTCACGTCGTTGTTTATATACTAATTCATGTTCATTAGGTTAATATGTTTTAACGTCAAAAAGCGAAAGAAATTAGTTTCATTTGCGAACTTCACCATTGAACCCAACCCAATTAACTCATTCGTTCATTGAAGGTGAGGCAATCTAGTCAAAACAGTGTTGCCACGACAAAGTCAACAGCCACAGTAGAAAGTATTTCACGTGCCAAGTGCAATATTGTTTATCACGACGAAACCGGAAGTGACGACGAGGAATATGTCCGCGCCTTCCGGATCTCAGTTGGCAACAGTGCCGACAACTACAGTAACAGCGTTGGTCTCATGGTCTACGACGGCTCGTGTGTGAGGGCGAGTGTCGAGGGAGATGACTTTAAGTGGGATGTTGAGGTAAGAAACTATGTTCCAGACATCTTAGTGTGTTTACATTTGTCGAAAGGGAACGCGTTGCCAGTCGACCAAGGCCCCTTAATTTGTAGTGAAGAGTTGCGTCCCTTGGACACTCTAGAAACTGTGGGTTTGAACCGCGGTTCGCCCTGATTATGTTTCTAGGTTCGCCAGCACCGAACTCATGCATGTGACTTGTACCAAAGTGTTAAGACCTAAATCACTTCCGGATTTCCCCACACCAAACTGGCACGCCGTTTTCTAACTGAAATAGGGGCGGTCGGGTAGCCTAGTGGTTAAAGCGTTCGCTCGTCACGCCGAAGACCCGGGTTCGATTCCCGACATGGGTACAATGTGAAGCCCATTTCTGGTGTCCCCCGCCGTGATGTTGCTGGAATATTGCTAAACGCGGCGTAAAACCATACTCAGTCAGTCTAACTGAAATAATGTTCAGAGCGGTGTTAACCCATACTCACCCGTGAGTCTGACAATAACACATACAGTAACTTACGGATATAACGAACTTACTTTTTTTGGTCCCGACTATTTGCTGTAGTTATGCTGTATATATGCTTATAACGAACTACGGTTATAACGAACTAAAATTAGTAGTCCCTTTGAGTTCGTTATATCCTATACTTTACTGTAGTAACAAATATGTATTTATTCACAATATTCCCATCCCCGCCTTCCCATGAACATTAAAGCTGCGGACTCTCAATCTGGTTCGTTTTCTTAATCGTTAAATTGAACAATGAATCCGCCTTCTGTCGGGGGATAAATCTATAGAAAACTGAAAATATACATTGACCTACAGGGCTCGTACTGCGTCTTCAGAGGCACGTGCATACCGCACGGAGCTGGACAGCCGGGGAACCCCCGCAAGGTGTGCCAGGTGTCCGACAACAAACGGGAGTGGACAAACACTTCAGGTACCATCGAATACACAAATTGAGTAAACGTGTGTATTTTATTTTATTTGTCCAAAAGGATTCATTACAGTAATCTGAATTAAGAGGTGAGCCATGAGACTCAGAGTGAGTAATTAGATAGTATTCGTGATTCGAGGGAGGAGGGGGTTGGCACCCTCATTAATGGCACTTTATTATAATTGATACAAGAACACAATTATATTGCTTGTCGTAAGAACCGACTAACGGGATCGGATGGTCAGGCTCGCTGACTTGGTTGGTGCATATTATCGTTTATTACCCACGTGGTGAAGATACAGGTGGTAAGATACATAGAGAATACTACACTCATTTTCGTTAGATACCATAGAAAGTGGAATGAGTGTGGTATTTTATTTATTACCCACGTTAAATATATATTTAAGTGTAAATACATAACAACTTTCGTTCGTTGACAGACCAAACTGAAACCGGTTGCAAAATCTGGTTGCGCATGAATATTGATATATGCCCAAATATGGGCATTGTTGACATTTCTATGCATACGCATTAACAACACGCGCCTGCAGTTGTGTTTGCAAACAAAACAGCACCGACGCTCAAGATCCTTTTGATAGAGATTCTTCAACTTATGGTAATTCAAACGCCATGTTATTAGTACGAAGGACACCTATAAGAAAATTTGAAAAGTCACATAAGCGCCGCACTTTGAATATCGGACTAACAGTCGGTCACTCGCACTGCCGGGGTCACGTCTGTGCAATCAAAATTGTTCGGTTTCCTTGATCTATCAGCTGAATTTATATCATGTTCTACCATTTTGGAAGAGGGAAATCAGAGTGTTCGACAAAGACATTCATGTTAATTGTACCACCCTCTGAAATAGATCACGGTTGTCTTTTCTTATTCCGGTGGTGACGTTGCCCTTCGTTCGAAGCTGTCACTGACATGCAAACAGACTTGAGTTTGTTGATTTTCACGTCTCCTGTATAGGGTGGTACAGTAAACATGAATGTCTTTGTCGAACATTCTGATTTCCCTCTTCCAAAATGGTACAGACAGGATATAAATTCAGCTGATAGATCAAGAAAACCGAACCATTTTGAGTGCACAGACGAGACCCAGGCAGTGCGAACGACCCACAGTTGGTCCGATATTCAAAGCTCAGCGCTAATGTGACTTTTAATTTTCTTAAAGGTGTCCTGCGTACTAACAACAATACGCTTAAATTGCCATAAGTTAAAGAAATTCTTCCAAAAGGATCTTGAGCGTCGGTGCTGTTATGTTTGCAAACACAACAGCAAGAACATGTTGTTAATGTGTATGCACAGAAATGTCAACAATGCCCATATTTGGGCATATATCAATATTCATGCGCAACCAGATTTTGCAACCGGTTTCAGTTTGGTCTGTCAACGAACGAAAGTTATTATGTATTTACACTTTTATTTACAGACCGCCGTCATATGCTGGAATATTGTTGAGTGTGGCGTTAAACAAACAAACTGTTGTCACCTCTGATGGTGTGAGTGTAGGTCGTTTTATTCTAGACATATCGCGAGGGACAGCAAGAATTGAACTCCGGCCTTCGTTGTGGCGGGCTAACACTTTCCCCACTTGTCTACCCACATATCACACATATAACTGGTAATTATGTTTCAGGCTGCAGCGAAACGATCATCTCACTGGCTGTCCTGGTGTTCTGCCTGGTCATCGGGATGCAATAATGGACGATCTGAAACAGGCGTGAAGCTGACACACAAAAATATTTCGACAATAAGCGATTATTTCTAGATTCTCATAAAATAATTTGAATTATATATTGAACATTGATGTATGCTTTGAGTCATTCTTACACGTAGGTGTTTGTTGTGTTTAGGAAACAGTCGTTTATTCTACAAAACAACTAGGTCACATTGCAAAAGGTCGAAGGTCATCAGTTATAAGGTCAAGGGAGATAATCGTTATTTAGGAAGATCCATATCTGTCACAATACGCTGACGTGACCTTTGTCCATAAGCTTTTAACTTTTTAGCTAATTTCTAAATACAAGCTATCGTTGATTGCATGTCCTATTTGGTATTGTCTATTCCTTCTCATATATATGTGCTCGTGATGGCATGTCAATGTGTACTCGTGTCAATGTATACTATCATGTCAATGTTTACTTGTCATGTCAATGTTTTTATCATGTCAATGTTTACTTGTCATGTCAATGTTTTTATCATGTCAATGTTTACTTGTAATATTGTTGTTTACTTATGTCGATGTCTGTTTGAAACATTGGTGTGTACTTGTCATGTCGATTTTTACTTGTAATATTGATGTTTTCGTCATGACAATGTTACTTATCATGTCAATGTTACTTGTCATGTCAATGATACTTGTCATGTCAATGTTTAAATGTCATATCGATGTTTTTGTCATGTCAATGTTACTTGTCATGTCGATACTTACTTGTCATGGCGATGTTTTTGTCATGGCGATGTTTACTTGTCATGTTGATGTTACTTGCCATATCGATGTTTACTTGTCATGTCGATACTTACTTGTCATATCGATGTTTACTTGTCATGTTGATACTTACTTGTCATGTCGATGTTACTTGTCATATCGATGTTTACTTGTCATGTCGATGTTACTTGTCATATCGATGTTTACTTGTCATGTCGATGTTACTTGTCATATCGATGTTTACTTGTCATGTCGATGTTACTTGTCATATCGATGTTTACTTGTCATGTCGATGTTACTTGTCATATCGATGTTTACTTGTCATGTCGATGTTACTTGTCATATCGATGTTTACTTGTCATGTAAATGTTACTTTTCATGTCAATGTTTACTTGTCATGTAAATGTTACTTTTCATGTCAATGTTTACTTGTCATAGCGATGTTTTTGTCAAGCCAATGTTACTGTCATGTCAATGTTTACTTGTCATATCGATGTTTTTGTCATGTCAGTGTTACTTGTCATATCGCTTTTTTTGTCATGTCAATGTTTACTTGTCATGTCGATACTTACTTGTCATGCCAGTGTTTACTCGTGTCAAAATGTACTTGTCATGTCAAAGTTTCTTCATCAATCACACACTATCCTTCCACTACACACCTACTATTATATCACACTCATGATTGGATATGCTTGTCACATATTATCCTATTATTGTTATCCTATTTGTTGTTGTTGTCAATACCCGAGTGACTTGATCTAAATACCCGCTGCCTACCTATGTGCAGCTTCTGTACTTGACGAAGGGCGCAGGTACCAAAACGTCCGACTAATGAAATAAAGCAAGCTGACATCCATAGCTCAATCCTGTCTTCACTGAGTATCTGGGTCAACCATTTGATGCGGGGTGGGGTGGATGGGTGTCGGGGGGTCTGGGAATTGTAATAAAAACCAAATGTTGGGTCCTGACATACCATTTAAAGTTGCAATAATAATCAATCATAATAAAGTCAATAATCTATCGGATGCTCCTCTGGTGAAGCAGGGGCGGTCGAGTGGTTAAAGCGTTCGCTCGTCACGCCGAAGACCCGAGTTCGATTCCCGACATGGGTACAATGTGTGAAGCCCATTTCTGGTGTCCCCCACCGTGATATTGCTAGAATATTGCTAAAAGCGTTGCACGGGTATGGTGCTGACAAACCTAGAAACATAAACGGGGCGAACCTGGATTCGAACCCACAATCATAGGTTTCTGGCGCGCCCAAGGGACGCAACTCTGCACAGCGAATCGCGGCGCCTTAGACGACTAGGCCACCCGTGCCCCCTTATTTGTGTGTGACAGTCGGCACGTGATTAACATTATCTCAAGAAATATGTTTTGGTTTTGCTCGTTGTAAGATTAAACAGTGATAAACATTCACAACTATTATTGAAAAATGACCACTAGGGATTTTTTTATTGTGATTTTAGAACCATATGCACTTTCCAATGATATTAATGCGGGAGAGATTCTGTTTAACGTCCAAAATCATTCTTCCGACTATTTCAATTTGTAGTGAGTAATTGATTTGGGTTTAACGCCGCTTTTAACAGTATTCCAGTTATATCGCGGCGTGTCAGCTTAATGTGGGAGGAAAGCCCGAAGTTTACCACTTCAGTGAAACCCACGAGCACCAGTATGGTGCTGACAAACCTATAGAAACATAATTGGCGCGACACGGGATTCGAACCCACAATCATAGGTTTCTGGCGTGCCCAAGGGACGCAACTCTGCACAGCGAATCGCGGCGCCTTAGACTGCTGGTCGACCCGTGCCCCCTTCAATTTGTAAACAATCATAAGCAGCGTCTTGCGTGTAAAAAGTACAGCCAATCAGCTTCAGTAGCAGGGATTAGTGATGTCATTTGATTGTGACTTCATTGTAACCGATGATATCACAATGGTTTGCAAAGCATTGTGATGCAATTATATTGCAGTGATATCTCCAAGGATGAAAAAAATCCGTTTTCATATAATGAGTGAGTTTCTCGGCAGAATAAAGCCAACGAATAAAAACGATATCCGTTGGGGTCATATTCGGACAGTGATGCATATATCAAAGGTCAAGTAGGGACTACTTTCACTGTTTGTATGGCGTCGCCCTTGTCATTCGACGATCGAGTCAGAATTAACCATCGGGAATCTGGAGAAACTAATTGCTATCATTATCAAAAGAATAGTCTAATATACTGAAAATCAGTGTCTAACTGTGACTTCGGTTGGATTTGGCCGAAATATGTTCGTTTTGTCGCTGTGTGTACTGTCTTAATTTCACTTCGTAACGTTGGGACAGGACTGGCCGACTGTCAACAACATCAGACGGTGGCCGCGACGTTTCACAAACTATGGTTAGAGTAGCTTCCCTTTGATGAAGAACAGTTCCACATCGGACAGACCGATGTATTGCCACGAAAGGCAAGTAAAACCAATTTGTATAGGCAATTGTTGTTACGCCACTGTGTAAGAAACATGTTCAGTTGGAACTACATGTATATTGGCTACTGTCGCTGTCCGACTGACACATCACTTACCCTCTGACCTTATATATATAAATGCGCACATTCCAGGAAAACTTGCAATGTTTAGGTAATGTTTGTGAGAGGTGGAAAGAGATTTTCGAGCACAGAATTGAAGAATGACATTACATGTATATGATAAAGAGGTTACCACGCTTGTGTGTTTGGGGATGGTAAATATACTGTATTAGGAATAAACACCATGTATTTAGTTCGCCAAGGCTCAATGTTTACAATGTTTATTCCTAAAACAGGATATTTACCACCCCCAAACACACTCGCGTGATAACCTCTATTTTTTTGTCTGGCATGATCTGGTGGGGAAATGTAAGGGCGTTTATCCGCAGATCATGTCAGCGTGTCATGTGACTTTGTTCACTTCGTGATTTGGGTGCAGTGTGCGCGCGGGCACGCACACACACACACACACACACACACCGTGACGAGCAAACGCACACACACACACACAAACACGCATGCACGCACACACGCACGCACACGCACGCACACGCACACACACACACACACACACACACACACACACACACACACCGTGACGAGCAAACGCACACACACACGTCGTGACGAGCAAACGCACACACAGCCGTGACGACCCACCAGGCAACACCACCTGGTTTTGGTTTGGTTTGGTTTGTTGTTTAACGCCGCACTGTAAATAATCGAGTCTGGATCAGACAATCCAGTGATTAATATCATGAGCAACGATCCACGCAATTGGAATCGATGACATAATCAACCAAGTCAGCGAGCCTGACCACCCGATCCCGTAGTCGCCTTTTACGACAAGCATAGTCACCTTTTACGGCAAGCATGGGTTGCTGAAGACCTATTCAACCCGGGATCTTCGCGGACGCTAAAAAATGGTACTTGTTGTTACCCTGTCTGGCGCTCGGCATTAAGGGGCTAAAACAAGGACTGGTCGGCTCGGAGTCAGTATACTGTGTCTGAGTGGGGTATTCATGTTAAACTGCAGCATGGCATCTCAGTGAGCTAGCACTATAAATCGGCATCAGTCCGGACTAGTACAAGCATGCAGCAACACAAACACACAAACACACACGTACATGCACGTCGCTATATACGTGCAATAATCTTGGACGCGACGTTAAACCCCATTTCACCTCACCTCACATTCTAGACAATGGCATATGACTCCTTGACTTGAACCAGTTTACTTATCATGCAAGCAAGCAGGCTATATCGAGTGTCTTAGAAACTGGACTGAGGTGACACAAGATACGGGCTGATAACCCAGCACCATATCCCATGTCACCCTCCTTGCCCTTCCCCCTACAGTATCGTTATATAGACGCCGACTGAGGAGGTGACAACTAGGTGGACGTGGTCAGAGGGTCATAGCAACATCATCGACGGGGAGAATCTTGAGCAACGTAGAATGAGGACTTGGCCGTTGTTGCTGGTCGTCACGGCTGCCGTTGGTGAGCGTGAACAAATATATTTTAATACCGATCGAGAAAATGATGTTAGTATGCATGGTTGAACTGTAATTGATGTGCCATTGTGAAATTCCGAGTTCCATGCCAAAATGTTTGTTTAAACAGTGCATATAAACATATATCTGTGACTTTGTGAACCCATGTATGCTTTTCAAATACGCTATTGATTCAATCCAGAATACTTCCTTTAAGCAAATGCATTATTCGTCTTCGAAAAGGGGGGCACGGGTGGCCCAGTTGTCTAAAGCGCCGCGTCGCTGTGCAGAGTTGCGTCCCTTGGGTACGGCAGAAACCTATGATTGTGGGTTCCAATCCCGGTTCGCCCCAATTTTTTGCTAGTGGATTTCACCGAAGTGCTAAACGTCTGAGACCTGCATCACTTCGGACTTTCCTCCCACATTAAGCTGACACGTCGTGATATAACTGGAATACTGTAAAAAGCGGCGTTAAACACAACTCACTCACTCAATCGTCTTGGAAAAGCCATCTGTGCCCGCTGTCATAAAAATAGAATGGGCGCCAGAAACCAGTAAGGGCTGGTTCGAACTCTGGTTGACCAAGATTAAGTTTCTATGTTAACCAGCACCATGTCAGTGCTCGTGGTTTCACCGAAGTAGTAACGCGGTTCTAGCCCTGGGCGTATTCATCTATAACTAAGAAATATAAGAAATGTAAGAAATATAAGATCGACAATGCGACAACGCATCGGTGTTACAGGTTGTATCATTGTCGCGTTGTCACTAAGCGAAGAACTTTTCGCATTTGGGCAATCACACACCTTCTCTTTGATTTAGTATATAAGTCATTAATTGATCTTCATTGAAGCCATGTCGGTTCTTGTACATTTAATGTTCGAATGGTCAATTGAAATTGGTTACCGCAAGATATCTTATTCGCCTTAATCACATTGTGTAAGTGAAATCTCGTTTACTCGAAGAAACATATCAAGTTGTCCGGTGTTCAAGGGAATGCGTGCGTGCGTTCTTGCTTGCGCGTGTGTGTGTGTGTGCGTGCGTGTGTGCGTGCGTGAGTGATACAACTATTTTATTACGATATATTAAGAAACAGTGAGAAATAAGGGAATATTACAAATTAACGGGCCACGTTCAAATATCTTAAACCTGCTATGGGTCATATTGATAACGGGGGGCACGGGTGGCCCAGTCGTCTAAGGCGCCGCGATTCGCTGTGCAGAGTTGCGTCCCTTGGGCACGCCAGAAACCTATGATAGAGGGTTAGAATCCCGGTTCGCCCCGATTATCTTTCTAGGTTTGTCAGCACCATACCCTGGCTCGTGGGTTTCACCGAAGTGGTAAACGTCTGAGACCTGCTTCACTTCGGGCTTTCCTCCGACATTAAGCTGACACGCCACGATATTACTGGAATAATGTTAAAAGCGGCGTTAAACCAAACTCACTCACTCACTCATATTGATAACGTACGTCGGACATAATCCAGGTCCAGCGTCTCTTGGTGTGCTAGTTTAAGACGTTAACACCTTTATCGGTATTTACGGCTTTAAGACATTCAAGACAGCGATCTGTGAGCATTCACCACTACTCGCTCCTTGCCATAAACTGCAAATAAGATTCGGTTCGTCCCGGAATGTTTGTTTGTTTGTTAGCAATAGTCCAGCTATATGACGGCGGTTTGTAAATACTCGAGTCTGGATCAGACAATCCAGTGATTAATATAATGAGCATCGATCCACGTAATTTGGGATCTATGACATGCATCAGCCAAGTCAGCGAGCCTGACCACCCGATCCCGTTAGTCGCCTTTTACGACAAGCATCGTCGCCTTTTACGGCAAGCATGGGTTGCTGAAGACCTATTCTACCCCGGATCTTCACGGGTAGACACGAATGAAACAGTGGGTCGGGCTACCGCCGTAACAGTATTCCAGTAATGTCACGGTGTGTGTGGTTATTGTGGGAGGAAAGCCCGAAGTGACAAGTTTAGACCTTTATCTATTTTTTGGAACCCTTGGCCAGGGGCGTGGTGTCAACATAAAAAACAATGTAATCGGGGACTGTAGCCCACAGGTAAGGGACGTAACTCTGCACATCAAACTGGGGTGCCACTCGTCCAGTCCTTTTTGACTGCGTTCACAAGGAAGAAGGTGTACGTGATCTCGCGCGAAAATAATACAATCGTTTAGAAATTTTCACCTGATACGTATTGTTTTTCCTGCTATTTTAGTGGTGGTCGTGTTCGCCGAGGAGGATGTTAAGGATCACCATCTAACAAAGCGAAGTCGATCACGCGAACGCCGTGGTTACGGCTGCACAACCTGCTTTGGCCACGGCTATAATTACGGTGGTCGAAGTCACGGAGGTCGAAGTCACGGTGGTCACAGTCACGGTGGTCACAGTCACGGTGGTCACAGTCACGGAGGTCACAGCCGCCGCGGTGGAGGGCGGAGTCGTGGGAGAGGACGTCACAGCGGAGGTCGCAGCAGGGGTCGACACAGTCGACGTCGTAGTGGGGGGAGGAGCCGGGGCGGCTCTTCCTCGGAATCCGACGAGTACGGGTATGGCAGCAGGCAGCCATCTTGCAGGTGCCCCTTCCTGTCTCAAGGTCGGCAGACATGGGGCAATGGACCACAATTTGGTTCCGTAGCCTACGGACGTCAAACCAGCCAAAATGATGGTGAGTTGATGGGCACCTGAGAAGAATATCACTTTTTCCTCCTCGTCATATCCATCCTATTGTTTTAAATATCCGTACCTCAATCGCGAAAAAAAGCTTCGTTCAGTGTGATGGTAATGTATATGCAAACTTTCTACCGCCTCCTGAAAGCAGCATGCGTTGTATTTGTTTGTTCGTTGGTTTGTTTGTTTGTTGTTTAACGCCGCACTCAGCAATATTCCAGCGGCCTGTTAATAATCGAGTCTGGACCAGACAATCCAGTGATTGACATCACGAGCATCGATCTACGCAATTGGGATACGATGACATGCATCAACCAAGTCAGCGAGCCTGACCACCCGACAACGCTGCGTACAGATATATCTATTTTCTTGAATGTGATACAAAAGTGGCATTGTTTTGTGGTAAGTTCCATAAAAAATCAAGGAATAACGACGTTAGTATTGTACTATTTGACATTCAAATTACGAAGCAGGCGTTTGAACAGTATTTCAGTAATATTTCCTCCTGTCATTCCTATGAGGGGCGGTCGGGTAGCCTAGTGGTTAAAGCGTTCGCCCGTCACGCCGAAGACCCGGGTTCGAATCCCGACATGGGTACATTGTGTGAAGCCCATTTCTGGTGTCCCCCGCCGTGATATTGCTGGAATATTGCTAAAAGCGGCGTAAAACCAAACTCACTCACACTCACTCACTCATTCCCATGAACTAGGTCGAAGATGGTTACATTACTGGGATACACACCAACACATCATGGTGAACACAAACCAGTCTAGGATCTGAACCTGCGGCCAGTGGTTTCTTAGATGGCTAAATATATATTTTCAATACATTTTAACCAGTCTTCATTATCAGCCAAAACAGATTAATTTGGCGTGATGGTCAAAATAGCTGTGAAAGTTACATGAATGAACCACTGAAGTAGTAGCCGCAGTAGTAGTAGTAGAAGTAGTAGTAGTAGCAGCAGTAGTAGTAGTAGAAGTAGTAGTAGTAGTAGTGGCAGTAGTAGTAGTAGTGGTAGTAAATGAGACTCGGCGGACTGATATTTTGAATATATATTTATATAGATTCACACATTCAGAAGCCTCAGCTTGATTGGTTGTTGATTTCACCCTCACGAGGCATTCGTGACCAACTCGTGTTATTCCGGGACAAGCCGAATAGCGACTCGTGCCCCTCTCGTGGCCATTTTTGCGACCGGGTTCCGTCTTAGCGCAAACGGGCATACCTAAAACAATTGTCAACTCGTTGCGTAATGGTTCACAAATAATTCCCCATATATTATATATATTTCAGATGCAATTTAAATCACATCGGGACATGCGGATTTATACAGTATGATTGAACACATTTAACTGTGTCTTGGGTATATTTTTAGATGCACGACATATGTAAAATCAAAAATTGTTTCTGAGGGATTCTTTGACGAAGAACTTGAAATCATACGCGCATTCTGATTGGTTTGTCGTATTTTCGCACATAGCATTCATCGATAGGGGGACGAGTCTTCTTGCAGGTTACGGAAAGGGGCGAGTGGTGACGAATGCCTTACGAGGCAGACATTCTGGGCTGTGACGCATGGGTCCAGGGTTCTCTCACAACAACATGGAGATACAATACACGGGTTAATCGGGGATGCAGTCCAAGTATCATCATCACAGTATTTTCCTAGACATAGGGTGTATGAATACATCACGTGACTGTTGTTTGTGTTACAGGGTACTACCGCCAGTGGTATCGGGCGTTCTCCACCCACCCCTGCTGCGCGGGTAGGCAGGGCACCATCACCTATCTCCAGAGAATGCAGGGAAACCGCCAGGTTCCGCGGTAACTCCTTACAGAGCACTGACATTACCAACAATGATTGGAGTTATCAATAAAAGCTCACCTGATAAATTTGTGTATATTTATTGTTCAATAAGTAAGTGAGTGAGTGAGTTTTGGTGAGTGAGTGAGTGAGTTTTGGTGAGTGAGTGAGTGAGTTTTGGTGAGTGAGTGAGTGAGTTTTGGTGAGTGAGTGAGTGAGTTTTGGTGAGTGAGTGAGTGAGTTTTGGTGAGTGAGTGAGTGAGTTTTGGTGAGTGAGTGAGTGAGTTTTGGTGAGTGTGTGGGTTTTGGTGGGTTAGTGAAATAAGTTTATATTCATTGTTTAGTGAGTGATTTTGTTGGGCGAGCGGTTGGTTGGGTGAGTGAGTGGATGGGGGGATTGGGTTGGGAGAAAAAGAGTATTGGTGGGTCATAATGGCTGCTAAGAATGAGTGGTGGCTATACGGTGACAGTTGTCACCATTGTTGTGCCATCATACCCATGGTGCCCCGTGGTGCCCCGTGGTGCCCCGTGGTACCCCGTGGTGCCCCGTGGTGCCCCAGGTCCCCAGTACATAAATCAACTCGCCTCGTCTCAGTCAAGTTTCATGTAGGTGACGGAATAAGACGAGTAGACCCGAAAGCTTATCGTAAGAGCCAAAATGAGCATCGCGTGATCACATCACGTGACATGCTCACGTGACCTCGTATATCCAAATATGGGCACAGGTATTTGTCCTTGATATTTGTGTTTTATACGCGTACGGACAGTTTGCCTTTGCTTTTCATAGTCTATAAGTGCGCGAGTGAATGGTGTTCTACGCCGCAGTCATTAAGATTCCAGCAATATCATGCGGGTTGTAAATGGAGTCTGGACCAGACAAACCTATCAGCCCATGACCAAGCCTGACAAGCCGATATGTTTGTCGTCACCCCACAAATATTGCCTACCCGTTCTCTTGAAATGTGGTTTTAACGAGGGATGGGGGGGTTGGGGTTGGATATTTGGGCACAGGTAGCCCAGTCGTCTAAGGCGCCACAATTCACTGTACATGGTTGCATCCTTTGGACACGCCAGAAACTTGTGTTCCTGGGTTCGAATCCCGGTGCGCGCCGATTATGTTTCTAGGTTTGTCAGCACCATATCAGTGCTCGTGGGTTTTACCAAAGTGATAAACGTCTGAGACCTGCATCACTTCGGGATCTCGTCCCACATCAAGCCGGCACGCGGTGATATAACTGGAATACTGTTTAAAGCGGCGTTAAACCCCACTCACTCATGCTGTATGAAGCGCCACGTGGCTGTACCTTGCAAGTATTCTGATAAACATTATGAATATCAGAAGCCCATGCCTAAATGTCACGAGACTGTATGTCTGATAATTGGTCAAGGAAATGCATAAGGCTGCTGTGATCAGAACAGCTTACTGAAACCACTCATCATGCCCGCATCCATCTTCCCGAGGCAAGCGTGTCCACTAGCCTATATCAAAGCCTCGTTTCTACATCTTCCCGAGGCAAACGTGTCCACAAGCCTATATCAAAGCCTCGTTTCTACATCTTCCCGAGGCAAGCGTGTCCACAAGCCTATATCAAAGCCTCGTTTCTACATCTTCCCGAACCAAGCGTGTCGAATTGCCTATATCAAGCCTCGTTTCTACATCTTCCCGGGGCCAAGCCTGTCGAATTGCCTATATCAAGCCTAGTTTCTAATCTTCCCGAGGCAAGCGTGTCCACTAGCCTATATCAAAGCCTCGTTTCTACATCTTCCCGAGGCAAGCGTGTCCACTAGCCTTTATCAAAGCCTAGTTTCTACATCTTCCCGAGGCAAGCGTATCCACTAGCCTATATCAAAGCCTCGTTTCTACATCTTCCCGAGGCAAGCGTGTCCACTAGCCTATATCAAAGCCAAGTTTCTACATCTTCCCGAGCCAAGCGTGTCGAATTGCCTATATCAAGCCTAGTTTCTACATCTTCCCGAGGCAAGCGTGTCCACAAGCCTATATCAAAGCCTAGTTTCTACATCTTCCCGAGGCAAGCGTGTCCACAAGCCTATATCAAAGCCTAGTTTCTACATCTTCCCGAGGCAAGCGTGTCCACTAGCCTATATCAAAGCCAAGTTTCTACATCTTCCCGAGGCAAGCGTGTCGAATTGCCCATATCAAAGCCTCGTTTCTACATCTTCCCGAGGCAAGCGTGTCCACAAGCCAATATCAAAGCCTCGTTTCTACATCTTCCCGAACCAAGCGTGTCGAATTGCCTATATCAAGCCTAGTTTCTACATCTTCCCGGGGCCAAGCCTGTCGTATTGTCTATATCAAGCCTAGTTTCTACAACTTCCCGAGGCAATCGTGTCCACTAGCCTATATCAAAGCCTCGTTTCTACATCTTCCCGAAGGCAAACGTATCCACTAGCCTATATCAAAGCCTCGTTTCTACATCTTCCCGAGGCAAGCGTGTCCACTAGCCTATATCAAAGCCAAGTTTCTACATCTTCCCGAGGCAATCGTGTCCACAAGCCAATATCAAAGCCTCGTTTCTACATCTTCCCGAGGCAAGCGTGTCCACAAGCCTTTATCAAAGCCTAGTTTCTACATCTTCCCGAGGCAAGCGTGTCCACTAGCCTATATCAAAGCCTCGTTTCTACATCTTCCCGAGGCAAGAGTGTCCACTAGCCTATATCAAATCCTAGTTTCTACATCTTCCCGAGGCAAGCGTGTCCACTAGCCTATATCAAAGCCTCGTTTCTACATCTTCCCGAGGCAAGCGTGTCCACTAGCCTATATCAAAGCCTAGTTTCTACATCTTCCCGAGGCAAACGTGTCTCCTAGCCTTTATCAAAGCCTCGTTTCTACATCTTCCCGAGGCAAGCGTGTCCACTAGCCTATATCAAAGCCTCGTTTCTACATCTTCCCGAGGCAAGCGTGTCCACTAGCCTTTATCAAAGCCTAGTTTCCTCATCTTCCCGAGGCAAGCGTGTCCACGAGCCTATATCAAGCCTAGTTTCTACATCTTCCCGAGGCAAGCGTGTCCACTAGCCTATATCAAAGCCTCGTTTCTACACCTTCCTGAGGCAAGTGTGTCCACTAGCCTTTATCAAAGCCTCGTTTCTACATCTTCCCGAGGCAAGCGTGTCCACTAGCCTATATCAAAGCCTAGTTTCTACATCTTCCCGAGGCAAGCGTGTCCACTAGCCTATATCAAAGCCAAGTTTCTACATCTTCCCGAGGCAAGCGTGTCCACTAGCCTATATCAAAGCCTAGTTTCCTCATCTTCCCGAGGCAAGCGTGTCCACTAGCCTATATCAAAGCCTAGTTTCCTCATCTTCCCGAGGCAAGCGTGTCCACTAGCCTATATCAAAGCCTCGTTTCTACATCTTCCCGAACCAAGCGTGTCGAATTGCCTATATCAAGCCTAGTTTCTACATCTTCCCGAGGCAAGCGTGTCCACAAGCCTATATCAAAGCCTAGTTTCTACATCTTCCCGAGGCAAGCGTGTCCACAAGCCTATATCAAAGCCTAGTTTCTACATCTTCCCGAGGCAAGCGTGTCCACTAGCCTATATCAAAGCCAAGTTTCTACATCTTCCCGAGGCAAGCGTGTCGAATTGCCCATATCAAAGCCTCGTTTCTACATCTTCCCGAGGCAAGCGTGTCCACAAGCCAATATCAAAGCCTCGTTTCTACATCTTCCCGAACCAAGCGTGTCGAATTGCCTATATCAAGCCTAGTTTCTACATCTTCCCGGGGCCAAGCCTGTCGTATTGTCTATATCAAGCCTAGTTTCTACAACTTCCCGAGGCAATCGTGTCCACTAGCCTATATCAAAGCCTCGTTTCTACATCTTCCCGAAGGCAAACGTATCCACTAGCCTATATCAAAGCCTCGTTTCTACATCTTCCCGAGGCAAGCGTGTCCACTAGCCTATATCAAAGCCAAGTTTCTACATCTTCCCGAGGCAATCGTGTCCACAAGCCAATATCAAAGCCTCGTTTCTACATCTTCCCGAGGCAAGCGTGTCCACAAGCCTTTATCAAAGCCTAGTTTCTACATCTTCCCGAGGCAAGCGTGTCCACTAGCCTATATCAAAGCCTCGTTTCTACATCTTCCCGAGGCAAGAGTGTCCACTAGCCTATATCAAATCCTAGTTTCCTCATCTTCCCGAGGCAAGCGTGTCCACTAGCCTATATCAAAGCCTAGTTTCCTCATCTTCCCGAGGCAAGCGTGTCCACTAGCCTATATCAAAGCCTCGTTTCTACATCTTCCCGAACCAAGCGTGTCGAATTGCCTATATCAAGCCTAGTTTCTACATCTTCCCGAGGCAAGCGTGTCCACAAGCCTATATCAAAGCCTAGTTTCTACATCTTCCCGAGGCAAGCGTGTCCACAAGCCTATATCAAAGCCTAGTTTCTACATCTTCCCGAGGCAAGCGTGTCCACTAGCCTATATCAAAGCCAAGTTTCTACATCTTCCCGAGGCAAGCGTGTCGAATTGCCCATATCAAAGCCTCGTTTCTACATCTTCCCGAGGCAAGCGTGTCCACAAGCCAATATCAAAGCCTCGTTTCTACATCTTCCCGAACCAAGCGTGTCGAATTGCCTATATCAAGCCTAGTTTCTACATCTTCCCGGGGCCAAGCCTGTCGTATTGTCTATATCAAGCCTAGTTTCTACAACTTCCCGAGGCAATCGTGTCCACTAGCCTATATCAAAGCCTCGTTTCTACATCTTCCCGAAGGCAAACGTATCCACTAGCCTATATCAAAGCCTCGTTTCTACATCTTCCCGAGGCAAGCGTGTCCACTAGCCTATATCAAAGCCAAGTTTCTACATCTTCCCGAGGCAATCGTGTCCACAAGCCAATATCAAAGCCTCGTTTCTACATCTTCCCGAGGCAAGCGTGTCCACAAGCCTTTATCAAAGCCTAGTTTCTACATCTTCCCGAGGCAAGCGTGTCCACTAGCCTATATCAAAGCCTCGTTTCTACATCTTCCCGAGGCAAGAGTGTCCACTAGCCTATATCAAATCCTAGTTTCTACATCTTCCCGAGGCAAGCGTATCCACTAGCCTATATCAAAGCCTCGTTTCTACATCTTCCCGAGGCAAGCGTGTCCACTAGCCTATATCAAAGCCTAGTTTCTACATCTTCCCGAGGCAAACGTGTCTCCTAACCTTTATCAAAGCCTCGTTTCTACATCTTCCCGAGGCAAGCGTGTCCACTAGCCTATATCAAAGCCTCGTTTCTACATCTTCCCGAGGCAAGCGTGTCCACTAGCCTTTATCAAAGCCTAGTTTCCTCATCTTCCCGAGGCAAGCGTGTCCACGAGCCTATATCAAGCCTAGTTTCTACATCTTCCCGAGGCAAGCGTGTCCACTAGCCTATATCAAAGCCTCGTTTCTACACCTTCCTGAGGCAAGTGTGTCCACTAGCCTTTATCAAACCTCGTTTCTACATCTTCCCGAGGCAAGCGTGTCCACTAGCCTATATCAAAGCCTAGTTTCTACATCTTCCCGAGGCAAGCGTGTCCACTAGCCTATATCAAAGCCAAGTTTCTACATCTTCCCGAGGCAAGCGTGTCCACTAGCCTATATCAAAGCCTAGTTTCCTCATCTTCCCGAGGCAAGCGTGTCCACTAGCCTATATCAAAGCCTAGTTTCCTCATCTTCCCGAGGCAAGCTTGTCCACTAGCCTATATCAAAGCCTAGTTCCTCATCTTCCCGAGGCAAGCGTGTCCACTAGCCTATATCAAAGCCTAGTTTCTACATCTTCCCGAGGCAAGCGTGTCCACTAGCCTATATACAAAGCCTAGTTTCTACATCTTCCCGAGGCAAGCGTGTCCACTAGCCTATATCAAAGCCTAGTTTCTACATCTTCCCGAGGCAAGCGTGTCCACTAGCCTATATACAAAGCCTAGTTTCTACATCTTCCCGAGGCAAGCGTGTCCACTAGCCTATATCAAATCCTAGTTTCTACCCTTGTCACATCAAGGACACTCGCGTAGATCACGAGTTGTGCCCCTTGTAATGAAAACGCGTTCTCCAATCAGATCGCTGTTCTTATCTCATGTTGCTTCACAAAGATGGCGACTACCATAGACGACAACCTTGTCGATCAGATAACGAAAACATTCGCGATTTCACACATAGGCAATCGTTGGAGGGTTTAAAAGAAAAAGACATATTCGTGTCAACAAAGACAGGCAATCACTTTCATACAAAGGTGTACAGTCGTGGATGTTGATTTTGTGAAACGTTCTCTTACTGGACGATCGTAATCTCATTAAAACCAGATCTTAGTTCTCGCTATCGCTGAACAAAGATCTGAGGACATCCCATTACGGGTTTTGTCAGAACGACCTTTCATCCGACCAATCAGAGCGTAGCTTACCAGATCATGAAAGTGACAGTCGGAATGTGTTTTCTAATCATGCAACCTCGAAAACGTTTACACGGGGTATTTCGAACGTCAGTTACGGCCCGTACGACTGATTCTGTCAAAATTATCGTCTGTCTCTCGCTTCCGTGGGATAAACATTTGAACGGAGGAGGCGTTGCAAACTACGTTGGAAGCACTGCCATACAATCGCGACCATATATTGGACATTCCGGAATGTTCGTTGGCTTAGTTTCCAGATATTTAATCGAGAACTGTGTCAACATTTTTTTTCAAGCGTAGTTTGAAATGGAAGTCGCCAGGTTGAAACGAGTGCCGTAAAGCTCGGGGAAGCTGCTTTCTAATTGGCTGATGTCGACTTCTTGTTAGTTGTTTCAGTGGTCGGTCAAAGTTCGCGAGAGGTCGTTCTGCCGTGACCCGTAATGGGATGTCCTCAGATCTTTGTAGCGGTAGCGGGAACTAAGATCTGATTTTAATGAGATTGGGACTATCGATGTGTGCGATAGTCCAATTAAATTTAGCACAGGAAAGTGGGCTTGATATGGAAAGGGTGGAAAGAAGACTTTGATAAAAGCTAGTTGACGCCCTTGCCTCGGGAAGATGGCACACATCCAACCAACCGCGGAATCTGAAGCTCAGAGACTGATTGCAAACGGTCCTGACAAGTCCTGCACATTGGATTCAATGATGGCTGCTAAAAAAGCTCATGATGATATTCTGCGAAGGACTTCGGTATTCCCCGTACACTGGTATACCCTGATACAATTTTCCAACAATACATACTGCGATACTATCTAAATGGGTCGGTATGTTGAGAAAAGACGTAAATGTTACCTGAACTCACTGAACGCATTGCTGCCTCCCGTTTGAAAGTTCATAGGACAGACCATGGAAGCAAGAAATGCTGCAGAAACTGTCCTGAGAGAGCGTGTTCTTATCAAACAGAAGACACTGATGGAGCATCCATACGTCTCCTGTTGGGGACTGGTCATTTATTGTAAGGGGGGGGGGGGGGGGAGTGGAGGATGAGAGAGAGGGGATCGCCAAAATTCATCTATATGAAAACCGATCATATACAGAAATGGATTACGAGTAACTGCTCAAACTTATCCATAGCAAAATAGATCTTCCACAACACCTGCAGTGACGGTCTGTGCAACACCTGACTACTTACAAGACTATCGTCCTTGTCTTCAAATGTCTATGGACAAGCTCCTGTGTATCAAGACTCTCTCCTGTAACGTCCCCAACAATCTCGATCGATCAGATCAGGTGATCAGTGTCAAGTAAAGGTGCCCTGGGAAGCACAAATATATATAGTTTCCTGATCGCTTCTTTGAAAGGGCAGGACCCTACGTCTGGTACGAGCTCCCCCTTCAAGTGATGACTTCTTCCAAGTTGCCCATCATGTTTCCTATTCGCCAGTGTCAGGGAAGATTTACTTCTTTAGGGTGAGTGAGTGAGTATCGCTTTACTCCGCTTTTAGCAAAACCACGCGACGGACACCAGAAATGGATTTCACATTTCTCATTTTCAACTAGTGAGTGAGTGAGTATGGTTTTACGCCGCTTTTAGCAATATTCCAGCAATATCACGGCGGGGAACACCAGAAATGGGCTTCACACATTGTACCCATGTCGGGAATCGAACCCGGGTCTTCGGCGTGACGAGCGAACGCTTTAACAACTAGGCTACCCGACCGCCCCTTTTCAACTAGTAATGAGGACAGGGTCCTTTGATAAGTTCTCATTGTGTTAATAACTGACTCACCTTGACTGTCTCAAATGAAGACAAAAGAGACAAAGTGTGCGTGCGTGTGTGTTTCTGGTGTGTGTGTGCGTTAGTGATTGTAATTGAGCAATAACATGGGGAGTGCATATTTGGCGCAAAAATAGAATTATTATTAACATTGGGACGGGCACACGAGTTAGCCCAGTGGCTCGTCACGGGTAGTTCAGGATCCGAGTCCCAACACAGACATATTACCACCCACCCGAACCAACCCACCCCGTCCCAACCCGTCGTAATACTGCCATCACTTAGTCCTTGTGTACCACTCCCAGCATTAGCTACAGCGGTGGCCTCAGTAGCTTCACATCTTGCAGGTCGAAACAGGTCCCCCACTTAATTGCGCCCTGATTATGACAGTTAATGTGAAGTAATGACACCTCTCCATCGTGTGACCGTGGAGCACTGTGAGATGCGAGGGGGCGAGATGCAGTACTAGATATATCTACTCGCCTCCCGCCGGACGAGACACAGTCACAGACACCCTGGCCAGGATTAACCTAGAACATGATGTTGGCTTTCGTTGCATTCACAGGTCAGTGACCTTTTGTCCATCTGGAACTGCAGGGGGGAAATCTCTCTCTCTCTCTCTCTCTCTCTCTCTCTCTCTCTCTCTCTCTCTCTCTCTCTCTCTCTCTCTCTCTCTATCTATCTATCTCCCTCTCTCTCTCTCGCTCTCTCTTCTTCGATCTCTCGATCTCTCTCTCTCGACCGCCTCCGTGATCTAATGGTAGGGCGTCCGCCCGGAGAGCGGAAGGTCCGGGGTTCGATCCCCGGCCGCGTCATACCAAAAGACGTTAAAAGATGGTACTTGTTGTTACCCTGTCTGACGCTCGTCATTAAGGGGCTAAAACAAGGACTGGTCGGCTCGGAGTCAGTACACTGTGTCTGAGTGGGGTATTCAAGTACAAGTACTAGTGCAAGCAGCCACACACATACATACACGTGCATGCACGTCGCTATATAAGTGCAATAATCTTGGACGCGACGTTAAACCCCATTTCACCTCACCTCTCTCTCTCTCTCTTTCATGATAGTAGTTATACATCCTGTTTGTGTTCTATCTGCTTCCACTCTACGTTATCACTGGTGATTTCAGTGCTGCTGGGTCTCGTACTGGGGGCAGGCTCGGACCAAGAGGCAGAGTCGGTCGCTGGTGAGTATATCTACTGTACAATGAAACCTCTTTAATGTGGACCCCTTCAGCGAGGACATCCCGCCTTCCAGATGTCTGCTCTTGGGTACGTTTAGAATTCCATAACTCGTTAATACGGACATTTGTTAATCCGAAATATTTCTGTCCGGAATAACGGTATTTTACCGTACACACCAGCTGCTAAAGGGCACGCGGCACCAGGTACGGAGCCTCATCCTTTGAAAACGCCCCTCGGCACAGTTAACTGAAACACGGTCCGTCAGGCGCTGGATCTCTTGACCTGAGGTCAATCAGACACAAAGCCGTATATGTACGTTTTTCTTGGTATTAGGAGACACGGGTGGCCAAGTCTTCTGGGGCACTGCAATTCGATGTACAGAGTTGCATCCCTTGGACACGCCACGAATGCCGGTTTGCCCCGATTGTGGTTCTGTTTGTCAGCACCATCCCCGTGCTCGTGGATTTCACTTAAGTGGTAAACTTTTAATACTTGCATCACTTCGGGTGTTCCTCCCTCAACAAGCTCACACGACGTAATGTAACTGGAATAATGTTCAAAGCTGCGTTAAACTCAACTCACTCACACTTAATACTTTTCCAGGCAAAAGATAGTATACATCGTTGGTGGCTAAAAATTAAACAAACAAAAAAATGTTCATTCAATGGCGATGTATTTGGTTCGGGTTTCATGGTTGCTTTTTAGAAATGCTGAACAATGACCCATGGGGTGGTAGTTAATATATCTAATAGCTCAATGGTGGGTTTAAGTCAACACTGTGAAGGTCAAGGTGTGATTGCAGCGTTAGAAATAACCAGGAACGCTCTGGCTAATGGTCGTTAATTATACTAGTTAGCACTTCTGAATCTGAACAAGCCGGCACATAGTTGTAAAGCACGGGCCCGTTTCACAAAGCGATCTTAGCTATACGTATTTGCCATGATTTAACATACACTTACGATACTCGATAAACTAAGATCGCTTTGTGAAACGGGCCTCAGTTGTAAATTGGGTGTTCTGTAACACAAAATGGTAAAATAGCCAATGTAATTCATCTCACGCGGGAGTTGATATTCTGTCAGACTGTGCGCTTAAAGTCGTCACAATTTTATAGATGCTCATAATATCAACCACTCTTTTGTCTGGCCCAGACACAATTATATGCAGGCCCCCGTAACGTAGCTGGAAAACTAGTCATTGGGTCGAAAAACAACAAACACTCGTAGAAAGTTAATGAGAATCTTTCCACATGTTTCGACCCGTGAAGATTCCGGGGAAGAATAGGTCTTCAGCAACCCATGCTTGCCGTAAAAGGTGACTAACGGGATCGGGTGGTCAGGCTCGCTGACTTGGTTGATGCATGTCATCGATCCCAATTGTGTGGATCGATGCTCATGATATTAATCACTGGATTGTCTGGTCCAGACTCGATTATTTACAGACCGCCGTCATATAGCTGGAATATTGCTGAGTGCGGCGTTAAACAACAAACAAACCAACCAACCAACCATCCAAATGTTTCAGGTAGAGTGAGAGATGCACTACATTCTGTCGCCGCTTCCATTAGCTCTGCAGATGTCTTGAAACGCGCCCCCCATTGGGACATGTCGAGGGACCCGGATTTTGAGAGTGAGGACGTCCCCGGTGATGACTGGGACAACGGAGGCTGGGGGAACGGTGACGTCAGTCGAGATGTCAACCCAGACGTCCCTGACAAAGCACATGGCGAAAAGTCTGAAACATGGTCTCTTGGCAACGGTGATAGCATTGAAATTAGCCAGTTGGGCGATGAAGGCAGCGTCAATGAAGAGTGGTGGGGCGTCTAATCACGTCACATACAGATGACGTTGTTCAATAACGTCACATGCTGGCCAGCTTACGCGTTGAATAAAACATATACTCATTCACCCATGTTGTGTGCTTCCTAAACCTAAAGGTCAGGTGGTGCGATCATCCTCAATCTTCTCTCGGTTGCCCGGGGGGGGGGGGGGGGGGCATGACCTAACAATGTTAATTGATTCGATTATCAGAAATGAGCGACTTCCTGCCAGTAATGGCGGCAGCGACCTTCAGCGAACGGAGGGTAATTTTAGGTCATTTTGGCTGCCTGCTTTGTGGACGTAGCTTGTCTTCATCATGAGGGCGTGTATCGTCGCGGGGACGGCCTTGATACTAGGTAGGTAAACAACAATGGAATAGAGAATAAGGTAATACACTGTTGGTTAATTGATATGTGTGAAATCATGTAATATACAGTTCTACAGTATTGATAAAAGGATAATTTATACAGTGTATACAATGGTAGGGAAATAACGTATATGCATATCGTTTATATACTGGTATGTATATAAACATGTTATATCGATGGTCATGTTGTTCATGCAGAGGAGCACCAAGGCGCTGTAGTTTGCAGTGCAGAGTTGCGTCCCTTGGGTATGCCACAATTTGTCCTGATTATGTATCTAGGTTTGTCAGCACCATACCCCTGCTCGTGGGTTTCACCAAATTGGTAAACCTCAAAGACCTGTACCACTTTGGGCTTTCCGCCCACATTACAGCTGACACGCCGGGATATAACTGGAATATTGTTCAAAGCGGCGTTGATCAAAGTTGTTTCACACCAGCATCTGACTTCCTCTGCAGTTATATAGGTTAAAGAAGATTTAGCTAAACCTTTACACCTCACATATAACCGCAATAAGGCCCGGGATACCGGATAACCATCTTCCCGAGGCGAGTGAGTTAACTGACTATAAAAGTCCAGTTTCCACCCTTGCCGAACAAGGCTGGTATTATGGAGTTACGTTTTGGCTGGACCCGTTTTATCACAATATAAATCTTGATTATCAATCAGATCGTCTTAACTGGGCGCCGCCATTTAGTTTGAAGCAAATGCAAGTGATACGAGAGGTGGAATTTGATTGGTACATTGGAGAGGCATAGAAGGGACATAACTCGTAATAGCCACTGGTGGTGCTACGATCGAGCCCAAGAATTCCAGCCTAGTTCGGCAAGGGTGGAAACTAGACTTTTAAAGTCAGTAAACTCTCTTGCCTCGGGAAGATAAGAGGCCCCTAGCAAGAAGCAACCGAATGGATCGCTGGTCAGGCTTTGCGTGCAATCGTACCCGGACGGCGTGGATCATTGCTCACAATATCGATCACTGGATTGTCTGGTGATTATTTACATGTCACCGTCTTTTTGATGGAATATTGCTGAGTGCGGCGTTAAGCAACAGACACATTTACACTGTACATAAATAATGTCGGAATTACCCCCCGCGCCTCGTCGTCGTCTCCTCGTTGGGACAATAGGACATTACAATGTGCCTATCGTAAGAGCGGACTAACGTTATTATGGTGTGGTATGTATTATGCGACCTCTCTGGCTGCCGCCGTGCCCGGATGGCGTGGTCACACTATTCACCTCTATTTTGTCGTGTCCACGTTCAATAACTGCACTTGCAGCCATGGCGAAGATGGCACATCCCTTCTCTATCATAGTAGAGCACACTTAACGGATTTCTTTTCTACCTTCAGTTTGGAAAACAATCCATTCTGATTGGTCAGTCAGAGGTTACAAATCACAATAACCACCTCTAAATAAAACAACTGCTTTGACGACCGCATTACCGCGGAAGATAATATCTATATATTTTTCTTAGTCATTTTCGATAGGCATTTTGAAATAATAATGTGTACAAATGTAGACAGCAACCTCAGAGTTGCGGCTACTACAGTATTCCAAGTATGTGTGGCATCAGATGTTGACAGAAAACACTGCAGAAATCGAATAAGAGAGTGTATTTAAAGTTTAGGAACAACAAAGAGGTGAGGTGAAATGGGGTTTAACGTCGCGTCCAAGATTATTGCACTTATATAGCGACGTGCATGCACGTATGTGTGTGGCTGCTTGTACTAGTTCGGACTGATGCCGATTTATAGTGCTAGCACACTAAAATATCATGCCGCAGTTTAACATGAATACCCCACTCAGACACAGTATACTGACTCCGAGACGACCAGCCCTTGTTTTAGCCCCTTAATGCCAGACATGGTTACAACAAGTACCATCTTTTAACGTCTTTTGGTATGACGCGGCCGGTGACCGAACCCCGGACCTTCCGCTCTCCGGGCGGACGCTCTACCACTAGACCACGGAGGCGGTTCGGGAACAACAAAGAACCTTGCAATTATGACGTGCGGTGAAGAACTAAACCGTGCAAGGCGTGCTTCATTCTTAGGGCGTCACAATTTCATTGCATGCATATATAAGGTAAGGTACAATGAAATACAAAGTTTGATCATATACAGCGTCATGCTTTGTTCAACGGCAATTACGGCTTCCTAATTCAGATCAACAAACCACTCCAAACATTGTATGAAGAGTTGCGCTTCACTGAACATCTTCACTAAAGTTTGCGTTACATTTTGTCCCGGCATAATGGTGCTAAACATACTGTGTTTTAATATGGAGCTGGGTTACATGTAGATTTAGCATTTGTGTTCGGTTCCAATTCAGTTCTATGTTAGATCTAAGTAACCTTACTCTAGCTTGTAAACACAGTATGTCCCTCGCGCACTTCAATGTTCTGATGTACATGAAACAAGTCATGCAGAAATCTTTTCTTAACTTTTCTTTGAATTGCGTTGCAGCAACAGTAGTGTTGTGTGACGTCACAAAGGTGAAGACGTCAGAGGTCGCTGATGGTTCCCTTCCTGGTAAGTAATCACACATTATCACACACGATCACACATTATCACACGGTATTCCACACTATTACATATGGTCACAAGTTATCACATGATCACACATTATCACACGGTATTTGTTTGAGACAGAATAGGTTTTTATTAGGTGTTTCAACCATACAATATTTTTCTCAGTATTTTTCGAAAAGAAAAAGTCAGTTTCAGGAACAGATTACTATTTCACATTACAGTAAAGTACGGTTATAACGAACTCAAAGGGACTACTAATTTTAGTTCGTTATAACCGTAGTTCGTTATAAGCATATATACAGCATAACTACAGCAAATAGTCGGGACCAAAGAAGTAAGTTCGTTCTATCAGTCAGTTCGTTATAAGCGTGTTCGTTATAACCGTAGTTTACTACATTATACTTTGTTTGTTGTTGCTGTTCCTGCTATATGACGGCGGTCTGTAAATAATCGAGTCTGAACCCGACGATCCAGTGATTGACATCATGAGCATCGATCTACACAACTGGGATACGATGACATGCATCAACCAAGTCAGCGAGCCTGACCACCTGATCCCGTTAGTCGCCTCTTACGACAAGCATAGTCGCTTTTTACGGCAAGCATGGGTTGCTGAAGACCTATTCTACCCCGGATATTTTATATCTGAGGAACACCGTGTGTGCGTTGTATATCGGGTACAGGCCTAAGTTATGCTTGAATAACACAAGATGAATCTGGTCAACCCCTGTTGCCAGAAATGTGGTAACGTCTTTTGACTCAGTTCAGTCAAATTTTTATGATCGAACACACGTAGATTTCACTAACGCGATCTATAATACAGTCGTAGGCTATCTCCAAATATGTATGTCTTCAGCGCCATCTGTACAGTCCGTATCACCAGTGGAACGCTCAGCCATTCAATACTCTTGTCTTGGAACAGCCTGGTCAGCAGGATAGCTTTGTGGTTGGAACATATTTTCGTCACAGCCTAGCAACCGGGGATTCCCTACATTGGCACAATGGGTGAAGTCCACTGGCGTCAAATCACACTTGCCATTGCAACATATCATTTGATATCTTGGTAGGCAAACAAACAAACAAACATAATATTAAAGGGTTTATGCCTTTAGACCAGTCACACAAATGCTTTCTCCCCTGTTTCAGATCACCTAGTTCGCTCTGTTGAAGCTGCAAAGGCGTTTCTCCGGAAGCGGAAGTCAACTGACGCCATTGCGGGGGACCAGAAAAAGCGAGGCTGGGAGTTTGACGATGACGAGGAGGAGGAGGAGGAGGAGGAGGAGGAGGAGGATTGGGATGTTAATGGGAGGTACATCGGGAGTAGATACCGCTTCCGGACCCACTCAAGGTACCCCAGCAGGATTAACCTTGGCAGGATTAACCTTGGCAGGATAAACTCAAGATACCCTAACTATGGTTACAAACGTCGCCATGGCAACAGGCCTAACTACCGGTACCGAGGTAGAGGCAGGCGATAGCTACCCAGTAGGTGGCGCTATAAGCAAAGACGTCGTCCTGTTGGGTCACATATTCAGCAATAAATCGGTCGAAACTCTCAGCAAGTTCTGTTGTGAAGAACTTGTGAATATCTCTCCTGGATATTTCTGCCGTTATCATGAATATGACATTTCCACTCCAGGGTCCCGATCAACAAAGCGTTCGTAGCGCTACGACATTCGTAGGCCTTTGAAAAACTAGAGTGGCGATAGGTCGTAACGCTACGAGATACGCTTAGATCTGATCACTATTTTCAAATGTAAATTTCGTGCATTGAAGTATTTCATGTTGCACGGCACTATATGTTCATTTTGACTGATATACAGTAAACTACGGTTATAACGAACCCAAAGGGACCACTTATTTTAGTTCGTTATAACCGTAGTTCGTTATAAGCATATATACAGCATAACTACAGCAATTTTTAGGGACAAAAAAGTAAGTTTCTTATATCCGTCAGTTCGTTATAGGCGTGTTCGTTATAACCGTAGTTTACTGTAGTGTCACAAAGGGGTATTTTGTCTTTGATAGAGTTAATGTCAGTGAACTTTGACATTTTCTTGGGAAACTGAAAAGCAAAACGACAAGGCATTTCAACGGTGCCATAATATTGGACACGGTATTGGCAACATGGCATCACTAAAGATCGTCAAAGATCACTCACTCCTTATCACCACAGCAGCCCCAGATCGCCATATCCGGGTCATCGTGTAGACGTGTGTCCCTTCGGAACAGGACAATCACTGCAGTGAGTGAGTGAGTTGGGTTTAGCGCCGCTTTTAAAAGTATTGCAGCTATATCACGGCGTGACAGCTTAATGTGGGAGGAAAGCCCAAACTGATGCAGGTCTCGGACGTTTACCACTTCGGTGAAACCCACGAGCACGGGTATGGTGCTGACAAACCTTGAAACATAATCGGGACGAACCGGGATTCGAACCCACAATCATAGGTTTCTTGCGTGCCCAAGGGACGCCACTCTGCACAGCGAATCGCGGCGCCATAGACGACTGGGCCACCCGTGCCCCCGACACTCACTGCAACAGAATGTTCTGCTTTACGTCGCGTATCTGCCCAAGAGCAAGGAAGCCCTACATTGGCGTTATTTTACCTCAACGTAATCGACAACAGCGACTGCAGGGGCGGTGGGGTAGCCTAGTGGTTAAAGCGTTCGCTGGTCAGGCTGATAACCCGGGTTTGATTCCCCAAATGGGTACAATGTGTGAAGTCCATTTCTGGTGTCCCCCGCCGTGATACTGCTGGTCTATTGCTAAAAGCGGTGTAAAACAATACTCACTCACTCAGCGGCTGCAGGTGTGTCTAATACATCATCAGTGTCTTCCCCAGCGTTGGCGTCGCGTTTTCTATAGTATAAAATGTCGTGTTCTTCTTATTGAGTTGCGAACCAAACGGCGACAAGTTCGGTGGGGGAAGCGTCATAGTGTAGGGGGTCATCTCTAAAGGCGAAGAACAGTTCATGTTAGTCAGGGCAACTTAACAGGTGTGCGTTATCGTGACGTCTTCAAGTACCAGGCTCCATTTTTCTGCATGACAATGCTCGTCCCCACGCAGCATGCATCTGTGCTGATTTCCTGATAGCTCAGAAAACAAATGTACTGCTGTGGCCGTCAAGGTCACCGGATCTCAGCCCAGTTGTGCATTTGTGGGACAGACGATTACATCAACGTCCACGAGGGCTACATAATCTGCAGCAACTTCTTCAAGCTCTTCAGGAGGAATGGCTACCATTCCACATGGTTTCATGAGCAGGTGTGCAGTCACCCAGGTCAATGGTGGACAAATACGGAACTAGACTGTACGCCTGTTGTGCTTCAAATAGTCATGTGACTAGTACGTGCAAAGATTTCTCCGTTTTTGATTGATGAACTTTGTAATCTCCCAAACACGGAGATATATTGATTTTAAAGATTCGAATACCTCATAAAATGATTTTCGGTCGGAGTATTAGAAATACATTTAATGTTCGCGTTCAATAAATTCGCGTTACGTGTTTTTAAGCCCCGGGTATTTCATTCGCAATATCAAATGTCGAGCAATAATTTCGTACATGGAAATTTTCCTTTGTCGCTATTGGAGGGTTATTTTGTTTGTTTCTTGTTTAACGCCGCACTCAGCAATATCCCAGCTATATAATCGAGTCTGGAACAGACAATCCAGTGATGGACATCATGAGCATCAATTCACTCAATTGGGATACGCATCATGCATCAACCTAGTCAGCCTGAGCCTGAGCATCCGATCCCTTTAGTCGCCTCTTACGACCAGCATATGTTGATATGGACCATCATATGTTGATATGGACCAGCATATGTTGATATGGACCAGCATATGTTGATATGGACCAGCATATGTTGATATGTACCATCATATGTTGATATGGACCAGCATATGTTGATATGTACCATCATATGTTGATATGGACCAGCATATGTTGATATGGACCATCATATGTTGATATAGACCAGCATATGTTGATATGGACCATCATATGTTGATATGGACCAGCATATGTTGATATGTACCATCATATGTTGATATGGACCAGCATATGTTGATATGGACCAGCATATGTTGATATGGACCAATTCTAAAACGGAATCCCCACGGGGTTATTTGAAGCTAAAGGTTACAAATCGTTATATAGTTGTTATTAGGAAAAGCAGTACTGCCGTTAGTTCACATGCTCTGTTAACAGCCAGCATGGTAATTGGTCACCTCTCCTGATTCCTCTCAGGCACGTTCATTAGTAGACAGCAACGACTGTCCCTCCCACGGGCTCGGCATCAACATCGTCGCCAACGCAAGGTCAAACTGGGATAATGAGAAATTAAGCAAAATTATCGAGGGTTTACTCAAAGAGCGATAACTATTCGAAATATGTCAAAGTTGCCCCATGTATTTGTTTTTTGTATATTATATATAATGCTGCCAGTTACCATAAATCAGAATGGTAATATGTTGTTGATGACATCACCACTATTACGTGTTTAACCATGTGTTATTGGTGTAGGGCGTCACGTTCAAGATTACTCGTCGGGTGTCGGAGAGTTGTGACGCCAGACAGGTGACGGAGCCCTTGTCAAGACGGGAGACTGAGCACGTGTTGAGACGGGAGAGGGGGGACGTTATAATATGACGTCAGACAGGTGACGGGACAGGTGTAACAGGTGACGACAGACGGGTGACGGGACAGATGTTATAAGTGAGGCCAGACAAGTGACGGATCCCTTGTCAAGACGGGACATATGTTATACGCGAGGTCTGACGGGTGACGGGACAGATGTTATAGGTGACGACAGACAATTGACGAGACAGGTGGTGTAGGTGACGGGACAGATGTTATACGTGACGCCAGACGGGTGACGGGACAAATGTTATAGGTGACGACAGACAGGTGTTATACGTGACGCCAGACGGGTGACGGGACAGATGTTATACGTGACGACAGACAGGTGTTATACGTGACGCCAGACGGGGGACGGGACAGGTGTTATAGGTTACGACAGACAGGTGTTATACGTGACGCCAGACGGGGGACGGGACAGGTGTTATAGGTTACGACAGACAGGTGTTATACGTGACGCCAGACGGGTGACGGGACAGGTGTTGTAGGTGACGGGACAGATGTTATAGGTGACGACAGACAGGTGTTATACGTGACGCCAGACAGGTGTTATACGTGACGCCAGACGGGGGACGGGACAGGTGTTATAGGTTACGACAGACAGGTGTTATACGTGACGCCAGACGGGTGACGGGACAGGTGTTGTAGGTGACGGGACAGATGTTATAGGTGACGACAGACAGGTGTTATACGTGACGCCAGACGGGTGAGGGGACAAATGTTATAGGTTACGACAGACAGGTGTTATACGTGACGCCAGACGGGTGAAGTGACAGTCGTTATAAATATTCCAGAAGTTAATGACAAAGAACAATATCGGTTTCGAAACAATAGAAATTTAATTAATCACAGCGTCCAACAACGAGCATAAATAATTCACAAAGTAGGAGTACGTATTCAGGAAGACGTCTGTCTCAGTTCCTTATCAAGCAGCTTTCCCCACACGCTATTATATGGATGGGCAAGTTCTGTCTTCTGATTGGCTGCATCCACCATGGGCCGCCTTTCATTGGCCCATTTGAACAAGGACCCCTCCAGGTTGTAGACGGGGACACTGGCTTGGGGCTCTGAAATATAACATCATACATAAGACCATATCAACTTATTGCGTTGTTCGTCAGAACCGCAGCCAGTTTATTATTAAAGTGTGTTTTCATTATACCCCGGGATGGGGATATAGGAATGGGTGCTGTCCATCCGTCGGTCCTTCCATTCGTCACGTTTAGCTTCCAGAGCATATGTCAAAGGCAATTGAATAATTCTTGATCACATTTTGCTGGCATTACAATTCCAAACTCTATGATACCGAAAAGTCTGTTAGTAGTGATTGTTAAAACAAAACGATGGCGTCACGCAATTGTTGTTGCAGTTGATTCAGAGCCAGGAATTCACTGCACATTTTGAACGTGCATTTTAAACACGTAAAATGACGCCATAGGCCACAGTGCCAAATTATCGAAAATTATACATCAACCATAACATGGTTTTAGTCGGAGAAATCATTCGAAAGTGTTGATACCGAGAGTCGACACGACTCGCTCCTTTGGAATTCGTTGTTCCACTTCCGGAATCAAAGAGTCGAGTGATTTCTCCCCACCTAGTGCAATGTGAAAATACCGACTGTGACAACTGTCATTTCACACATTTAGTTTCACAAACTTCTCCCTCAATGTTGCGGTTGGGTAGTCCAGTGGTTAATGAGCTCATTTACTGTGCAGAATCACGCTAGAGACCTATTATCGTGGGTTCGAATCCCGGCTCGTCCCGATTATGTTTCTTGGTTTGTCAGCACCATAGTCTTACTCCTATGCTTCACCAAAGTGATAAACGTGGACCTGCACCACTTGGGCTTTCCTCTCACAGACAGGGGGCACGGTTGGCCCAGTCGCCTAAGGCGCCGCGATTCGCTGTGCAAAGTTGCTTCCCTTGGGAACTCCAGAATCCTATGATTGTGGGTGCGAATCCCGGTTCGTCCTGATTATGTTTCTAGGTTTGTCAGCACCATACCAGTGCTCGTGGGTTTTACCGAAGTGGTAAACGTCTAAGACCTGCATCACTTTGGGCTTTCCTCCCACATTAAGCTGACACGCCGCGATATAACTGGAATACTGTTAAAAGCGGCGTTAAACCCAAGTCACTCACTTACCCTCTCACAGTAAGCTAACATGATATAACTGGAATACAGTTCAAAGCATTAAATCCAACTCACTCATTGATTCATGTGGCTAGAAGATTGCTAAAATTAGAGTAAAACCCTATTCAATCACTCACACACGTGGCTCTCACATCACAGAAACATATGACCTTGCTTTTTGCTCATGGCGCTTTACTCATGATTCAGTCAGAGGTTTCGACAATTACCTTACTGATATACAGTAAACTACGGTAAAAACGAACTCAAAGGGACTACTGATTTTAGTTCGATATAACCGTAGTTCGTTATAAGCATTTATACAGTAAACGGCCGCGACCAAAAATAAGTTAGTTATATCCGTCATCTCGTTATAAGCGTGTTCGTCATAAGCATAGTTTACTGTAATTACCAACTTTGTCATGACTGCGGTATAGCCTTAGTTGGAGGTGAGTCGGACAAGCGTTACAATACCTTGTTGGGCAAGAAAAGCCTGTATCTTCTGGGCTGTGGCGCTAGATCTGTAGCCAACAGAACAGTAGCAGACGACAACTCGCTTCCGGTCCGTGGACTCTGAAACTAGAGACACACATTTGCATGAGTACTATAATATTTTTGCTGTTCAACAAACATGTGAACATAGTGCCGTCTACTCATGAGTGAACTGGCTTTAACGCTTTAACAGTGATTTATTCACATCACGGCCTGTCAGCTTGCTGTCGAGGGATCAAGCATTTTTTCATGACATCCTTCATGTACAAAAAACTTTTCTGTTTTATTTATTCAAAACCTAAGTCAGTATTCAGCCTGGTTCCCTGGGTATGCTGCGCTGGCGCTACACTGATTGTATGAGTAGACGGCGCTTCACTGATTGTATGAGTCGACGCCGCTACACGGCATGTATGAGTCGACGGCGCTACACTGCTTGTATGAGTCGACGCCGCTACACGGCATGTATGAGTCGACGCCGCTACACGGCATGTATGAGTCGACGCCGCTACACGGCATGTATGAGTCGACGGCGCTACACTGCTTGTATGAGTCGACGCCGCTACACGGCATGTATGAGTCGACGGCGCTACACTGCTTGTATGAGTCGACGCCGCTACACGGCATGTATGAGTCGACGCCGCTACACGGCATGTATGAGTCGACGGCGCTACACGGCATGTATGAGTCGACGCCGCTACACGGCATGTATGAGTCGACGCCGCTACACGGCATGTATGAGTCGACGCCGCTACACGGCATGTATGAGTCGACGCCGCTACACTGATTGTATGAGTCGACGCCGCTACACGGCATGTATGAGTCGACGCCGCTACACTGCTTGTATGAGTCGACGCCGCTACACTGATTGTATGAGTCGACGCCGCTACACGGCATGTATGAGTCGACGCCGCTACACGGCATGTATGAGTCGACGCCGCTACACGGCATGTATGAGTCGACGCCGCTACACTGCTTGTATGAGTCGACGCCGCTACACGGCATGTATGAGTCGACGCCGCTACACGGCATGTATGAGTCGACGGCGCTACACGGCATGTATGAGTCGACGGCGCTACACGGCATGTATGAGTCGACGGCGCTACACGGCATGTATGAGTCGACGGCGCTTCACTGATTGTATGAGTAGACGGCGCTACGCTGATTGTATGAGTCGACGGCGCTGCACTGATTGTATGAGTAGACGGCGCTGCACTGATTGTATGAGTAGACGGCGCTGCACTGGTTGTATGAGTAGACGGCGCTTCACTGATTGTATGAGTAGACGGCGCTGCACTGATTGTATGAGTAGACGGCGCTGCACTGATTGTATGAGTAGACGGCGCTGCACTGATTGTATGAGTAGACGGCGCTTCACTGATTGTATTTGTCGCTACACTGCTTGTAGCGCCAGCGCAGCATACCCAAGGAACCAGACTGAGTCAATATGGTGTTTTCAAGTATTTTCTGGAACATATTATTCAAAAACATAAAATCTCAACGCCAGAGAAGAACCAGTCTCGATTATCCTATGAAACTGATGCCATTGGCTGTAAAAGTCAAAACAGAGGTGAAAATTGTATGAATTGATCACTGAAAATTAGCGAAGAAATCTCAGCCCCGACTCCTCGAACACCAAATATTCGGTCCACAGGTATGGAACAGAACCTTGAGACTTAGCCAGTGGAATAAGGTAAGTAGAGTAGATGCTGAGGACGATTTACCTGGCTGGTTAAACGAGGGGATGCCCTGGACGACCTGTGCTCCATCCTTCGCCTCCCAGTCCACACGGGTGCTGCCTTGGATGTGACTGATGTCATACTCCTCCTTTGGTCGACTGTCCTAGCAAAGAGAAATGTTGAGCCAACAACTGAGATTGAGTTTTTACGAGTGCTTCAAGTTATGATTTATCAACTCGTTAAAATACGGCATATATATTTTGGAACTGAGCTTTACCGCCACATCAAGTTCTTGATATTAATATTACAGATCGGTGTATCACAATAATCTACATATTGTGAATGCATTTTTTTTTATTTTGAGGAACTTCGACAACGACACATATCTCGTAAATTTGGGGTAACTTTTCAGACGTCAATGTCATGAGGGTGTCCATATCTGCATCACAAGAAAAGGAAAACAAAGACAGGGGACAAATTAATAGTGATGACACCAGGTGTTCGCAAAGACGAAGACGACAATGATTATATCATGGATCTAAATGAGGAGAGGGCACTTGTCCTTTTAGTCTCTTTATATCAGTAAAAATGGAACTATTGAGTGAAATCAGCCTTTGCTGGAATTAATTGTAAACCCCAAGCAGGTCAACACACTGTCTGCATCGAAGGACACATAACTAATAGGATGAAGATAGCATAGCCAAAATCAGAGACGGGCAGTGGGGTAGCCTTTTGGTTAAGGCATTCGCTCATCACGCCTAAGATCCGGGTTCGATTCCCACATGGGTACAATGTGTGAAGCCCATTTCTGGTGTTCTCCGCCGTTATATTGATGGAATATTGCTAAAAGCGGCGTAAAACCAAACTCACTCACTCAAAATCAGAAAGATGTTTGATGACACAGGGCAATGTGGGTCACGGTTACTCATATTTACTGATGGAAACGAATAAGGCAACAAATAGACAATATAGGGAAATAAGCTTCAATTATCAGTTGATTTAAAATCGCATGCATGCAACTTCAACATATGTCAGAAATACATAAGGTTAAGGTGTGTTTGTGTGAATTGTGAACGCATATTTGGTAGAGAGGTGAGGTGAGGTGAAATGGGGTTTCACGTCGCGTCCAAGATTATAGCGACGTGCATGTACGTGTGTGTGTTTGTGTGGCTGCTTGTACTAGTCCGGACTGATGCCGATTTATAGTGCTAGCTCACTGAAATACCATGCTGCAGTTTAACATGAATACCCCACTCAGACACAGTATACTGACTCCGAGACGACCAGTCCTTGTTTTAGCCCCTTAATGCCGAGCGCCAGACAGGGTAACAACAAGTACCATCTTTTAACGTCTTTTGGTATGACGCGGTCGGGGATCGAACCCCGGACCTTCCTCTCTCCGGGCGGACGCTCTACCACTAGACCACGGAGGCGGTCTTTGGTAGAGAGGACTGGGAGCCCATGATGGCATATCATTTTACTATGTCTAAAACTAAGTGTCCCCTTATTCAGTTCTATTAGTATATATAAATTCGATTTTTTTAACTGCCGATCAAAAAAAAGTATACCGCCATGTTTGATGACGGATAAAAATGAAATAAAAAAGAAATGGTTATTCGAAGGTGATGGTGATCATCAACGAGTATTTCAGGTCAGCCTAGTAATGTTTTGATAACGTTTGTAATTTTTTGGCCAAAACATATTTTCAAGTTTGTACTTTCTTTTGCGCGGCAGTTTATTATTTTTCAAATGATAATTGGGCAGGGACGATTAATGGTTTACTGACAATTAGAACGACATCCCTGTCTGATCCGGGCTTCATCCAATCAGCGAGCTGGTTGGTGGTGATGTTGCTGACTTGGGGGAATTTCAGTTTCAGGCTCTTGATAACCATTGTGAAACCTAATCCCACACTACGCGTGATGTCCCCCGGGTCACCGGCGGTGTCGTCTGCAGAAGCCGACATCGCTGTCCCCTACAGAACATAACAATGGGAGTCAGGTCGATAAAATGAAAATAATTTTACTTGATTTTTTTTAATCATCTTAGACTCTGATTTGGGTCCATAGAAGATAAAAAATATTCTTTGTCTGGTTTTGACCCTTATAACTATTATAAATGTAAAATCTAACAGCGACAATTCAGTTTATGGATTGTGAAGTCTGACGGTTGATCAGGGTATAACAGATATATTACACTTGTAATCCATTCACCTAATGGAGTAAGCGTATACTCCGAAACGTTGTGTTCCCCATAATAAAGAAGTTGACATCCATATATTCCCTTCCTGGTGATTATAGTTTAATAATTAAAAAAATAGTATCCCTGCAGTGAAAGCATTTTCGGATTTTGGATTGCGCGGATAATTCGATTGCTATCTCATGTTGTCATCCATGTTTCCTGGTATAACCCTACATCTGTGTATTGAAGCTCAGTTAATAAAGACCTGCCAGTGGACCCGTGAAAATCCGGGGTAGAATAGGTCTTCAGCAACCCATGCTTGCCGTAAAAGGTGACTATGCTTGTCGTAAAAGACGACTAACGGGATCGGGTGGTCAGGCTCGCTGACTTAGTTGATGCATGTCATCGATCCCAATTGCGTTGATCGATGCTCATGATATCAATCGCTGGATTGTCTGGTCCAGACTTGATTATTTACAGACCGCCGTCATATAGCTGGAATATTGCTGAGTGCGGCGTAAAACAACAAATAAACAAACACACAATCAGTTAATGAATTTATTGCAGGTATAATTAGTGAATCACTCGGCCTCCCTTGCCCCTTCCCTCGTTTGGAAAAAAAAATGTTTACAACTGCAATAGGTCTTTGGATAACAGCTTATCAAGATGAAGACCACAGTTCCATCGGTCCCCTTTCTGAAGCCAACGCTGTGAAATATTGCTTTCAGGTAGTATCCCCCCTTAACCCTTTCCAGGTTAGTGCACACTAGTTACCTCCCTTACCTCAGCCATAGCCTCTCGTTATATAGGTTTTTACACGGGATCTCATTAATCAACACTGTCGGGCTGTGTCAGGAACAACAGCAGTTCTAAACATGGCGAAACATACACCTAAGCCTATTCCTCAAGTACTTACGGCAAATATTACACGAATCAGCCGTGATTACCTACCCCAATGCATCAAATACTAGCGGAATATTCGACACGAATCAACCGTCTCGCTACCAAGTCCGCTCTCTTCCTGATTTATCGTCGGCAGATAAAAACGGGTCGATGTCTTCTTAAGGGGTATGTGCGCCTCCTGTGAGCAGGTGTTACCTCAAGATCAACTGCGGGTCAGCAAAATATGTTTACAGTCCCGGGCGAATGTTTTTGTTGTGACTATACCTATAACAAAGGCAGACAGCCACGTTACGATCGCTGTGACAAGGGCGTATGACCAGTGAAGAGATACCACGTGTGTAACCAATAACAATACCCTGTAATTCGCTGTGCAGAGTTGCGTCCCTTCGGCCTGCAATACATCTTTGATCCTTGGTTCGAATCCCAGTTCCTCCTGATCGATGTTTTTAGGTTTTTCAGCAGCAAACCTGTACTCTTGCGTATCACCAACACCTGCATCACTTCGGGATTTCCACCCACATCTAGCTGACACGCCATGTTATAACTAATATGTACATTCGTGACCAACTCGTGTTATTCCGGGACAAGTCGAATAGCGACTCGTGCCCCTCTCATGGCCATTTTTGCGACCGGGTTCCGTCTTAGCGCAAACGGGCATACCTAAAACAATTGTCAACTCGTTGCGTAATGGTTCACATATATCTCCCCATATATTATATATATTTCAGATGCAATGTAAAGCACATCTGGACATGCGGAATTATACAGAATGATTGAACACATTTATTTTTAGATGCAAGACATGTAAAATCAAAACATATTTCTGAGGGATTCTTTGATGAACAACTTGAAATCACACGCGCATTCTGATTGGTTTGTCGTATTTTCGCACATAACATGCATCGTTAGGGGGACGAGTCTTCTTGCAGGTTACGGAAAGGGGCGAGTGGTGACGAATTGAATGTATTGTGTACTGTTAAAAGTGGAGCTCAATTCATTCACCCACAAACACTGAATAATATCAGGTGTGCCAATGCATTTTATTAGCCGTCATTCCTAACTAAGAGTGTGAATATAGAGTATTAGCCGAGTGCGTCATTGTATAATAAATATTTTGTATTAGTAATATTTAAAAATATATAATAAATAAATAATATTCCTGAAAATGGTGTTTATGACACGGACAAACACGAGGCTTCAAAATGTCTTTGTCATGCCTTAAGGCCATCAAAAGTTGAGGCATAATATCATTCCCTAAAGTAACATTTGCAACAACGCCCCATTCAAGATATAGTGCCGAAGGATTTGAGTCATGTTTGTTTACATGAGCACCCACACATGGGGGTACTTCTCACAAACATCTTTATTATGAAACAGGATGGGACACTTACAAATGCCGTACACCCGTGAAGATTTCTGAGCAGGACAATAAATCCCCTATACCCCGCCACGAAGAAAACAGGTTGCTCGTAGACTTCTGCGCGGGACGATGCATGTTTTGCATCCCGCAACGAAGCAGATCCACTGGGTTTACGAGTCAATGAAGTCACGTGACACAGCACACGTTGATTTCAGCTCAGTCGAATCGCATTCAGTGCATTTTTTTGGTTTCTTTTGCAATGGCAGATCGAAAAATGTCGGCAATATAAATTCACTGTGGCAGCATCACCGAGGTATATGTGGTTTTATTGTTGCTGCTTTAAGGTCGCCTTCTGCCTTTGCAATTTCGGCTGACCTGCCTCTTTGAGACTCGAGTGTGAGAAGGGGAGGCAAATATATTGGGATTTTTAGTTTTGAAAATATGTGTTTCTTTATTGATAAGACTTCTGTCTTCGTATTGATATTTGATTTGATCTTCAGAAATTGATATAATTGTTTTGGCTGTTCTCTGTACGTTCGAATAACTGACCATCTTTCAGAAACAAGAGCAACTGACCATCCTTCAGAAACAAGAGCCAGTCTGGTCTTCGCTATTACATTGGCTTTAGGAAATGTACGACAGATTGCAGATTTAACTGCAATTCTTGTTTTACCGGAGCCCTGGCTGCGCGTGGTCTTGATATTCCAGTGAACAATGGATTCAGTTTGTTTTGTTTGTTTGTTTGTTTAACGCCGCACTCAGCAATATTTCAGCTATATGACGGCGGTCTGTAAAATAATCAAGTCTGGACCAGACAATCCAGTGATTGACATCATGAGCATCGATCTACGCAATTGGGATCGATGACATGTATCAACCAAGTCAGCGAGCCTGACCACCCGATCCCGTTAGTCGCCTTTTACCAATGGATTCAGGCTGAATGCAAAATCGGTATACCTTGTCCCAGTGCTTTTTGTGACTGAGTCTGAAGTGTGAGATGGCTACTTTAATGTTGAGTACAAGTACGACTTTTGGTGGATTTTGGGTTGAATTTTGTATAGCCATCTGCTGATCTTACTTGCATCCCACTAGGCTTGCCATTTGTGGGCTATGGAGGTTTTGCATGTATATCCGTTTCGTCAGGAGCTGGCCTCGCCATTGTGTCAGTTGTTTTGTCATTTCCATGAATGTCTATGTGAGACGGGATATAACATTATTGATTGTATTTGGTCTAGAGTGTCCGACGCTGATGTCTGGTAGTGCACTGACCAAGTCTGATAAGTGAAACGGAAGAGAAGCTGCATGCAAGATTATTGCACTTGTATACGGACGTGCATGCACACGTGTTTGGCTGTAAGCACTAGTCGTGACTGATGCTGGTTTAAAATTGCTGGCCTACTGAGGTGCCATGAGTCAGTGTATCATGGATACCGATCTTGAGGCAGGGTAACAAGACCACAATCTGTTAACATCTGTTGGTATGACACGACCTGGGGATCTGACCACCGACCCCTCAGGGAGGGTAACAAGACCACAATCTGTTAACATCTGTTGGTATTACATGACCTGGGGATCTGACCACCGACCCCTCAGGGAGGGTAACAAGACCACAATCTGTTAACATCTGTTGGTATTACACGACCTGGGGATCTGACCACCGACCCCTCAGGGAGGGTAACAAGACCACAATCTGTTAACATCTGTTGGTATTACACGACCTGGGGATCTCACCACCGACCTTCAGCTGGGTAACAAGAACGCAATCTGTTAACATCTGTTGGTATTACACGACCTGGGGATCTCACCACCGACCTTCAGCTGGGTAACAAGAACGCAATCTGTTAACATCTGTTGGTATTACACGACCTGGGTATCTCACCACCGACCTTCTGGGCAGACGTTCTATCCTTAAGATGGTGGAGGCAGTCTAACACCATCATGTTTCCACTGTCTTTATTTAGGGTTTAATGCCACTTCTCACAGAACTAAAACATGAACCTGATAACTGATGTGTCTGTGATGTGTTTGTTGTGGAACACCTACTCAGCAATACTCCAGCTATACGACAATGGCTTGTAAATTTTTAAGTGTGGACCTGACAATCCAATGATTGTGAGCAACGAGAACACCCGATCAACTGGTATAACTCCAAGGATAAGATGGTTCACAAAAACAATTTTTTATGTTCTCCAATATCATTTTGACATAAATCCATTTTTCACAAATTCACAAGTGTTCATATCTACATTTTATTCACAGTGCTATAAATTATTGCACAGATATCATGTGTAGATAATTAGTGTATTACCTCCACAGACGAAAATCATAACAAGAATAGAGTAACATTGTCTGAAACCAGTGGCATAAATACACATGGTCAGATGGAAGATCTGCTACAGTACATTCAGTAATAGTTTATAATCACTCCGAAATAACCACCAGCTGCTCGGTCACTTACAGTCACACAGATCATGTACACCCAACCATCATATTGGAGTGAGTGAGTTTGGTTTAACGCCACTTTTAACAGTATTCCAGTCATATCACGGCGTGTCAGCTTAATGTGGGAGGAAAGCCCGAAGTGATGCAGGTCTCAGACGTTTACCACTTCGGTGAAACCCACGAGCACGGGTATGGTGCTGACAAACCTAGAAACATAATTGGGGCGAACCGGGATTCGAACCCACAATCATAGGTTTCTGGCGTGATCAAGGGACGCAACTCTGCACAGCAAATCGCGGCGCCTTAGACAACTGGGCCACCTGTGCCCCTATAGATACCCCACCCATCCATCAGAAGCATGTATGTTGCTTGAACAGTACTTCAGTTCCATCTCGACCTGTCAGCTTAATGTAGGAGGAAAAACCGAAGTGATGCAGGTCTCAGACGTTTACCACTTTGGTGAAACCCACAAGCTCGAGTATGGAGCTGACAAACCTAGAAACATAATCGGGGCAAACGTGGATTCGAACCCACGATCACAGGTTTCTTGCATTGCTCCGTGAAGCTGCTGGGAGAGTGGGGGCAGGTGAAGAGAGGATTCATCAACACTCACACCTTGTTTACCACCTTCCTTCCACCATTGTATCCGTCCGTTCCCGGGACTGGCACAGTAGCTACATAGCATCATATCTCCATGTCAAAACGTATTCTTAATACTTGTCTCAAATTATTTTTGTTTTTTTGCAGTCTTTTTCTTCTTTCTTGAGCTCCCTACAGATTTGGCATCAACCTCATCCGAGGACCGCCGTTTGCGAGGACTGTCACTGTCGACCGACATGGTACTCGTCATGGAATCGGAGAGGAGGTCGCTAGAGTTATCTCCTCCTGCTCCATTAACCAAGGTCAGCTCTGCCATGTTCTCCACCACGTCCCCATTCTGCTGGCCAGAGTTCGTCCTCTTTTTCTTCTTCTGCTTCTGTTTCTTGCCAGTCTTTTGCCTGGAACACATACAGAGTGTCACCCAAGTGTATTTGATATCAACACAAGTCATTTAAAGTTTAAAACTCAGAGGTTAAGGGTGATTGTAAGATTCTATTTATCATCAAAAATCATTGTTCCAACTTTTTCAGTTTGTCAACAGGATGGAACCCCTAACCTTTTCCTCTAACATACTTGGACCATCAATCCAACAGTGGTAGCTGGTGATTAAAATTGGGATCTGATGGTGACCACTCTCACATAGACTGTTTAAACACTGATTTCATTTCAAGTAGAACAGAAATATCAGATAAATCTCATGCTTCAACAAAATTAATTTTCATCCAACATCCATATTGCTTCCATCACCTATCACACCTGCAACACCTGACCCATCACAAAGCTCTATAACGTGTGCCATACAGTGAGTGAGTGAGTTGGATTTAACGCTGCTTTTAACAGTATTCCAGTTATATCGCGGCGTGTCAGCTTAATGTGGGAGGAAAGCCCGAAGTGATGCAGGTCACAGACGTTTACCACTTCGGTGAAACTCACGAGCACGGGTATGGTGCTGACAAACCTAGAAACATAATTGGGGCGAACCGGGATTCGAACCCACAATCAGGTTTCTGGCGTGCCCAAGGGACGCAACTCTACACAGCGAATCGCGGCGCCTTAGACGACTGGGCCACCCCTGCCCCCTGTGCCATACAGAGAGGACAGTGTTTTCACCTGGTGAAGTTTAGCAGCCGGTTACACATGCAGCGAGTATCCTTGTTGAAGTGAGACTTGAGTCCTGTCAGCTTCTCCGTCACTTCATTGGTTGCAACCTGAATCAAGACACATGACATCATCATCACAGCGACATACTCAGTCAATACCTGTTTTTATGGACGGGAAAAAGGCATGGTCAAAGTTGAACATGAAGTTGAATTTTTTTGGGAGACGTGAAAAAAGGTATTGACCTCATATCAATTGTTTTGGCATATAATAAAGAGACATGTCAACCTAGCACTTCCTGGTAGTTCCCCTTCAACTTTTAGGAACTTAAGTCAATACCATAAATTAACAGATATGATTTGGAGTCAATATCAGTTAAGTGACACGTGACCACTTCTCGGCCAATGAAAATAGCAGAAACCTAGCTTAATGTAATAATACATAACAAATGTATTATCCCCTTTAGCACGGGTGATATTTTACTGGCTGACCAGCGTGTGACTTACCTGGCGCGCCGTGTCCGGGTGGATGAGAGAGAGGCGGACGACGACATGCAGCAGCTCCAGCGTGTACTTGGGCTTGAAGCTCTCCACCGACAGCCCCAGCAACAGCTGCAACACATATACATCAGGCATCTCACTATGTGAAGGCGGTGAGGAGGTGAGGTGAAATGGGGTTTAACGTAGCATCCAAGATTACTGCACTTATACATGTGTTTGTGTGGCTGCTTGTACCAGTCCAGACTGATGCCAATTTATAGTGCTAGCCCACTGAGATACCATGCTGCAGTTTAACATGAATATCCCACTCAGACACAGTATACTGACTCCAAGCCGACCTGGGCCCAATTGCACAAAGCGATCTTAGCTCTAAGATGATCTGAACTGCCATACTTTAACATAGGCTTATGATTAAGATTGCTTTGTGGAGATGGGCCCAGGCCTTGTTTTAGCCCCTTAATGCCGAGCGCTAACAACAAGTACCATCTTTTAACGTCTTTTGATATGATGCAACCGGGGATCCCGGATCCCGGACCTTTTGCTCCCTACCACTAGACCATGGAGGTGGTCTTCCTGTGAAGGCAGTTTACACTGTTAAACTATGGAATAAATATCACACCTCCTCCTCCAATATGACACCTCTCTGGTTGAACCTCTGAGGAGAACTCCATAGAAGGTTGAGTCAAGTAAACCCAGAGCAAACTTTGACCACCCAATCAAAATGAAGGATACCCTGGTTCTTGAGCCAATCAGATGTCAGCTTTCTAAAGCAATTCAGCTACATTTCCTTACCACCTTAATTTTAGAAATTAAACAAGCAAACCCAATCAGAACACACATATTTCTTCCGTTACACTTTTGGGTGTAGAAGCCATTGCTTTCAAACGACAGTGACCATAAAACATACAAAACAATACTGGCGCTGCCTTTATTATTTACATTCGGAACTATCAGTTTTCGAGATACAGACATCAGATATATTGGTCTGAATGCTTCGCTTAGCCTTGATACTGATTGGCTGATCAAACAGTTCACCTGATGCAAGCTGCTATGGAGAGGGTCAGATCATCATTTCTAAACAATGTTAAACAATGTTATAATGACTGCCAGTGCTACGTTTAACAATCCAGTGAATGAAATTTAACCAATGCCACAGCCAGCAAGGTTCCAGATACCAGTATATCCATGGTGCCTGTAAATGTAGTCTGGACCAGATAATCCAGTGATTGATCACATGAGCATCGATCCACACAATTGGGATACGATGACATGCATCAACCAAGTCAGCAAGCCTGACCACCTGATCCCGTCAGTCGCCTCTTACGACAGGCATGGGTTGCTGAAAATCAATTCTACCCTGGTTGGTTGGTTTGTTGTTTAACGCCGCACTCAGCAATATTCCAGCTATATGACAGCGGTCTGTAAATAATCGAGTCTGGACCAGACAATCCAGTGATTAATATCATGAGCATCAATCCACGCAATTGGGATCGATGACATGCATCAACCAAGTCAGCGAACCTGACCACCCGGTCGGGTTAGTCACCTTTTACGACAAGCATAGTCGCCTTTTACGGCAAGCATGGGTTGCTGAAGATCAATTCTACCCTGGATCTTCACGGGTTACTGTGCAGCTAGTAAGACTGACCGTGTGCAATGTTGTGGACAGTGCGGAGGAGAACTGTCCCCAGTGGTCATCTCCGACATCATGGGGCTGGAATGGAGGAGCATATGTTAGACAATAAATGTTCTACATAATGACTATGACAGACTACTGAAACTGAAAAACAATCAAGTTGATATTCTGTGTTATTTCACCAACAGCTTCTGGGGATGTCACGATACACCACTACATCACTGCATTGATAATATTCTCAGACAATACGATACATGATACACACTCATCTGTATCGATACATATTTAGACCCAATATTGATTTATATATTACAGCATGATGATAGCTTTAAATACAATCACTTGATAAGTGTTAATGCCCTATGAAATGTAAAAAATTCACTAAAATATTACCGTAAATTAAGTACTGTGATACATATCATATCGTGAACTTAGTATCGTGAAATGTATCACATCGGGAGACAGTCGTATCGTGACATCCCTGTCAATTTCACACATACAAAACTACATGAAGTCATTTGGATTCAAACATGTTCCCATTCTTTATCCAGACAGTCAGACTCAAGGATAGCCCTATTGAACATGCACATGTCTGTTGGATGTCTACTTACCAGGTTCTTGCCTGTTGTGAAGAGAGCTGACAGCAGGGAACAGGCCTGAGTCTGAAACAGACATCTCATTTGCTAACTTTTCCTGGTAATCGGTAAGATAATATGTTATTCCTTCATCATAGAGACCATGGAGTACATAGAATGAAGGGTTATTCATTTCAAGAACACATACATTCATCTGCATTTAAATGATTTGATACTAATATTCAGGACAACAAGGTCCCAATGGTGACTATGGAAGAGCAGAGTCTAACAAGACAAATGTCTGACCTTGGAGTGAACCTTGACCTTGGGATCGTTAAGAGACTGCAGGAGGAGATCAGTCAGCGGCCAGAACATCATCTGAAGGTGGAGTGAGTGAGTGAGTGAGTGAGTGAGTGAGTGAGTGAGTGAGTGAGTGAGTGAGTGAGTGAGTGAGTGAGTGAGTGAGTGAGTGAGTGAGTGAGTGAGTGAGTGAGTGGTACAGCTCCAGACACCATTATCACAGCTGCATTATGTCATATATTGTGAGTGATTAATGACATTATGCATGTTATTGCCCTACATGAACCATGACACTATGCATGTTATTGCCCTACATGAACCATGACACAATGCATGTTATTGCCCTACATGAACCATGACACTATGCATGTTATCGCCCTACATGAACCATGACACAATGCATGTTATTGCCCTACATGAACCATGACACTATGCATGTTATTGCCCTACATGAGCCATGACACAATACATGTTATTGCCCTACATGAACCATGACACAATACATCTTATTGCCCTACATGAACCATGACACAATACATCTTATTGCCCTACATGAACCATGACACTATGCATGTTATTGCCCTACATGAACCATGACACAATACATGTTATTGCCCTACATGAACCATGACACAATACATCTTATTGCCCTACATGAACCATGACACAATACATCTTATTGCCCTACATGAACCATGACACTATGCATGTTATTGCCCTACATGAACCATGACACAATACATGTTATTGCCCTACATGAACCATGACACAATACATCTTATTGCCCTACATGAACCATGACACAATACATGTTATTGCCCTACATGAACCATGACACAATACATCTTATTGCCCTACATGAACCATGACACAATGCATGTTATTGCCCTACATGAACCATGACACAATACATGTTATTGCCCTACATGAACCATGACACAATACATCTTATTGCCCTACATGAACCATGACACAATACATCTTATTGCCCTACATGAACCATGACACTATGCATGTTATTGCCCTACATGAACCATGACACTATGCATGTTATTGCCCTACATGAACCATGACACAATACATCTTATTGCCCTACATGAACCATGACACAATACATGTTATTGCCCTACATGAACCATGACACAATACATGTTATTGCCCTACATGAACCATGACACAATACATGTTATTGCCCTACATGAACCATGACACAATACATCTTATTGCCCTACATGAACCATGACACTATGCATGTTATTGCCCTACATGAACCATGACACAATACATGTTATTGCCCTACATGAACCATGACACAATACATGTTATTGCCCTACATGAACCATGACACAATACATGTTATTGCCCTACATGAACCATGACACTATGCATGTTATTGCCCTACATGAACCATGACACAATACATGTTATTGCCCTACATGAACCATGACACAATACATGTTATTGCCCTACATGAACCATGACACAATACATGTTATTGCCCTACATGAACCATGACACTATGCATGTTATTGCCCTACATGAACCATGACACAATACATGTTATTGCCCTACATGAACCATGACACAATACATGTTATTGCCCTACATGAACCATGACACTATGCATGTTATTGCCCTACATGAACCATGACACAATACATGTTATTGCCCTACATGAACCATGACACAATACATGTTATTGCCCTACATGAACCATGACACTATGCATGTTATTGCCCTACATGAACCATGACACAATACATCTTATTGCCCTACATGAACCATGACACTATGCATGTTATTGCCCTACATGAACCATGACACAATACATGTTATTGCCCTACATGAACCATGACACAATACATGTTATTGCCCTACATGAACCATGACACAATGCATGTTATTGCCCTACATGAACCATGACACTATGCATGTTATTGCCCTACATGAACCATGACACAATACATGTTATTGCCCTACATGAACCATGACACTATGCATGTTATTGCCCTACATGAACCATGACACAATGCATGTTATTGCCCTACATGAACCATGACACAATGCATGTTATTCCCCAAGAGTCCCAGTTGGGACTACTCACGGGATGTTTGTTCAGCATGTTGTGGAAGAACACCATGTGTAGACGGTGGTCCCTGAAATACACAAATCACAGTGGGCTGAGTATAGAAATATGCCTGGCCAATCCAAAATCACATATTGATGTCACATATGACAAAGCTGACCTGGACCTCAGAAGAGACGTGTTTGATTTCAGAAAATATAGAGGCACATCTCATGCTTGTCGTAAGAGGCAACTGAAAGGATCAGGTGGTCAGGCTCAGTGCCTTGGTTACGTGGATCTTTGCTCATGATGTCAGTCACTGGATTATCTGGTAAACATTTGATTATTTACAGGCTGCCATCATATTCATGGAATATCGCTGACACTAGTGACAGTGGTGTTAAACAAAAACAAAAACAAAAACAGAACTCACCGCCTGTAGAGGAAGTCCGACAAGGAGGACCTCACTTTGTCCAACACCTCCTGAAGGTAGGCTTCCTCCTGTCAACAGACATCAGACCATTGTACAGGATACCCTTCCCTATAGTCAACCATCTCCATAGTCAACCATCTTCCTAGTCAACCATCTCCATAGTCAACCATCAACCACTTCTACATGCAAACAGACATCACACCATTGCACAGGACCTTCAACCATCTCCATAGTCAACCATCAACCACTTCTACATGCAAACAGACATCACACCATTGCACAGGACCTTCAACCATCTCCATAGTCAACCATCAACCACTTCTACATGCAAACAGACATCACACCATTGCACAGGACCTTCAACCATCTCCATAGTCAACCATCAACCACTTCTACATGCAAACAGACATCACACCATTGCACAGGACCTTCAACCATCTTCCTAGTCAACCATCTTCCTAGTCAACCATCTCCATAGTCAACCATCAACCACTTCTACATGCAAACAGACATTGTACAGGATACCCTTCCCCATAGTCAACCATCAACCACTTCTACATGCAAACAGACATTGTACAGGATACCCTTCCCTATAGTCAACCATCAACCACTTCTACATGCAAACAGACATTGTACAGGATACCCTTCCCCATAGTCAACCATCAACCACTTCTACATGCAAATACATGTGACACCATTGTCCACAACACCCTTCCCCATTGTCAACCATCATGGCGTGGGACACCCTGTATCTCACACACTGTACCCAGATGGGGAATCACTTTAACCACTAGGCGACAGGGCAATTATCCACATAGTATAGAGATATAACACACTGGACAACTGAGGATGCCATTTCAAACCAAGCAATGTGACTGGCAGAGAACTTTCCAAAAATCCATTTGATAAGAGTATATCAACATTGAACTGCACTACATTATACAAATAATTACTCTTGACGAGGTAAATATACAAAAACAAGGAGCGGAGGACCCAACCCCTGATCTGGTCTGACCGGACAGAGGCCACACGTCAAGCAAACTGATTTTGGGAAAATGCGTTTTTTTATGTAAATTCTCTGCCGAAATTCACTTTAAAGTTTATGAAGTCTTTAAACCGACCTCTGTTTTATTACAGTAACTTAGCTGCGAGCTGTGAAGTGTTCATACAAGACGAGTCAATATTCATCACGTGACAGGTCAATACTGATCATGTGACGAGTCAAGGTGAGTGTCAGTCACATGATTTCAGGGTCTACATTGAAATGTATTGTTTCCTCATGTGGTCCGGATTAACCAATGGAATTGCAAGATTCTTAATAGAGGTATAACAATATATTATTTGGGTTAACACAACTGAGATTTTGCTTACTTTGTCAATTGGTACGCCATCTGACTTTGACCTTGACCTTGTCATCACAGTTGGGGGGGCATCAAGTTTCTGGTGAATCAAGAGACGGATCTGTCAAAACGAAACAGTATGTTAGCTGAGTAAGTGAGTTTGGTTTAACACAGTTATATCATGGCGTGTCAGCTTGACATGGCCCCAAAGTGACAAAGCTCAAAGGTGAAACCCAAGCCCATAAAAGAAACATAATCACTGCAAATTTGGGATTCGAACCCATAAATCAAACATATCTAGCGATCAAAAGGGAAGCAACTCTACAAAGTCAAGGAGAAATGGTTTACCATGTTTAAAGAGTTAACTCACAATGACAAGACACGCATCAGAGACCGCCTTCACAAGGTCCTGGCTGTGGGCTGAAACATACATGTAACCATAGCAACAGATATATCAAATATTGTCCACAGGTACACAAAATATTGTCAACTAATATACATGTCGTTGTCAACAGTTCTGCTCAAATCGAGGTTTGCTACATTCTTCCTGCAGAGATCCATGTCTCAGACACAAAAAACAAATTTAGCCAAGTGATACCCTAATTTTCCTTATACCAGTCAGCAATACTACAGCTATATTGTTCAGGCCTGTAAGCAATAAAGACTCAACCAGGAAAACCAGTGGTTGAAAGCATGAGCATTGTTCCACTGTCGGGAGGTGAGGTGAAATGGGGTTTAACATCACGTCCAAGATTATTGCACTTATATAGCGACGTGCATGCACGTGTATGTGGGTGTGTGTGGCTGCTTGTACTAGTCCGGACTGATGCCGATTTATAGTGCTAGCTCACTGAGATACCATGCTGCAGTTTAACATGAATACCCCACTCAGACACAGTATACTGACTCCGAGCCGACCAGTCCTTGTTTTAGACCCTTAATGCCGAGCGCCAGACAGGGTAACAACAAGTACCATGTTTTAACGTCTTTTGGTATGACACGGCTGGGGATCGAACCCCAGACCTTCTGCTCTCCAGGCGGACGCTCTACCATTAGACCACGGAGACGGTCACACTGTCGGGAGAGAATGACACAGGGAGCCAGGTCACACACAATCCATCAGCTCTCACGACAAGCAAGAGGGTCCTACTTTGCCCAGGATCCATACAGGCCGTCACAGCTGGGTGCTGGTCTTTTATTGTATGTTTGTTTCATACCGCACTCAGCAATATTCCAGCTATTTGATGACGGCCTGTAAATAACAGTCAGGACAAGATAATCCGGTGATCAATATTATGAACAACGTTCCACGTTGTTGTGGTACGATGACACTATTAACCAATTCGGCGCGTCTGACCTCTCACGGCTAACTCTAGCCCAGGAACAAGATGGCAACCTGTCCACCCATGTACACCTACCTTTCCGGGAGAACTGTATTAGGTTGTCCATCATCACAAAGGCACTGGTCTTCTCAAACTCAGGATCACTCTTTATCTGCAACAGTGTTTAATTTCATCCATGTTCACACATGACACAGAACAAGGCTTGATTTAAGGAACCTATCTTAACTTGCACCAGGTGCATGTTGACATGAAAATCTAGTTGCAAAACCGGGTTGCACTCTCGTCCCATAAATTTATTAAATTTCAAACATAGATGCATTAACTAGTAAATAAATGAAATCTCAGACCTCTGACAACAATATCACGATTTTACATAAAGTAATGACGTATTGCTGTAGCAAGTCAACCCATATCCAGAGCAAGTCTACCCATATCCAGAGCAAGCCTACCCATATCCAGATCAAGTCTACCCATATCCAGAGCAAGTCTACCCATATCCTGAGCAAGTCTACCCACATCCAGATCAAGTCTACCCATATCCAGAGCAAGTCTACCCACATCCAGATCAAGTCTACCCATATCCAGAGCAAGTCTACCCATATCCTGAGCAAGTCAACCCAAATCCTGAGCAAGTCTACCCATATCCTGAGCAAGTCTACCCATATCCTGAGCAAGTCTACCCACATCCAGATCAAGTCTACCCATATCCAGATCAAGTCTACCCATATCCAGAGCAAGTCTACCCATATCCTGAGCAAATCTACCCATATCCTGAGCAAGTCTACCCATATCCTGAGCAAATCTACCCATATCCTGAGCAAGTCTACCCATATCCAGAGCAAGTCTACCCATATCCAGAGCAAGTCAACCCACATCCAGAGCAAGTCAACCCACATCCAGAGCAAGTCAACCCACATCCACAGCAAATCTACCCACATCCTGAGCAAGTCTACCCATATCCTGAGCAAGTCTACCCATATCCAGAGCAAGTCTACCCATATCCAGAGCAAGTCTATCCATATCCTGAGCAAGTCTATCCATATCCTGAGCAAGTCTACCCATATCCTGAGCAAATCTACCCATATCCTGAGCAAGTCTATCCATATCCTGAGCACGTCTATCCATATCCTGAGCAAGTCTATCCATATTCTGAGCAAATCTACCCATATCCAGAGCAAGTCTATCCATATCCTGAGCAAGTCTACCCATATCCTGAGCAAATCTACCCATATCCTGAGCAAATCTACCCATATCCAGAGCAAGTCTATCCATATCCTGAGCAAGTCTACCCATATCCTGAGCAAATCTACCCATATCCAGAGCAAGTCTATCCATATCCTGAGCAAGTCTACCCATATCCTGAGCAAATCTACCCATATCCAGAGCAAGTCTATCCATATCCTGAGCAAGTCTATCCATATTCTGAGCAAATCTACCCATATCCTGATGGAGATATTTGCACTCTCACCTCTTTCTGCTTCTTGGCAAGACGTCGGAAGATGCCGAATGCCCTGTCACCAAGCTGTTTCTCCTCCGTCCGTCGATGTCCGGCTTCCATCAGCTGCAGCAACAGCTCCACCACATCCTGAACACAGACGGGAGGTAACTTACACAAGGGACATACCTTACACATGGAGATAGTAAGCAAGTCACCAAGTAGAAGGGATGCAACTCAATTTGAAACTAGAAAGTGTTTTTACTCGTAAAAACATATGTCTCCCCCCACTCCCCTAACCCCCCATTCATTCGTTTACTTCACGTTAAACCCCATCTCTTCATTCCCACCCTCCATTACTAAATAACAGAGACAAAAATAGAACTCCTAGAAATTTCAAACAACTAATGGGCACCACTTCAGTGCTGGGTTAATGTGTATACAAAGTTTCGCGAAAAAATATTAAACGGTTTCTGAGTTATGGTCAGGAAACAAAGCTTACCCCCATTCAGAGTCTATGTTCAACTTATCTCCACGGAAACGAGAAAAAATAAAAATGTCAAAAATCTCTAAATAGCAAAAGGCACCACTTCAGTGCTGGGTTAATGTGTATACAAAGTTTCGCGAAAAAATATTGAACGGTTTCTGAGTTATGGTCCGGAAACCAAGCTTACCCCCATTCAGAGTCTATGTTCAACTTATCTCCATGGAAACGAGAAAAAATAAAAATGTCAAAAATCTCTAAATAGCAAAAGGCACCACTTCAGTGCTGGGTTAATGTGTATACAAAGTTTCGCGAAAAAATATTGAACGGTTTCTGAGTTATGGTCAGGAAACAAAGCTTACCCCCATTCAGAGTCTATGTTCAACTATCTCCATGGAAACGAGAAAAAATAAAAATGTCAAAAATCTCTAAATAGCAAAAGGCACCACTTCAGTGCTGGGTTAATGTGTATACAAAGTTTCCCGAAAAAATATTAAACGGTTTCTGAGTTATGGTCTGGAAACGGTGGGAACGCCGACGCCGACGCCGACGCCGACGCCGACGGGAACCGTGCCAAAAACAATATGTCTCCCTCCATTCTGGGGGAGACATAATGACTCAGGTAGACATGTGACAGAGGTAGGAACATGAAGATAGAATGTTACTCTGCCAGCTATATGATAGATATAAATGTGTAATAAATCAAGTCTGGAGCAGACAATCCAGTGATTGATGTGAAGGATCTATGCCAGCAGGGTACGATGACATGTTGTCAATCAAGTCACCACACCTAACTACCCAGTCCACTTAGTCGCCTCTAACAACAAGCCTAGGTTACGGAGGACTTATTCTAACCAGGAAGCCAACGCAGGACTCCTACAATAATACCAGTCTGCTAACATGTACAACATCACAGCTACTCACCATGGCGTGCGAGGCCGACAGCTGGCTCTTCACCACCGTCTCCACCAGGTCCAGCAGTCTACAACACACAGCACAGGGACTGATACACACATACATCACAGGGACTGATACACACACATAGCACAGGGACTGATACACACACACAGCACAGGGACTGATACACACACAGCACAGGGACTGATACACACACAGCACAGGGACTGATATAAACACAGCACAGGGACTGATACACACACAGCACAGGGACTGATATAAACACAGCACAGGGACTGATACACACACAGCACAGGGACTGATACACACAGCACAGGGACTGATACACACATACATCACAGGGACTGATACACACACATAGCACAGGGACTGATACACACACACAGCACAGGGACTGATACACACACAGCACAGGGACTGATACACACATACATCACAGGGACTGATACACACACATAGCACAAGGACTGATACACACACAGCACAGGGACTGATACACACACAGCACAGGGACTGATACACACACAGCACAGGGACTGATACACACACATCACAGGGACTGATACACACACAGCACAGCACAGGGACTGATACACACACACAGCACAGGGACTGATACACACAACACACAGCACAGGGACTGATACACACACACAGCACAGGGACTGATATACACACAGCACAGGGACTGATACACACACAGCACAGGGACTGATATACACACAGCACAGGGACTGATACACTCACACAGCACAGGGACTGATACACACACACAGAACAGGGACTGATACACTCACAGCACAGGGACTGATACACACACAGCACAGGGACTGATACACACACACAGCACAGGGACTGATACACACACAGCACAGGGACTGATACACACACAGCACAGGGACTGATACACTCACACAGCACAGGGACTGATACACACACACAGCACAGGGACTGATACAGTCACACAGCACAGGGACTGATACACACACAGCACAGGGACTGATACACACACAGCACAGGGACTGACACACACACAGCACAAGGACTGATACACACACACAGCACAGGGACTGATACACACAGCACAGGGACTGATACACACACAGCACAGGGACTGATACACACACAGCACAGGGACTGATACACACACACATCACAGAGACTGATAAACACACACAGCACAGGGACTGATACACACACAGCACAGGGACTGATACACACACACAGCACAGGGACTGATACACACACACAGCACAGGGACTGATACACACACACAGCACAGGGACTGATACACACACACAGCACAAGGACTGATACACACACACAGCACAGGGACTGATACACACACAGCACAGGGACTGATACACACACAGCACAGGGACTGATACACACACAGCACAGGGACTGATATACACACAGCACAGGGACTGATACACACACAGCACAGGGACTGATACACACACAGCACAGGGACTGATACACACAACACACAGCACAGGGACTGATACACACATACATCACATGGACTGATACACACACATAACACAGGGACTGATACACACACAGCACAGGGACTGATACACACACAGCACAGGGACTGATACACACACACATCACAGGGACTGATATACACACAGCACAGGGACTGATACACACACAGCACAGGGACTGATACACACACAGCACAGGGACTGATACACACACAGCACAGGGACTGATACACACACATCACAGGGACTGATATACACACAGCACAGGGACTGATACACACACAGCACAGGGACTGATACACACACAGCACAGGGACTGATACACACACAGCACAGGGACTGATACACACACAGCACAGGGACTGATACACACACACATCACAGGGACTGATACACACACAGCACAGGGACTGATACACACACATCACAGGGACTGATACACACACAGCACAGCACAGGGACTGATACACACACACAGCACAGGGACTGATACACACAACACACAGCACAGGGACTGATACACACACACAGCACAGGGACTGATATACACACAGCACAGGGACTGATACACACACAGCACAGGGACTGATATACACACAGCACAGGGACTGATACACTCACACAGCACAGGGACTGATACACACACACAGAACAGGGACTGATACACTCACAGCACAGGGACTGATACACACACAGCACAGGGACTGATACACACACACAGCACAGGGACTGATACACACACAGCACAGGGACTGATATACACACAGCACAGGGACTGATACACTCACAGCACAGGGACTGATACACACACACAGCACAGGGACTGATACAGTCACACAGCACAGGGACTGATACACACACAGCACAGGGACTGATACACACACAGCACAGGGACTGACACACACACAGCACAAGGACTGATACACACACACAGCACAGGGACTGATACACACAGCACAGGGACTGATACACACACAGCACAGGGACTGATACACACACAGCACAGGGACTGATACACACACAGCACAGGGACTGATACACACACACATCACAGAGACTGATAAACACACACAGCACAGGGACTGATACACACACAGCACAGGGACTGATACACACACACAGCACAGGGACTGATACACACACACAGCACAGGGACTGATACACACACACAGCACAGGGACTGATACACACACAGCACAGGGACTGATACACACACACAGCACAAGGACTGATACACACACACAGCACAGGGACTGATACACACACAGCACAGGGACTGATACACACACAGCACAGGGACTGATACACACACAGCACAGGGACTGATATACACACAGCACAGGGACTGATACACACACAGCACAGGGACTGATACACACACAGCACAGGGACTGATACACACAACACACAGCACAGGGACTGATACACACATACATCACATGGACTGATACACACACATAACACAGGGACTGATACACACACAGCACAGGGACTGATACACACACAGCACAGGGACTGATACACACACACATCACAGGGACTGATATACACACAGCACAGGGACTGATACACACACAGCACAGGGACTGATACACACACAGCACAGGGACTGATACACACACACATCACAGGGACTGATATACACACAGCACAGGGACTGATACACACACATAACACAGGGACTGATACACACACAGCACAGGGACTGACACAAACACAGCACAGGGACTGATATACACACATCACAGGGACTGATACACACACACATCACAGGGACTGATATACACACAGCACAGGGACTGATACACACAGCACAGGGACTGATACACACACAGCACAGGGACTGACACAAACACAGCACAGGGACTGATACACACACAGCACAGGGACTGATACACACAACACACAGCACAGGGACTGATACACACATACATCACATGGACTGATACACACACATAACACAGGGACTGATACACACACACATCACAGGGACTGATATACACACAGCACAGGGACTGATACACACACAGCACAAGGACTGATACACACACACACATCACAGGGACTGATACACACAACACACAGTACAGGGACTGATACACACACAGCACAGGGACTGATACACACACAGCACAGGGACTGATACACACACACATCACAGGGACTGATACACTCACAGCACAGGGACTGATACACACACGCATCACAGGGACTGATACACACACAGCACAGGGACTGATACACACACGCATACAAAGCAGCAATAATTGCACACTGAAGTCTTCAAAATGCATTTTCATTAAACACAATCAAAACATTACAAAAGTTCAGGATTAACAAAGAAGAACATAATTGGCATTATATTTTATTCATTTATCATTTGAATAACATTGTATACTGGTGAGTCAGTGTCTTGTAAGCATGTATATGTAGATCAGCTAGAGCTAAAATGTTTGATATCATACATAGTACAGACAGTAAAATATAGTGTCTTGTTAAGACCAGACAAAAATCAGATTTCCATTATTATTTATTGTCCATGATGATCCCGATTCAAAAGGCACAATGCTTAAAGTATCCGTCCAATCAAATCACTCCCATGAGTGAGAGAAATTGATTGCTAAGTTCAAGATGGGAGAGATTGAGATGGCGACGTCACTTCCACAACAAAACTATTGCAAGGAATGGGTCCAGGGTACTTATCATAACTGAATGGAACAGACCGGAATAATTGTTCATCACTTACAACAGATTTTCTTACATCCTCTGTGTATATTTTATCAAAACTATTCACTGGTTTAAATTCATTCTTTCCATCGCAAAAAATTCCAAAGCACACGTACCACGCCTACATTATAGTTCATTCTGGGAGCACAGGTGGCCCAGTTGTCCAGGGTGCCGCAATTAGTTTTGCATGCATTGGGCATGCCAGAACCTATGATTCCTGGGTTCCAATCCCAGTTCACCCTCATTATATTTCTAGGTTTGTCAGCACCATACTGGTACTTATGGGTTTCACCAAAGTGACACATGTCAGAGACCTGCATCACTTCGGGCTTTCCTCCCACAGTAAGCTGACACGCTATGACATAACTGTTCAAAGCGGCGTTAAAAATAACTCTCACTCACTATTATACTTTCTTTCCATCACAAAAAACAACCATTTCCAAGCACATGTACCCCACATACACTTAAAGGGATACATGGAGTATATATAGGGTAGACAAATCAGGGCTCTTTGTACCTTAGTGGTGTCTAGCCGATGTGACTAACTCAATCTTATAAGAGTGAGTGAGTGAGTTTGGTTTAACGCCGCTTTTAACAGTATTCCAGTCATATCACGGCTTGTCAGCTTAATGTGGGAGAAAAGCCCAAAGAGATGCAGGTCTGAGACGTTTACCACTTCGGTGAAACCCACGAACACGGGTATGCTGCTGACAAACCTAGAAACATAATCAGGGCAAACCGGGATTCGAACCCACAATCATAGTTTTCCGGCGTGCCCAAGGGACGCAACTCTGCACAGAGAATTGCGGCTCCTTAGACGACTGGGCCATCCGTGCCCCCCAATCTTACAAGAAAATACATAGCTATGAAGCAGGTATTAAAAGGCCTGATACTGTCCTGGCAGTCGCACCCACCTGGATTTGAAGAGCAGGATCTGCCGTCGCTTCTCCTTCTCCTCCTGGGAACGCCCTTTCTTCAGGCTCCGGAACACCTCGGCCAGCTTCGAGTCCAACTTCATCATCTCAGAGTCACTGAGGTCAGACTCACTCTGTGATACGAATGATGAAAGAAATGGTCCATAAAAAGAAATGATTTCCTCAACAATTTTCTTTATTGGGCAACATCACATATATACATAAAATACAATGCAAATGAAGTTACAAAACACGAGATTCTTTCATATTACTATCATTACAATGTGTGTCGTGGCAGGGTGGGGCGGGGGGGGGGGGGGGCGTGGCATTGCGTAACGGGGCGGGGCGGGGCAGGGCAGGGCGTGGTGTGGCGTGTGTGTGTGACATAAAAATAGGGGGAGCAAAATATGATACAGTCCTAAGGCCAATCTCATTTTTTTGTATCTATGGAGGAATACACTAGATTTTAAGTTTATACCTCCATAAATTCAAATTCACATAACTTCACAGCCTGCTAATATAATCATTAATGATAACATGTCAATCCTAGCTGGATTGTGTGATATATTTACATTTGAGTGTACTGGAAGTGACCTCTGAACTTGACTACGAGTGCACATGAGCGAGCGGTACGATCAGGTGTTGAACCACACCATCAGCCAGGCCCTTATATTAAAGAGGAGATAGGTTCACACCAAATGGCAGTCCCAGGAAGTTTTATGTAAGTATGCATGTCATCGTATCCCAATTGCGTGGAACGATGCTCATGATGTCAATCACTGGATTGTCTGGTTCAGATTCAATTATTTACAGACCGCCGTCATATAGCTGGACTATTGCTGAGTGCGGCGTTAAACAACAAAAAACAAACAAACATTACACATGTCCCTTGACCGAGACGGGCCATGGACTCCAACACTCCAGAACATGGACACCTCCCTCTAATTCAGCATCCTTGAGCCTGAGGCCTGATTCTGCATTGAAGATGACTCACCTCTTCTTCATCCTCATCTTCGTCGTCTGCTACAGCCGCCTTCCCCAGCGCGACTTTCACCGTCTCCCGCAGCGCCTCATCCACTGTGACTTCAGGCTCCTCATCAGCGCTGCTCTCATCCTCGCTGTCGTCCTCGCTGTTCTCATTGTTGTCGTCTGTCGTCGTCGTCGTGTCGTCTGTCACGGAGTCAGCATCCATCTCCTCTGGAACTGAGATTGTGGTTTCAGTGAGATGGGAGTATAACCCTGATAACATAAACTGCATGATATTTGTAGTTTAACGCTGCACTCAGCAATACTCCAGCAATACGACGACAGTCTGTATCAATCAATTCTGAAGCAGACAGTCTTGGGATATGATGGGCAATGACCCAGGCTGTCTGGATACAATGACATGCAATCAACAAGTCACCAATTCAGACCACCGAATCCATTTCTCTGATGACAGACATAGTGAGTGGGTGAGTGAGTTGGGTTTAACGCCGCTTTCAACATTGTTCCAGTTATATCACGGCGTGTCAGCTTAATGTGGGAGGTAGCCCGAAGTGATGCAGGTGTAAGACATTTACCACTTCGGTGAAACCCACTAGCACGGGTATGGTGCTGACAATCCTAGAAACATAATCGGGGCAAACCGGGATTCGAACCCACAATCATAGGTTTCTGGCGTGCCCAAGGGACACAACTCTGCACAGCAAATCACGGCGCCTTAGACGACTGGGCCACCAATGACCGACATAAGTTGGGGACCTTTTCTAACCTGGACTCCCCAGGGTGAGTTGCATGCTGACACAACTAACTTGTCAACATTAAACCTGTTAATCAGAACAAGAACTATGCAACGATGGAAGATCTTCTCATGCCCACCTGGGGGTCTGTATTGGACATTCAAACCAAAATAAGTCTCAACATACACGTCTCAAAGAAAGCAAGTCCTATAACAGTGGTGGAGGGTTACAATACTCACTGTCATCCTCGAATGCCAGCATATCCTCTTCTTCATCTGCGGTCTTATTTGGCTGCAGTGCCTACAAGGTCAAGGTCAAGGTCATTGTTGGATAGAAAATGAGCTCGAAGCATCTTACATTAGTTTGTCCATGAACAGTTAGTTGGTCTCAAGCCTGCTCTTAACACTATTTCAGTTATATTATGATTTAAGTTGGAAAGTAGTGTCTACTTGCAAGCAAGAAACTGGTGGTGACAGAACTGATGTTATGAGTGTGAAATAATCTTGACTTTGAACCTACATAAAGTGATCTTAGCGCTACGATTATTATAGCTCCCATACACTAACATAGACGTACAACAGTCGTAGCGCTAAAATCGTTTTGTGATAGTGGGCCCACGTCTTGCAAGCTAATGGACAACACTTATTTAATCTCCTCTTACGTATTTCAAAAATATTACAAACGATGAAGAGAATGGAGATTAACTTTCTGCTTCCCTTTTAAATATTATAATGTTACCATTATGGAAAAAAGAGAATACATCAGAACAAGTTGCCACGCCTGTTTAACAAACAAAAGTTTCAGACTGATGGCAGAGACATATTTTCAGTCTAGTCTGACAACAAACGTGTTGTGTATCTAAATAGAACAACAGCAGCTCCTTACAGTGACAATGATGCCGAGAGCCTCCCTGGACAGATTGCTCTGCAGTGCCGTGAAGACAGTGTTGGCGATGACGCGGGTCAGGTTGGACCTCTGTGACATCATACTGACCAGAACCTCTGTGACCACCTCCATCCATGCAGGCTCTGTAAACAGCAGCACAACCGTCTTGAACGTGTGTGTGCATTTGTTTGCCATGTGTAACGCAGTAACAAGCAATGTTTCAGTTATGTGAAGAACAAAACATAAATTCTAAATATATCTAAAAATTGCAAAAGGCCCCAGTTGACAACCTGGTCTTTGTGTGTGCACAGTTTCAAGAAAGAATACCTAATAGTTTTAGAGATAAGGTCCAGACAAACACACCACTAGGAACAGAGTCAAAGTCAAACTTGTTTTGTTGAAAGATACTGAATGTTTTTTTGGTTGTCCACCCCCTTATGAGACTAAGTACAAACTGTTTCCTTGGAAATGGAGAAAAGTAAAAAATGCCAAAAATCTGTAAATAGCAAAAGGAACCACTTCAGGATGTTTGATATATCTGCCAATTTTTGTTGAAAAATATTGAACAATTTTCATGTTATGCTCTGGAAACAAAATGATTACCGAGAGACAAGGCGTCGACCATATCCTGCCTATTATATGCTGGGAGCATTAAAATCCTTGGTGAGCCTCAGAGTTTGAAACTTTCATTGACTTGTGTAGATATATATGATATCAAAAGACATGAAGGTGAGATTCTCTATTCAGCAGAACTCACCATCGTCCTGCTTGACTTTCTTCTTCTGAGTGGCCTTCTCGTAGCAGACGCGAAGGTCCTGGAATAACAGCCGGGACATTACATGACTTGGCAGAGAGTGACCAAACGCATCACTAACCCCTGGCATCAAGAATGGGTGATTAACATGGTTTGTTAGTTACTTAATGTTACGCTCAGCAATATTCCAGTAATATGACATCAACCTGTAAATTATCAAGTCTGGACCAGACAATCCGGTAACTGATATTGTGAGCAACCATCCACATCGACAGGGTACGATGACGCACAATCAATCAAGTCACCAAGTCACAGAGTCTGACCTACCAATCCCATAGGTCGCCTCTTACGTGAGTGAGTGAGTGAGTATGGTTTTACGCCGCTTTTAGCAATATTCCAGCAACATCCCGGCGGGGGACACCAGAAATGGGCTTCACACATTGTACCCATGTCGGGAATCGAACCCGGGTCTTCGGCGTGACAAGCGAACGCTTTAACCACTAGGCTTCCCGACCGCCCTCGCCTCTTACAACTAGGATAGGTTGCTGGGGACAACTTTAACCTTCAATTCCCACAGGGTGGTACAACAATGAACAGGAAGATAGCTAAGAGTTTTGACTTGCCATTGTAGCCACACCCAGGGAATAATATCATATTTCTCAAGAACATCAAATACCATCATGTTTGTTCATTGTTTAAGGCCGCAAGTAGCAATATTCCAGCCATATGACGGCTGTCCGTAAATAATCAAGTCTAGACAAGATAATCCAGTCATTGACATCATGAGCATCGATCCACCCAATTGGGATCGATGACATGCATCAACCAAGTCAGTGAGTCTGAACACCCGATCCCGTTAGACGCCTCTTACGACAAGCATAGTTGCCTTTTATGGCAAGCATGGGTTGCTGAAGACCTATTCTACCCCGGGTCTTCACAGGGGTAAATCCCATAGTAAGTGTTTCGTCATGATTAAAATGGTCAACATTCTTCTGATTGGCACCATGCTGCATGTGAGCTGGGGAGACCCTGGACCTACCTCCATGACTGTCACGACACTCTCAGGCTCGGAGAACAGCAACAGGCCCACGTAGGTGAAGAGCATGAGGAAGGCGTCGTGGTGCGAGATGGACTTCTCTTTCTTCCTCTGTTCAGGAGAGTCAACAACGAGTCAACACTACACACAAGGTACGCCAATATTCAACACATAACAAAATAACTCCAAGTTTAGCTGTTGAGGTGAGGTAAACTGGGATTTAACATCGCGTTAAAGATCATTGCACTTATATAGCGATGTGCATGTTTTAACATGGATACAAACTCCGAGGCGACCAGTCCCTGTTTGATTGCCTTAATGGCGAGCGTCAGGCAGGGTAACAACAACAACCACAACCTCTTAACGTCTTTTGGGCTGGGATCGAACATCCGACCTTCTGCTCTCTGGACAGACGCTCTATCCACTAGACCAGGGAGACTGTCATCTCATACTGAGTCAACATGTAGAGAAGTGACTGCAAGGCACATGTTGCACGAGAAATATTGCCAATGTTATCTGAGCATTTATTGGTCAGGGCATTCGCTGGTTTCTGTCTTGCTAGAACCAGGATGTGTCTCTATTTGTTGGTAAGCAATTGTATTTGTTTGTTTGTTTGTTTGTTTGTTTGTTTGTTGTTTAACGCCAAACTCAGCAATATTTCAGCTATATTACGGCGGTCTGTAAATATTCGAGTCTGGACCAGACAATCCAGTGATTGAAAACATGAGCATCGATCCACACAATTGGGATACGATGACATGCATCAACAAAGTCAGCAAGCTTGACCACCCGATCCCATTAGTCGCCTCTTACGACAAGCATAGTCGCCTTTTACAGTAAAAATAGGTTCCTGAAGACCTATTCTACCCGGTATCTTCACGGGTCGTAAGCAATAGTAAAAAGCAGCCGTATATATTCACGGATGGAGAAACGTAGCCATACAATCATGGAAGTACTTATGATTCAACCCACCTTCTTCTCAATCTGTGCTGCTATTTTCACCACCTCTTCCCAGATCTCCAGAATCTGGAACAATAACACGTAATAAACCCTCGTACTTATACAATACAGAGGAAATCCTCTTGACAAATAACATGTCTAGCTCATCAAATGACCTGACAAAAATGATATTTTCATATGTGCTATTTCACTCCGGTAAGATATTGATTTTCACTTATTCATATAAGTACAGTACATGTATTTCATCACTAAATAACCAATAAAAGACGTATTTGACCCTTCTTCAATGTGCATTCAAAACAAGTTGGTTACTTTCGTTAACAAAATAATTTAGATTGTTAGCTTTAATATTACATTGTTTTATATTCAACGCTGAAGGCTGTCAACGTCTTACTGGGGATTGCCGAACAACATCAGTGTGCAGTATTGCGTCGGTGAAAAGTAATACAGATAGAAACAAGAGTTACCTCCTCCTGAAGACCAGTCTCCAGCTGCAGAGTCACAGAGTCCGGGGACTTGATCAGAGTCTGCAAGAAAACAGTGGGTGAGTCAGTTGGATTTTACACCGCTTTCCAACAATCTCACGGCGGGGAACACCAGAAATGGGCTTCACACATTGTACCCTTGTCAGTACAACAAAAACTGCACCTGGTGAGTGGGTAGTTGGACGTCCATGTGAGTGTGGTGTTTACTGCAGCACTGTTTAACGAGGTGAGGTGAAATGGGGTTTCACGTCGCGTCCAAGATTATTGCACTTATATAGCGACGTGTATGTGTGTGTGTGTGTGTGGCTGCTTGTACTAGTCCGGACTGATGCCAATTTATAGTGCTAGCTCACTGAGATACCATGCCGCAGTTTAACATGAATACCCCACTCAGACACAGTACACTGACTCGGAGCCGACCAGTCCTTGTTTTAGCCCCTTAATGCCGAGCGCCAGACAGGGTAACGACAAGTACAATCTTTTAATGTCTTTTGGTATGACGTGGCTGGGGATCGAACCCCGTACCTCTACCTGGTACCGTCCGGTCGGACACTCTACCATTAGACCATGGAGGTGGTCCACTGTTTAACGAATGACTGGTAGAGTGGAAAAGGGGAGGGGGGTTGTTGTATTTGTTTGTGGGAGAAGTGAGGGAGTAAGTGAGTATGGTTTTACGCCACTTTTAGCAATATTCCTGCAATATCACAGCAAGGGACACCAGAAATTGTACCCATGTCAAGAATCGAACCCAGGGTCTTCGGCGTGACGAGCGAACGCTTTAACCACAAGGCTACCCCAATGCCCAGTTTGCGGAAGGATGGGTTGGTGAATGAGTGGATGGGTTGGAGGGTTGGAGGGTTGGGGAAAAGGTGGGTGCAGAGACAAGACTTGACACTATATTTCACAGTGTGATCATCATTCAATGAAGTAGTTTGACCCAATCAGCCATTTCACAGCTGAGAGTTTGGGAGGCCGCACAGGCTCCACAGCTAAGATGACCAACCTATGTCCATCTTAGCCAGGACCTACAACAAGCATCTGTATTGGGAACCTTTCTTTCTCAGAGGCTGAATCAAGATGAGATTCATCACATACTTGATGACAGATGTCAAAGAAATCATCCTGAAGTTTCCCTCTCATTCAGATACACATAACATATGCTTCCGCGTGTGATTAAATATGTAATTGAGAAATCAGAGAATATGCTGATTCTGGAAGCAGCCGCCAGGAGAACTGAAGGTTCGATCCCCGGCCATGTCATACCAAAAGACATTAAAAGAATGGCACTTGTTACCCTGCCTGGCGCTCGACATTAAGGGGCTAAAACATGGAATGGTCGGCTCGGAGTCAGTATACTGTGTCTGAATGGGGTATTCTCATTGAATCTCACTGAGCTAGCACTATAAACCGGCATCACTCCGGACTAGTACAAGCAGCCCCACCCACCCACCCACTTGAACTTGACATCCAGTTCGTAAACTGGATGTGCAGATTTCGGTTGATTGCAGGATTTGCAAGGTATTGTGTACCGTCAACTTTGCGTCAACAGATATTTTTCAAATCTTTTTATATTTTCAATCAAGCTGCTCACGTGATTTGATATTTTCTCGAAGTATGACCTGTTTTATTACAATATACATCTAGATTATCGATCAGATCATCTTCACTGGGAGTCGCCATTTTGTTTGAAGCAAATGCAAGTGATATGAGAGGTTGGTTGGTTGGTTGGTTGGCTGGTTTGTTGTTTAATGCCGCACTCAGCAATATTCCAGCTATATGACGGCGGTCTGTAAATAACCAAGTCTGGATCAGACAATCCAGTGATTAATATCATGAGCATCGATCCACGCAATTGGGATGGATGACATGCATCAACCAAGTCAGCGAGCCTGACCACCCAATCCCGTTAGTCACCTCTTACAACAAGCATAGTCATCTTTTACGGCAAGCATGGGTTGCTGAAGACCTATTCTACACCGGATCTTCGCGGGAATAAGATTGGTCAATAAGAGGGACATACAATGGACATAACTCGCAATAGCCACTGGTGGCGCTACGATCAAACCCAGGGTGGAAACTTGACTCTTACAGTCAGTACTCCCTTGCCTCGGGAAGATACATGATGGTTCACAGCTGCAGAGCGTACTCACGTCTGTGTACTTGACCACTTCATACACGAGACCCACATAGGACTGGAAGTGCTCGGCCCTGCTGCTCTTCTCTGCAACAAAGCAATACAATGTATCAAGATTACCGTCACTCTGACGCTAAGGACCATGTACCATGTTAACATCGAGATACGAAGTGTGCCACACAGCAATGTGCCATGGTGGGAGTGTTACACAAGTACCTACCTGGGTTCAATGTTGCCAGGGTGGGAGTGTTACACGAGTACCTACCTGGGTTCAATGTTGCCAGGGTGGGAGTGTTACACGAGTACCTACCTGGGTTCAATGTTGCCAGGGTGGGAGTGTTACACGAGTACCTACCTGGGTTCAATGTTGCCAGGGTGGGAGTGTTACACGAGTACCTACCTGGGTTCAATGTTGCCAGGGTGGGAGTGTTACACGAGTACCTACCTGGGTTCAATGTTGCCAGGGTGGGAGTGTTACACGAGTACCTACCTGGGTTCAATGTGGCCATGGTGGGAGTGTTACACGTGTACCTACCTGGGTTCAATGTTGCCAGGGTGTTGAGGGCCTTGTAGAAGTTGGCTCGGAGGCACTGCTTGACTGCATTGTTGGGCTGGTTTGCCAACACCTCACACTGTAAACATATACAAGTAACTCAGAGATCACAAAGTCTCCTTTACTCAGATACAATCCTCTGTGTGTGTAGATCTGAGGGTCCACAGAAGGTTGTGTCACTCCAAACGAAGGATGCTTCGGCTCTTTAGCCAATCAGATGTCAGCTTTGTAAAACAATTCTGCTTCATTTCTTTACCACAGTGATGAATATATTTTGATTTTAGCAAAACGAAAACAAAAAAAATACAGATATACCCTTGACAGTAGACACTACTGCAGGGTTTTTCCTGGACTTACAAAAGTGGAGGCCCAGGGGACCCCAATAATTAATTTTAAGGGTCCTTGCAGGCAGTATGAGGGTCCTGTAAAGTGATGAAATGATGTTGTGAACTGTACGTTTTGATAATTGATTTAGAGCCTGGAATGTTTGTTTGTTTATTTGTTGTTTAACGCCGCACTCAGCAATATTCAAGCTATATGGCGGTGGTCTGTAAATAATCAAGTCTGGACACAACAATTGGGATATCATGAAATGCATAAACCAAGTCAGCGAGCCTGACCACCTGATCTCATTAGTAGCCTTTTACAGCAAGCATGGGTTTCATGAAGACCTATTCTACCCCGGATCTTCACGGGTCGTGACTCTTGAATGATTAATGATCATGTGGCGGTGGTCATGATTGATGAATGAAATGGCAGATACCAATAACTGCTCTTGATGTGCTGCAGGTACAATGAAGTATTGTGCCTCCCTTGGGACGCAGTATGTTATTTTTCTGAGTCCGGTTTCAACATTTGTGTGTACTGGACACACATTTGTGCGTCGTGTCAAACCCTGCTACTGGGTGTAGAGGCCATGGTGCGGCTCAGAAACAACAGGATGTATAAAATATCCAAAACAATAAAACAGCAGGGATTTTGGAACACCCTGATTAAATTCGTTTTCACGATACAGAATCTTTCATACCAACAATCTATAAGCCTTTCCTGTGATTGGCTGATGAGAACGATCACCTGACAATACCTTCTATGGAGGTTGATGCAGAAAAATACCATAGAGTAAAACATTGGATGTTGGTGAGATTGTTGGTGAAGAAATGCATTCCAGGTGATTCCGCGGCATTTGTTTGCATGATCCAGCAATTGCTTTTGCCTTTATGTTTCCATAACCAAAAAAGTGACAGACTTGTTTCCTGGTTGGCTGATAAAAGAGTGGGCGGGGCATTATTGTGTTGGACATGTCACTGATTTCGTATGTTGTTCACGTTTTTTTGTGTATGGGCTGGGACGGATAACTCGGGTACTTGGGTCGAGTGGGTACTGAGTAGGACCTGGGTACCCACATGACTACCCAGATCCGTGGTTAGTCACGTGATTATGTTGTTAAATGGCAAAAATAATCAAGAACTCTGTGGTTACACTAGACCAACAAGGGACTAATGTTCACATTTCTTTCTGACTTTATATGTTTTAGAAAGGATAAAACTTCAGTTTATACCAGTATCTAAATACATTTTGACAGGAGTATGGTCAAATGTTTCCCAGTTGGACATTTTGTACATATCTCTTGAGACCTACAGGGTGTACCTGGGTAGGGTCGGGTAATAGGGGGCGGGAAGCCGGGTAGTAAATTTGGAGCCGTTCCCGCCCTAGTGTGAATAACTAAATAAGCAGTCTGTGTTATTGTTGACTGGTATTCATAAAACTTGACTTCAACATGTATTTTTCCGTTTGAAAAATAAACATTAAAACTGTGTAAATCTGTGTAATCTGATAAAGTCAATTCTAAATCAGATCTCATGACAACCGTTTACTAGAAGTAGGGGAGATAACCTTTCATTCATTAACTCATGTTGGAAATCTAAGATTAAAACTGACTTAAGTGTTCTTCAAACTTATTTCTCTTTACCGATAGACGACTGTTGGCATTAAGTGTGTCAGATTTACCTGAGGTAAAGAGTTGTTTGGACAGGTAACTGTGAAGAAGGATCGCGCCAACAGGAACTGTAGAACAGACAGCCGCCACTTGGGGTCCTTGACCTTGGGTGACGTCAACATGGAGCAGAACTGACTCACAGCCAGCTTCTCCTGACCACCGGGGAACCTGGAGTGAGTGAGTGAGTGAGTGAGTGAGTGAGTGAGTGAGTGAGTGAGTGAGTGAGTGAGTGAGTGAGTGAGTGAGTGAGTGAGTGAGTGAGTGAGTGAGTGTCGGGAGATAAACATTATGTGTCTTCATATTTACTGGAAATTTCATGTGGAACATTTTTTCTCTTGTGACCTTGACCTTTGACTTTGCTGCATATGCCAAAAGAATTCCCAGGGCCGACAGAATAAGAAAATTTCCTCAAAGGTGACCTTGAATGCATTCTGACGTTTGATGTGTTAGGATTTCTGATAAACATGTAAATATGCGGCAACCATGCGTCAGAAACTGACAATGACGTAACCATGTTTCACAAAAAGCTGAACGTTGACCTTGACTAATCCTTTTCATAGCAGGGCCCCACCCTATAAAAGGTATATACGAAGCTTTTAATGATAATGGCATTGAAACTTTTGCAGTTACACAATCTTGTGACCTTGACCTTTGACTTTTTCATGACATGCAAAAAGAATTCCTGAAGGCCATTTGGAAGAAGTCCATGGAAAAGATGAGATGAGTTGGGCTAAATCTTGCATTCAAGGTTATTGCACTTATAGGGCAACATGCATGCATGCTTGCACTTGTCGAACTAATTCCCGTTTTATAGTGCTAGCCCAATGATACAATCCTTGTGTAAGTCATTCGAAAAATCATCGTGTCTTTACTGCGAATGAAGTCGTTACTGCAGCATCAGCAATGTCCAGCCTGACTTGAGCAGGTACTCACGTTCTGTCTGTGCCGTTGATATACGCCATGAGAGACGCTGCATATTGTTTCACTGCCTCTTCGGATATCTGTAACAAGAGAGAAGCCTCAACCATTACTAGGTGTGTCACGATTCACACATGCACTGATGCACTAAGACAAAATCAGAAATAACACAGCAGAGAAAACACGAAATAGGCTTCACACATTGTACCCCATCTTCCCGAGGCAAAGTAGTTAACTGACTATAAAAGTCCAGTTTCCACCCTTGCCGAACTAGGCTGGTATTATGGAGTTATATTTTGGCTGGACTAACGAGTCAATGCATAGTCCAATCAAAATCGTGCACCGAAATCGAAATCCAGTTCGTAAACTGTCGTGCAGATTTCGATCGACTGCAGTATTTGCAAAGCATGTGCACCGCCAACTCGTTGTCAACAGATTTTATTCCAAATCTTTTCATGTTTTTAATCAAGGTGCTCACGTGATTTGATGCATTTCACGATGTAAGACCCGTTTTATCACAATATAGATCTTGATTATAGATCAGATTGTCCTGACTGGGCGCCGCCATTTTGTGTGAAGCAAACGCAAGTGATACAAGAGTTGGAATCTGATTGGTCCATAGGAGAGGATGAGAAGGGACATAACTGGTAATAGCCACTGGTGGCGCTACGATCGGGCCCAGTAATTCCAGCATAGTTCGGCAAGGGTGGAAACTGGACTTTTAAAGTCAGTTCACTCTCTTGCCTCGAAAGATGATTGTACCCTTGTTAGAGTAGAAGCCAGGGCCTCGGCATGAAAAGTGAGAAGCACCTCTAATAACTGGGACAATCCGAGGTATGGGAAGGGGGGTGCCGGTAACATTGTCATAGTTGAGAACATGGTAGGGTGTACTGGTAACATTGTCAGTGTTCATAAGGGAGCTGTGGTCTGTTCACAATGGCTGACATAGGTAGGGGGAACTGACCTTGTGTAGGATGGCGGACACTGTGTGGGTACTGGTAACATTGTCAAAGTTGAGGCTGCTGGGGGCCCTGGTGAAACATTCGAGTACAGCCGTGTCCATGTCTGAGTTTCCTGCTCCCAACTTGCTCAGTAGGCTTCCGACCTGCACAGACCGTTATATCTTTACATACACCAAGTTACACCATCATATACAACATGTTACACCATCGAATACAACATGTTACACCATCATATACACCATGTTACACCATCGTATACAACATGTTACACCATCGTATACACCATGTTACACCATCGTATACACCGTGTTACACCATCGTATACAACATGTTACACCATCGTATACACCATGTTACACCATTGTATACAACATGTTTCACTATCGAATACAATATGTTACACCATCATATACAACATGTTACACTATCGAATACAACATGTTACACCATCATATACAACATGTTACACCATCATATACAACATGTTACACAAACGTATACACCATGTTACACCATCGTATACACCGTGTTACACCATCGTATACACCATGTTACACCATTGTATACAACATGTTACACCATTGTATACAACATGTTTCACTATCGAATACAATATGTTACACCATCACATACAACATGTTACACTATCGAATACAACATGTTACACCATCATATACAACATGTTACACCATCATATACAACATGTTACACCATCTAATACAACATGTTACACCATCGTATACACCATGTTACACCATCGTATACACCATGTTACACCATTGTATACAACATGTTACACTATCGAATACAATATTTTACACCATCATATACAATATGTTACACCATCATATACAACATGTTACACTATCGAATACAACATGTTACACCATCATATACAACATGTTACACCATCATATACAACATGTTACACCATCTAATACACCATGTTACACCATCGTATACACCATCTAATACACCATGTTACACCATGTTACACCATCTAATACAACATGTTACACTATCGTAGACACCATGTTACAACATGTTACAACATCGTATACACCATGTTACACCATCATATACAACATGTTACACCATCGTATACAACATGTTACACCATCGTATACAACATGTTACACCATCATATACACCATGTTACACCATCGTATACAACATGTTACACTATTGTATACACCATGTTACACAAACGTATACACCATGTTACACCATCTAATACAACATGTTACACTATCCTATACACCATGTTACACTATCGAATACAACATGTTACACCATCGAATACAACATGTTACACCATCAAATACAACATGTTACACTATCGAATACACCATGTTACACCATCGAATACAACATGTTACACTATCGAATACAACATGTTACACCATCGATACAACATGTTACACCATCGAATACAACATGTTACACTATTGAATACAACATGTTACACCATCGAATACAACATGTTACACCATCGAATACAACATGTTACACCATCGAATACAACTTGTTACACTATCGAATACAACATGTTACACTATCAAATACAACATGTTACATCATCGAATACAACATGTAACACAATCGTATACAACATGTTACACCATCGTATACACCATGTTACACCATTGTATACACTATGTTACACCATTGTATACAACATGTTACACCATCGTATACAACATGTTACACTATCGTATACAACATGTGACACCATCAAATACAACATGTTACACCATTGTATACATGTTACACTATAGTATACAACACTACCACATCGTATACAAAATGTTACACCATCGAATACAACATGTTACACTATCGTATACAACATGTTACACCACCGAATACAACATTTTACACCATCGAATACAACATGTTACACAATCATATACAACATGTTACACCATCGTATTTATGTAACATAATCGCAAACAACATGTAACACCATTAAAGTGTTACATCACCGTATACTGCATTTACACAATCAAATACAACATGTTACACTATCATTTACATTTGTTACATCAGGTCTTTGTACAGGTCTACTGATCTATTCACTACAGCCTACTGGCAGGTTGTTTTTTTTTGTCTATTTGTTTTTTAACGCCGCAATCAGCAATATTCCAGCTATATGACAGCAGTCTGTAAATAATCAAGTCTGGACCAGACAATCCAGTGACTGACATCATGAGCATCGATTCGCACAATTGGGATCGATGACATGCATCAACCAAATCAGTGAGCCTGACCACCCGATCCCGTGAGTCGCCTCTTATGACAAGCATAACATGGGTTGCTGAAGACCTCTTCTACCCTGGATCTTCACGGCTCCACTGGCAGCTCTTTCTACAGGTCTACTCACTGCGACCTACTGATCTCACTACAGGTCTGTCTACTGATTTACTAACTACGGACTACTGATCTACGGTCTACTGATCTACGGTCTACTGATCTGCAAACTACGGTCTACTGATCTACTAACTACGGTCTACTAATCTACTGTCCATGGTGCTACTCACAATGCTGTGACATGTTGTGTGGGCAGTGCTGTCTTTTCGGGGCAAGTTGAAGACCAACATGTTCATAATAGCTGGGCTTAAGGTCTTCCGCAACTGGAAAATAGATGTCGTTGTTAAATAAACTACAACACACTACAATGTATTGGGTACATCCAAATACCTGATCTCTATCTGGTCAAGGCAACACAAGCGATCCAACACAGACATGTACCTTAGCTGCCGAGGCTTAAAGTTGCCTCTTCAAGCACAGAGCTATGCTCATATGTTTGACGACTGCGTAGGTTCAGGCTGTCCTCTCACTACAGCATCACTTGGTGATCAGTCCTTCATCAAGGAGCACTAACTCTACAGTCTGTCTGTCTGTCTGTCTGACCTGCACTCATAGCCTGGACTACAGCATCACTTGGTGAAGTCGTCCTCTCTCAAAGAGCACTAACTCTACTGTCTGTTTGTGTGTATGTCTGCAATCACAGCCTGGACTACAGCATCACTCTGGGCTGTCCTCCCACAAGGGTTGTTCACCCTACTGTCTGTCTGTCTGTCTGTCTGTCTGTCCTGCACTCACAGGCTGCATTACAGCATCACGCTGGGCTGTCCTCTCTGTCTGTCTCACCTGTGCTGGGTCGGTGATGTTGGGCACCATCTTGAGGTACAGGTGGAGACCCAGGTACTTGTGGCTGTGGCTGCCCTCGAGGAGCTTCACTGCAACCAAACAACACCATCAGTACTGGGAAACAGATCTCCATTGGGGATACCTGAGATATACACTGGGGGAGGGCAGGACAGAGTTCCAGAGAGTGTACGAGTTTAAGAGTAATTTATGAGGAATTAAGTGCCTAAGGGCAAGAGCGCATAAGGGCAAGAGCGCATAAGGGCAAGAGTGAATAAGTGAAAGCGTGCATGAGTTAGGACAAGAGTGAGTAGTTTGGTTTTACGCCGGGGGACACCAGAAATGGGCTTCACACATTGTACCTATGTCGGGAATCGAACCCGGGTCTTTGGCGTGACGAGTTAACGCTTTAACCACTAGGCTACCCGACCGCCCCATTAGGACAAGAGAGTGTGTGATTGTGTCAGGATGATTACAGCTTTACATTCCATTATCAATTTAACAATTATTCACAGAAAGTGTCAGTGATTGAGAGAATGCTGCATAATGTTGCATCAATACTTTATATCTGGCCAGTAGATAATGAAGTCTGGGCCAAAGTAGTTACTAACATCAGTACAATGCTGCACTTAAGCCACGTAACAGTCAGCCATGACACACATTGTGACCATCCAATCATCATTTTAATCGGGTCTCTCAGCGGTATGGAGTAAAGACTTATTCTGACCCGGATTCAGGTGTTTAGCCAGAGGCTGACCTGATGAATGGGCTTGTACACCACGAGACCGAGGATACGTGAGGGTCGGTGTATCTTGACACTTCCACTCTACCCTCTACTTACAGACAATTTGGTTGAAGAATCCCACAACATCATGGCCGCTAGCTGCAAGGTCGTCTACAATGACGTCAAGGATGCTGTGTATAACAGGATGATTTTCGGCAGATTTCTGAAAGAGAATAAAAAGAAACCTGTTAATCTTGGGAGTACTCTTAAAATATGTCTACAGTGAGCCCCTGTTATCCTCACAGCACTGTTATAATACGTCTACAGTGAGCCCCTGTTATCCAGACAGCACTGTTATAATACATCTACAGTAAGCCCCTGTTATACAGACAGCACTGTTATAATACGTCTACAGTGAGCCCGTTATCCAGACAGGACTGTTATAATATGTCTACAGTGAGCCTGTCATCCAGACAGCACTGTTATAATATGTCTACAGTGAGCCCCTGTTATCCAGACAGCACTGTTATAATACGTCTACAGTGAGCCCGTTATCCAGACAGCACTGTTATAATATGTCTACATTGAACCCCTGTTATCCAGACAGCACTGTTATAATACGTCTACAGTGAGCCCCTGTTATCCAGACAGCACTGTTATAATACGTCTACAGTGAGCCCGTTATCCTCACAGCACTGTTATAATACGTCTACAGTGAGCCCCTGTTATCCAGACAGCACTGTTATAATACGTCTACAGTGAGCCCCTGTTATCCAGACAGCACTGTTATAATACGTCTACAGTGAGCCCCTGTTATCCTCACAGCACTGTTATAATACGTCTACAGTGAGCCCCTGTTATCCAGACAGCACTGTTATAATACATCTACAGTTAGCCGCTGTTATCCTCACAGCACTGTTATAATACGTCTACAGTGAGCCCCTGTTATCCAGACAGCACTGTTATAATACGTCTACAGTGAGCCCCTGTTATCCAGACAGCACTGTTATAATACATCTACAGTTAGCCCGTTATCCAGACAGCACTGTCATAATATGCTTACAGTGAGTCTGTTATCCAGACAGCACTGTTGTGATACGTCTACAGTGAGCCCCTGTTATCCAGACAGCACTGTTATAATACGTCTACATTGAACCCGTTATCCAGACAGGACTGTTAAAAACATCTACATTGAACCCGTTATCCAGACAGCACTGTTATAATACGTCTGCAATGAGCCCGTTATCCAGACAGCACTGTTATAATATGTCTACAGTGAGCCCGTTATCCAGACAGCACTGTTATAATACGTCTGCAGTGAGCCCGTTATCCAGACAGCACTGTTATAATATGTCTACATTGAACCCCTGTTATCCAGACAGCACTGTTATAATACGTCTGCAGTGAGCCCGTTATCCAGACAGCACTGTTATAATACGTCTGCAGTGAACACCTATTATCCAGACACCTCTGTTACAATGGGTCTACAGTGAACCCCTTTTATCCAGATGGCTGTTAAAAGACTAGAGTGAACTTGTTATCCAGACAGCACTGTTACAACAAGATGGCTGGAAACTGGAACATCTTGTTGGCCAAAAACATTTAACAAGTCATTCAAGGTTGTTCATCGCACAGCAGGGATGTCATGAAATGCATGGTTCCAACATTTTCTTATCTAACAGGTATCTATCAGACGGTAACATGTATTCATTCATGCGTTGAACAATAAATTGTTTGTTGTTAAACACTGCAGTCAGCAATATTTCAGCTAGTGAGTGAGTGAGTTAATATTTAACGTCACATCGGCAATATTTCAGCCATATCGTGACGCAATATTTCAGCTAAATGATGGCAGACTGTAAATGATATGAGTATGGACCAGAAAAATTGTGTGGCTAAACTTGTGAGCAACGATGACAGGCCATCAACTAAGTCACCAAGTCTGACCACCTGATGCGTTTGGGTGCCTCCTTCAATCAGTAAAGGACCCGTGAAGATTCCGGGGTAGAATAGGTCTTCAGCAACCCATGCTTGCCGTAAAAGGCGACTATGCTTGTCGTAAAAGGCGACTATGCTTGTCGTAAAAGGCGACTAATGGGATCGGGTGGTCAGACTCGCTGACTTGGTTCATGCATGTCATCCATCCCAATTGGGTGGATCGATGCTCATGATATCAATCACTGGATTGTCTGGTCCAGACTCGATTATTTACAGAGCGCCGTCATATAGCTGGAATATTGCTGAGTGCGGCGTTAAACAACAAATCAATCAATCAATGAGTTAAGATTGTGGGGGAACAATTCTAACTCGTAATCCCCAAGGGGTTGTTGTCCAATAAAGCTCAACAAAGGTCCTTATAGCCAGGGACGAGTGACCGGCATGAACATTCTCACCTGCAACACCTGTAGCATGTTGGCATAGTTCTTCTCCCCGAATAACTTCATGCTTCCCCAATGTTTAGTCATAAAAGTCTTGTTCAGTTTCTTCTGTAACAGCAAAAGAATGCATCAAAAGACAGGATAAGACACAGACACACAGAGAGACACACAGAGACACAGACAGGCAGGCAGACAGACACACGCACAGAGGCGCACACACACACACAGAGGCGCACACACACACAGAGGCGCACGCGCACACAGAGGCGCACGCACGCACGCACGCACGCACGCACGCACGCACGCACGCACGCACACACACACACACACACACTAGGAACATAAGATCCTTTCACACCTAAGGGAGGCAACTCTGCACAGCATCTTCGATTGATTCGGCCTCCCCTTATGATACAGCTACAGTGAATAAGCTATACCAGCCTGTATAATCAACTCACTATTAAAACAAACACACAAAGCCATGCTGGGATTTTTCTGCAATTCCCTCCTCGTCACCCAATGCTTACCTTGTGGACCTTGGCTGACCAGTAGACAAGGAGGAGAGTGTTAGGTGAGCAGTCGTCCCAGCCTAGCACCAGATCCGCCTCCAGGTGCGGCCACACCTGCGCTGTGAACACTTCACCTGACACCTGAAACATGCAGGTGTTAAGTCAGCTCTGAACAATCCTCATGAACGTTGTTTAACATCACAATCAGCAATATACCAGCTATATCACACAGTCTGTAAATAACAGTGATTTGAGTTTAGCACCGCTTTGATCAGCATTTCAGTCTTGTCACTGTGTGTCTGTTTGATGGCAGAAAACCCACAGAGATGCACGTCGTAGACTTAGTCTTTAACACTTCGGTAAAACCCACAGAGATGCACGTCTTAGACTTAGTCTTTAACACTTTGGTAAAATCCACAGAGATGCACGTCTTAGACTTAGTCTTTAACACTTCAGTAAAACCCACAGAGATGCACGTCTTAGACTTAGTCTTTAACACTTTGGTAAAACCCACAGAGATGCACGTCGTAGACTTAGTCTTTAACACTTCGGTAAAACCCACAGAGATGCACGTCTTAGACTTAGTCCTTAACACTTCAGTAAAACCCACAGAGATGCACGTCTTAGACTTAGTCTTTAACACTGCGGTAAAATCCACAGAGATGCACGTCTTAGACTTAGTCTTTAACACTTCGGTAAAACCAACAAGTATGGGTATGGTGCTGACAAACCCAGAAACATAATCAGCGTGAATCTGAGATTCAAACCCATGATCACAGGTCTGTGGCATGCCAAATTGTGGCATCATAGTAAACTGGGATGTGAATGGTCAAAAAATGGTCAATTTCTACTCGTTCTTATGATACCTTAACTATTGGGCAGTTTGGCAAGGACTACAGGACTGGTGCCAATTTCTAACGCTGGTGTACACTGATGGACCAAATGTTACATCCCAAGTTAAACACTGTGTGAATCACTCAATGAAGTCAGCAATGTTAAGAAGTCAGGAAGTTATATGTGTGGTCACCTTTGCAACGAGAGAGACCAGTCCCTGATAGCAGATGGGCTGGAGGTAGCTCTTCTGTGTGGAGATGTGTCGCAGATTTTCAACCACCTCCGACACCAGACCGGGCTCACTCTGGAACATGGGCATATACACAAACACTGTAGTCAGAACATCAGATCTTAGACTTGCCACAACACGGTCACTTCTATCTATTGTTTTACAGATACTTCTAGGCCAGAATGCCAAGATAAAGGAAGAAAATCTCAAAACAGTGTATAACTTGTCACAGAAGGTCAGCGCCAATGCATAATTCACTCAAATGAAATGTGTCTGTTTGTTGTTTAACGCCGCACTCAACAATATTCCAGCTATATGATTGTAGTCTGGAAATAATAAAGTCTGGACCAGACAATCCAGTGATTGACATCATGAGCATCGATCCACGCTATTGGGATACGAAGACATGCAACAACCAAGTCAGTGAGCCTGACCACCCAATCCTGTTGGTCGCTCTTTAGACAAGCATAGTCGCCTTTTACGACAAGCATGGTTTCTGACCTGGATCTTCACGGGTGCAAATGAAAAGGGAAATACTTCGTCTTAAACCAAAACTTTCAGAATAGACATACAATAAACTTTTCAGATATTTACCAGTTAAATATTGATCAATATTGTCTTGATCTGAAAACTACCATAGCACATGCTTGAATACCATGTTGTATAAACCCATAGGTGTTTCATGCCATACTGCATTGTGCTACTGTTTGATGCGCTGATCGATGTTCGAACACCCCTTTCCGTACTACCCCATGTTCTGCTAGTGCTACACTGTACAGTGACCCTTTGCCACACCAACCTGAAACAGCTTCCCGGACTGGATGATAGCCAGGAACCCGAAGGCCTTGCCCATGTACACTGCACCAGCTTCCTGTGAAGGTGAAGGTCACATTTAAACAAACGATGCAGTCTAATAATATGCTGTCATTATTCAAGTGGCTGAGGTGAGTCATTTTTACCTTGCGATTCACACTGTCACTTTCACCACTTGCATTCTTACTGTCGACTGTGACTTACATTCTTACTGTCGACTGTGTGACTTACATTCTTACAGTCCACTGTGTGACTTACATTCTTACAGTCCACTGTGTGACTTACATTCTTACTGTACACTGTGTGACTTACATTCTTACTGTCGACTGTGTGACTTACATTCGTACTGTCCACTGTGTGACTTACATTCTTGCTGTCCACTGTGTGACTTACATTCTTGCTGTCCACTGTGTGACTTACATTCTTACTGTCCACTGTGTGACTTACATTCTTACTGTACACTGTGTGACTTACATTCTTACTGTACACTGTGTGACTTACATTCTTACTGTACACTGTGTGACTTACATTCTTACTGCCCACTGTGTGACTTACATTCTTACTGTCCACTGTGTGACTTACATTCTTACTGTCCACTGTGTGACTTACATTCTTACTGTCCACTGTGTGACTTACATTCTTACTGTCCGCTGTGTGACTTACATTCTTACTGTCCGCTGTGTGACTTACATTCTTACTGTCCACTGTGTGACTTACATTCTTACTGTCCACTGTGTGACTTACATTCTTACTGTCCACTGTGTGACTTACATTCTTACTGTCTGCTGTGTGACTTACATTCTTACTGTCCACTGTGTGACTTACATTCTTACTGTCCGCTGTGTGACTTACATTCTTACTGTACACTGTGTGACTTACATTCTTACTGTCCACTGTGTGACTTACATTCTTACAGTCCACTGTGTGACTTACATTCTTACTGTCCACTGTGTGACTTACATTCTTACAGTCCACTGTGTGACTTACATTCTTGCTGTCCACTGTGTGACTTACATTCTTGCTGTCCACTGTGACTTGCATTCTTACTGTCCACTGTGTGACTTACATTCTTACTGTCCACTGTGTGACTTACATTCTTACTGTACACTGTGTGACTTACATTCTTACTGTCCGCTGTGACTTACATTCTTACAGTCCACTGTGTGACTTGCATTCTTACTGTCCACTGTGTGACTTACATTCTTACTGCCCACTGTGTGACTTACATTCTTACTGTCATGCTGTGTGACTTACATTCTTACTGTCCACTGTGTGACTTACATTCTTACTGTCCACTGTGTGACTTACATTCTTACAGTCCACTGTGTGACTTGCATTCTTACTGTCCACTGTGTGACTTACATTCTTACTGCCCACTGTGTGACTTACATTCTTACTGTCCACTGTGTGACTTACATTCTTACTGTACACTGTGTGACTTACATTCTTACTGTCCACTGTGACTTGCATTCTTACTGTCCACTGTGTGACTTACATTCTTACTGTCCACTGTGTGACTTACATTCTTGCTGTCCACTGTGTGACTTGCATTCTTACTGGCCACTGTGTGACTTGCATTCTTACTGTCCACTGTGTGACTTACATTCTCACTGTCCACTGTGTGACTTACATTCTTACTGTACACTGTGTGACTTACATTCTTACTGTACACTGTGTGACTTACATTCTTGCTGTCCACTGTGTGACTTACATTCTTGCTGTCCACTGTGAATTGCATTCTTACTGTCCACTGTGTGACTTACATTCTTACTGTACACTGTGTGACTTACATTCTTGCTGTCCACTGTGACTTGCATTCTTACTGTCCACTGAGTGACTTACATTCTTACTGTCATGCTGTGTGACTTACATTCTTACTGTCATGCTGTGTGACCACCAGGTGCTTGTCAATCCCCTCCAACACCAACTGTCCAGTGACCACTTCGAATACTCGCAGGATCTGACACAAAAAAAATGAAATTCATAATTTCGCAATTCCTCAGTATTTATGAACATAAAAACTTTTTTTTTCTCAAACTTCACTAATTTGCCTGCCAAGGGAACTTAGATTGGAATTTTAGGGACACTATGACACTGTACAAAGTCTTGAATTTGGGTATCTCAACATTTAACTTATGTTGTCTGTTGTTTAACGCCACACTCAGCAATATTCCAGCTATACGACGGCAGTCTCTACATAATCAAATCTTGACCAGACAATCCAGTGATTGGCATCATGAGCATCAATCCACACATTTGGGATACGATGACATGTATCAACCAAGTCAGTGAGTCTGACCACTCAATCTCGTTGGGTTGCTGTAGACCAGTTCTAACCTGGAACATTTACCTGAGTCAGAGCAACTGAGTAACCAAGCCGAGCCCATTTCCGGTTTGATGACAGACCTTTGATTAACCTCTGCAAAGAGTAGCTCAAATCGCTGCATATCTCCGGCTGAAAGGAAAATGGCCCACAATGATTTCAACAAAAAAAGACTGAACCACTTTATTTCTGAGAGACTAGTGAAAATTTAAAGGGACTAGTTGTTTGAGACGGTTCCAACAATCAAGACAAGGCCCTGCTCTCTACTAATGATATACCCAGGCCTTTTTCTTACTACTTCTGGATTGAATCATGCTGGCAGTATCTGGCAACAATATAACTTTGCTTGCAGAAAATTGGAAATGTCAAAAGAAAATGTAAACAATGATACACTTTATTCCACATGGCTTTTAGTCTATCTTTATCTCTACCTACAATAACTTCTATAATTAAGAGCGTCCTCTTTACATTGCATTCAGAGTTAATAACCTAACCGTACTACCACTGGCGCAATATTTCCCTGTCATTATTTACAAACATTCTTATGGTTAATTCAGTCAGACTTACAGCTACAGTAGCTCTAGGCTAGGCCTACCTACTGGGCTTGTTACAGCTGATTAATAGCTGTACGTGTGCATTTTCTTTCAATGTGATCTTACCGTCTTCTGTTGTGTTTGTAAATGTGAAATTAGGAAATTAGTCGCTAATGATCTAGCTTGGTCATTTCCCTCAGCCAGAGTTTTGAAAACTTCCAAAACACTGCTGTCAACACGACCAGTCGAGGCCGCCGTGTGCTCCATGTGCTTCGCCACCATGTTTGACATAAACACCATTGCGCATGACTAACGGAACATGCCTAAGATTGTATTAGTAGTACAACTACAATTATAAGTATCTTTACGATACCAGTTTGATTCGACGTAACTAAAAAGTATCTCACTCGTACAAAAACAGTACGCAATGATTACGAACAAATTATGAGATATTAGTGTTTAGACATCCATAAAACAATAAATAGGAGTTTAATATATTAGATAACTCAAGATAGCAAAATGTAACTTTTATTACGAAAATTGTAAAAAAACCAACATTATTTACCAAATATATACACAATAATGACTGATGTTTATATGTGATAAATAAGTTATCAAGCAGTTGATTCAGTTTGCTTTCATTCCAATAACACAACTTATGAAAGCTTCCTCTCATGCGTAAACTAACCACAGAAGAGCACCCGTCCCCCGAGCTCTGAACAGGTAAAAGCTGAGCTAACTGCATGCGCAGATCAAAACTGGAACCAGTTTACCTGGTTAGCTAATACACCCCGACTGATAACAAGCATATAGATACTGAACAAACATGGTGTAGTCTCTCAATAGTTAAAGATTATAATGCTGGACATTTTACTCTCTTTGGGTATTTACAAAGATTGCTGAATTGTGAAAAATATATTCGCGCACCCTTACAGAAACTATATGTGCAATAAAAAACACGTTTATTTGATTAAGCAGACCACTCGAAAAACTAGTCCGATATAGTATGACGATTTAGAAAAAAGAAAATGTCAATACATGGAATGCTAAAAAGTTCTGATTTTTCCCCAAAGAAAACTGTTCAGTTTGCAGGGCGGCAAAATGTGGTACACTTCTATGGCGAATCTCTGGTGCTGATTATTATCCGGCGTTGACTTTAAATAGTTATATGTACATAAGGAAGAACGCCTCCGCGGTCTAGTGGTACAGCGTCTGCCCGGGGAGCGTAGGAGTGAATGAGTTTGGTTTAACGCCGCTTTTTAACGGTATTCCAGCTATATCAAGTTAAATAATTGTTGTAAATATGACGTCGAGGCCTAAACAATAATGGTATACATGGCATGTACAGTTCTAAACAAACATTTACATAAAAATGGGTCTAAATATACAAACATTTACATATACATGTCTAAAATATATTAATTTACATACATTTCTGTCTAAATTTGTATAGGGGGCGTTTTCTTACAGTGTTAGTTAATTATGTTGTATTAATTCCCAGCTTTATCAAGTACCGCAAGAGTCGTCTAGATAATCACACTTGAGAAAGCAGACGTGTAAACTGTTATTTAAGTGACACACTAGGATTGAGCATTTTTTCGAGTATCGCAAAGGAGTCTTTTGAATCAGGGAGTCTATATTCCTTGTGTAGTCTCAATGATAAAATATTCACTGACTTCGCTTATAGTTCGTGGCTCTCTTTTACAATAAATGGCTAAATAGTTACAGCCATTTGCATATAATTGCTCTCTACCAGATGGGGGAAAAAGATATCCTGTTTATCTCTTTTAAATTATAGGCTGGAAAACCCCTTAATCAGAGACGACGGTGCTGTTACACGAAAAAACAACAACATCGTCATTAAGATATTATACGACATATCAATTATCAGATTGTTGTGGACTTAGGAAATCCTTCGCCTTCTTTGAAAAATAGAAATGAGAAAACTTTTTTTTAAAAAACCTTGACTGAAGAATGCGTTATCTAAAGGTAGTTGTACAAGAACTATCACATTTTAACGCACGCATGTCTCGCCGGAAATAGATCTTGGATTCATTTCAACATGGCCGAATATGATACTTTTCGCGGGTACGGTGCAATGTATTTGGGTTGATCGATTGTTTCCTTCGTCAAATTATAGTTATCACATGCAGCTAGAAAGACTTCAATACCAACTTCAAATGTTTGATCACTGTTGTTAGATGCCTTACCTATTTTCACTCGAACAATTATGACATGTGGAGATTCAATGTGTCCGTCCTGATTACATGTGCTGTTGTGTTATAGAGATTCATTCACACACGATACACCGAAAAGGAAATCCTTTTCGGCTATATCGGTTGTGTCTTGTTAACGCTTATGTACATACACGGCTTTAATCGTATAATATGGAACTTTTCGCATCGACTGTCGTTTTCATGTGTCTTTCAGCTATGAATGCATTATATGCAGGGTTTTTTCATTTTAGACGCATGATCTTGTTCAGTTTTGAGATTAGATCAAGATTATTGTTATCAACATAAGATGCATGCCAAATCATCTGTAGTGCAAATATTGTATCATTATTATGGGACTGATTAAGTTAAGATCTAGTGTACTGTTAAACTATGTTAACAATTCATGTTTTACCACTTCAGCTAAATAGACTTTGCATGATAAAGCCAATATGACTTTCATTACAACTTTGTAGACTGTCTCATGTCAAGATAGTGAAACAAATACTGATACAATCCCCTGTCTGTATAATGAGACATATTTATGGAATCAAGTATTTATCAAATCATTGAGATAAGTATGTCACAGTGCATCAGGTACATGATCATTTCAGCTTAACTGATTATTACTTGAAAAGTTAGTTTACTAGACAATCTTATAGTATTGCTTCAAGCTTAAAGATGAATTTGCTCACAGTCCCAATCCATGCGTTTTGCTTACTGTGCTTCATCCCCAAATGAGGCTTACATTGTGTATTTAGTACACATATTTGTGCCTTTCTATTGATTCCTATATAACATGTAAAAGAAACAGAAGCGATGCTCCTGGTCCAAAGTAATTTGATAAAACTGGAGTGCAATCTGCACATATTCTGAACAAAATGTTTGTAGTGAGTATTTAGAGAATAACCCAGTCTGTGCCAAAACCCTTTGAGTCCACTAGCCCTAACTTGGCTCATGGTATCATTTTCAGTAGATGTTACTGTTATTTATTAGCTGATCTTTCTGGACACTGGCTTTGACTAGTGGCTTAAGTTGCAGACTAACATACATGCTATGACACATGAAGATCTGCGTCAGAATAGGTCTTCATCAACCCATACTTGCCGTTAAAGGTGACTATGCTTGTCGAAAGAGGTGACTAACAGGATCTAGGTCATAATGAAATTAACAAGATAGGGTCATACTCACAGAGTTTATACTTTCTAAGGGCTATATTTAGTATTTCTTACAAATATTGTATCAAAATTGACAAACAGTCTTCTTAATTTTGATGTTGTCCTTGGGAATCTGAAGCTAATCCTTTTTCAGTGAGCTCATGTAACGAGTTGGAATTAATTTTCCTACCAGTGAAATTCTGGGTTAGATTAGGTCTTCAGCAACCCATGCTTGCCGTAATGGGCGACTATGGTTGTCGTAACGGGCAACTAACGGGATTGGGTGGTCAGGCTCGTTGACTTGGCTGATGCATGTCATCGTATCCTAATTGCTTGACTCGATGCTCGTGATGTCAATCACTGGATTGGATATTTACAGACCACCATTATATAATATGGAATATTGCTGAGTGCGGCTTTAAACAGACAAACAAACCCTTAATTTTCCACACCTTTGACGAATAATATGTTGTGTTTATTTGCAGAGGACGTAGTGGGGGGTTCAACAATTATGACAACAACTATGGTGGGCGCCGTGGTGGAGGTGGGAGTAGGGGTGCGAAGCCCCTCCCCACAGAGCCTCCCTTCACTGTATATGTTGGCAACCTGCCACTTCAGGTCGTGCAGGGCGACCTTGAACTCATCTTCAAAGACCAGAAAGTAAGTACGAGATAATATGCATTAAGTTTGACTGATATTGTACAGGCACACTCAGACATCATTGTGAGTGCACCATGGCGCGCTAGAAAACAATACACATTCACTGAACATACACCAGGATGAAATGCACAATCTCTTCTCCACTAATAAGCAGGGGCACGGGTGGCCCAGTCGTCTAAGGCGCCGTGATTCGCTGTGCAGAGTTGCGTCCCTTGGGCACGCCAGAAACCTATGATTGTGGGTTTGATTCCCAGTTCGCCCCGATTATGTTTCTAGGTTTGTCAGCACCATACCCGTGCTCGTGGTTTTCACCAAAGTGGTAAACGTCTGAGACCTGCATCACTTCGGGCTTTCCTCCCACATTAAGCTATCACGCCGGGATGTAACTGGAATACTGTTAAAAGCGGTGTTGAACCCAACTCACTCACTCCACTAAGAAGCTCATTGGGATTACAAGTTAGAATTTGTCCCTCGCAACCTTTTCTGGCTGTAAGAGGCAACTTAATACAGTTAATAAATTGGGTGGTTCGACTCAGTGACTTGGTTAATGGCATGTCCGTGTACCGAGATGGCGTGGATTGTTGGTCTCAATATCAATCACTGAATTGTCTGATCCAGAATTGATTTACAGGCTGCTGTGCTATAGGTGGAATATTACTGAGTGAGGTAATGAACAACAAGTACACGCACACATACATGACACAAATGCATTATTAATAAATCTGATAATGTCAAAAAATTGTTTATCCCGGACTTGTCGTTGGTTGGTAAGGCGACATTTTTTTTATTTTTTTGTTTACGGATGCACCGCTCTTTCAAAGCCCAAATGTTTAAAAAAAGGAATGAGAATTACCCTTTTTTTTATTACCACCGATCTTTTCGTCAGAAAGTTCAAACAAAAAAAGATTTCATTTCCTCGTCAAGCGTAAAGCAAAGGGAAGTCACTCTGATATTTCTCACTGGGATCCTTCTCTAATACCATCAAAGCTTGCAAATGCAAACCGCAGTGGTGACCAGTTTTACTCTTTCAACACTGTTGGCCAATACACCGGCCATGAGTCACAGACACTGCAGGGTAGACCGGCCAAGTCAGGTCAAAATAGTTTATAAATTTATTAACCTGCTTGTCATATCATTCATTTATTAAATCTATAACATTTCATAATGTCTGAAATATGTATTCCATTTGATTTTATCATTTTTCATCAATAAATTAATAAATTATTCACTATTTCCTGCAATGTTATTAAAAATAAAATTCTCGGACACACTTCGACAACAGGTCCTCATCGAACATGTCAAACAGCAAAATAAAGATGTTTCAAGCAAATCTTTAAATATGTTATACAAAGTAATAAAATCAACAAAAATATATCTAATAGCTGCCAAACTGACATCTAAGTTATCATTTCGATCTTTTCGTGCAATCACGTGTAATGCAAGTCAAATGACATCTCAGCTTTCATCGCCTCTATTTCTCGGCTGGTACACCATGTTTAATGCCAAAATATATGCATAAGAAATCTTTGTCACAGCTCGTAACCTTGCACTGTACATCCATGAAGTTCCATATGTTTAATATAGATCCTGCTTAAAACATTCAGAATGACATGATTTAACCAAAACCTTTCATCAAAGTCTGAAAATTATCCTACACGAGGGACTGTACTGTTGCTGTAATTTGATTGGCTGACTTAGGTCATATGCTTAAATTTGACCAATCACAAACCTTGTAGCAGATTTCGGCAAGAAAGCGTCACTAGAAACCACGTTTTACATGTCACAGCTATGAAAAGACTCCAGTGGATGTTACTTCCGTATTATCATTATGTCGGTGAAACAATATAAGTTGGGTTTTTTTATGGATACTGACATGGCAGCCTTCGAGGTACATATTATTCATACGAAGCTTCGAAAACGGAAGTATTTCCTCATGATAGTGAGAGGAAAGCCACTATTATCGGGAAATGGGTGATGACATATTATTTGTAATTCTTTTAAAGATAATTTTCCGATTACGTAAACAATGAAACTAAAAAAAGAAATAGGCAAGTGGATTTTCTAAAATCTTATATTTGCGAAAAATCGTTAAATTTTCGCCTCCTTGGTCCTTAACCTGGACGTTATGAATGTCTTAGCTTCATTTTAAAACAAACTCAATTGAGATGTAAATGAATTATTTAAATAATGTGATACAAGTAACTTTCATATTTATAATCAATAGGATTAATTAGACCTTTCAAATAGTGTATGGCCAAACATGTAGTAGCAAAGATGTTTTACAATCAGATAATTTCCTTGATAAATGTTGGCTTCATCTATCACACAAGTCCCTGGGAACTCGGTGTCACAGCAGTAATCTTCTTGTTGGCTGGCGTTGAAAGAGTTAAACGTTGCCATATTGTTATATTGCCATTTGTGCACAAGCTGAGTGTCAGGGATATAATAAAATGTTCTTGAAAAATTGAGTTATTTTACTTTTGTTCCTCCAGGATATGTTTTTTCAAACCTACCTAACTTTTTAGGACAAAATTTAAGTAAAAAAATGTGAGAGGCTTTATTCTTTTCTTTTTAAATTGGCCTGCCTCAATTTTGAAATAGAGGCAGTCGGGTAGCCTAGTGGTTAAAGCGTCCGCTCGTCACGCCGAAGACCCGGGTTTGATTCCCGACATGGGTACAATGTGTGAAGCCCATGTCTGGTGTCCCCCGCCGTGATATTGCTGGAATATTGCTAAAAGCGGCGTAAAACCAAAATCACTCACTCACTCACTTTTGAAATGAGTTTGAAATCCGTAAACCCAAGAAATAAAAAAAGTGTCGCCTAACTGAAACCAACCAAATGTGGGACAACCAGTTGAAGCCACATCAGCTACCGTCCACATCCACTTGAGCACAACTAATGGATTTCTACCATTGTGAACATGGTAAAATAGTATATTGCAAGTGATTCTGAGACATTTGATTGGCTAACCAAGTCAAAAAAAAATTGCATTGGTGTCCATGATCCAAAAACGTTTTAGACCCCGCCCCTAAGGACTACTTGTTCCTAATTGGCTGATCATTATCACATGCAAGGAGAGCTTGTGTTTCATTATTGTGCTAAATGATGTCACTGATTTCGTACTGTTGTCTACAAACTGCCTCCGTGGGCTAGTGGTAGAGCATCTGTCTGGAGAACCGAAGGTCGGGTGTTCGATCCCCAACCACGTCATACCAAAAGACGTTAAAAGATGGTACTTGTTTTTACCCTGTCTGGCGCTTTGATTCAAGGGGCTAAAACAAGGACTGGTTGGCTCGGAGTCAGTATACTGTGTCTGAGTGGGGTATTCATGTTAAACTGCAGCATGGTATCTCAGTAGGCTAGCACAATAAATCGGCATCAGTCCGGACTAGTACAAGCAGCCACACACACGTGCATGCACGTCGTTATATAAGTTCAATAATCTTCAGGGATGAGAATCTTCCACGAGTCCGCAAAGTTTAGCTATCACCCCATCACAAATTTGTTGGCATCCATCTGACTGCTTCCCCCATAAACACCCCCAAATTATGTACCACACTCCATTGCAAAGATGTTTCAGCTTAAAAGGAAAATATCTATTCTCATCCCTGAATCTTGGACGCGATGTTAAACCCCATTTCACCTCACCTGTTGTCTGCAGCTTTTTTGAGTGTTAATGATTATATAAACAGCCTGTGAAGATATTGTTGTTTTTACAAATGACATATTTATTTATAAGAATTGACTTCAATTTGTTTTTTCTTTTATGGAGTAATACATGGATTTACACTGTGTACATACCGTTTTTATGTTCAAAGTAATTTTAACTTATTTCCATGTTTCTTATGTGTATTTGGTTATTTTTTGCAGGTTCGCAGTGTGAGGTTGGTTCGAGATAGAGAAACGGACGTCTTCAAAGGTAGGTAGCAGTCATCATTTTGGTGAATAGTTGAATATCAGTTTGGGTTACATCAGCCATTGGTTGTTGTTTGTTTGTTGTTTAACGCCACACTCAGCAATATTACAGCAAAATGACGGCGGTCTGTAAAAAATCGTGTCAGGACCAGACATTCCAGTGATTAAAATCATGACGATGTACGCAATTGGGATACGATGACATGCATTAACCAATCAGCAAGCCTGACCATCTGATCCTGTTAGTAGCCTTTTACAGCAAGCTTGGGTTGCTGAAGACGTATTCTAACCTGGAGCTTCACGGGTATCAGCAATTAGTGGTTTTATTATTTTATCTCAACCTTCACTCCTGATTCTTCTGAAAATGATTTTCGACACTTACAATTGGACGTTGCATCAGCACAGTGTACATGTGCAGCCAATCAATCAATCATCAATTAATCATTTGAGTATTACTACGGTAACCATGGTAACTGGATTATTGTTTCACATAGATATATGCAGGATACAGACAGAGCTCCAGATAGACTGGCCTAATTGTGTAATATTTGCAAAATAAATAACCGTTTATGATTACCAAATTGATTTGTGAGTTGCTTACTGTACAAATATGCATGAAAAATGTCATGTATAAGCTGGTTTGATTTGTGGAAGCTAATAAACGAAACATAGGAGTTTTGTTTGTCTGCAAAATAAGTGTGTCCTGAAGCTATTGCGAGGGTGTATCATTCACAGTCTTTTCAGTACTTTCCTGCTCACAAAACTCTTCAGATTTACAGTATATGTTGAACACGCAAACAGGCCTCAAAGTTTAAATTTTTACCAAGTAGCCATAGGGCTACAAGTATTTTTTTCCAGGTAGCCTGTTGTAAAATCATGAAGTCAAGCCAATAGTTTAGGTAGCCAGAAGCATTTGAAATTATCTTTATCAAATAACTATTATAATATGTACAAGTTACAGCACTAGTCTTGAAATTGTATCTTAATGGAAACTGTACTTGAATTTTGTTATTTGTGACTTGAACAATGATGCAATATATGTTACCAGATTATATAGGTATATCCTCGCTTATCCAATGAGCATTGCCAACTAAAATAAAGTACTAATTACATTAATATTTATGTATTTTAGTTCATTGTCGACTTTGGAAGGAATTATTTGCGAGTACAATTATTAGGAGACGTATTTTCCAATATCAGCTGTTTTTTATTTTTGTGTCTACAGATGTGTACCAATTATAGAATTTAGTCGTCACAAGATACTTTTCTAGGTAGTCATTTGGCTACCTCTGAAATTTAGACAGAGGACAAACTGAAAGTTAGGTCGCATTGGCTACCGTTTTAGTCGCAACTTTGAGGCCTGGCAAAGGAAACTGTCAGCAGTTAATGTAAATGAAAAGCTGTGTATATATTCTCAATGGCTAAATATGGAGCCCTGCAGATGTGTTCTTTTACATCAGAATTGCACAGTCTAAGTGACGTTATCTGCAGACTTTTTGATACCTGTGTCTCTGTTTCAGGTTTTGCTTATGTGGAGTTTGAGGATCTAGACTCACTAACAGACGCATTATCCTTTGATGGAGCTGTGAGTTTCTATAAATATATATAGTTGTTGGTTGGTTTGTTGTTTAAAGCCGCACTCAGCAATATTCCAGCTATATGACGGCAGTCTGTAAATAATCGAGTCTGGACTAGACAATCCAGTGATTAATATCATGAGCATCAATCCATGCGATTGGGATGGATGACATGCATCAACCAAGTCAGAGAGCCTGACCACCCAATCCCGTTAGTCTCCTTTTACGACAAACATAGTCGCCTTTTACGGCAAGCATGGGTTGCTGAAGACCTATTCTACCCCGGGAATCTTCATGCATGAGTTTTAACCTGCAGGATAAAGTGTTGGCAACAATACAGTTGACCAGGCGCAGCTTATATAGCGCTGATTAGCTGCTGGCTGTGGCACTCGCTTCACAGATCTCGCATGCCTCTTTGATCCTTGGGGTTGGTTGTGTTACAGTGGGGTAGGTTACCCCCAACTTTATCCTTAGCCCTTGGATCCCCTTCCCGATCAAGCACCCATTTACAATCATTAGGATAAGGTACCGGATTCCAGTCAAACATTGGGTGGTGGGGTAGCCTAGTGGTGAAAACGTTGGCTCATCACGCTGAAGACTTGGGTTTGATTCCCCACATGAGTACAATGTGTGAAGCCCATTTTCCGGTGTTCCACGTCGTGATATTGGTAGAAGATTGCTGAAAGCGGTGTAAAACCATACTCACTCACTCACTCACTCACTCACTCACTCACTCACTCACTCACTCACTCACTCACTCACTCACTCACTCACTCACTCACTCACTCACTCACTCACTCACTCACTCACTCAAACTCCCCTTTACGATCCTTAGGGTTGGGCACCCCTTTACATTGTGAGGCTAGTTGTGAGGTAGGGTAAGGGTTAGCTATCTCTCGTAACAAATTTATCTAAATTTATTTGGCAACTCTGAACAACTTTTATCAAGTTTTGAGTTTTGCGGAGAAAATGGCTACTGCACATGCACAAAGTAAACAATCAGGTGTTGATGACTTGGTAGACGAGCACTAGTTATTTTGTGATAGCGCCCATGGTCCTGGGGTAAAGTAGGGGCCAATTGGATTAACTTGTTACGACCTAGCCTAGTTTAGCTTCAAGCTTGCAACATGAGTTTGATCCTACACACAGTGCTGGCTGAAATCCGAAAAAATGCGCCCAGTAAAGTGGACTACTCCCAAAGTGTTTTTATTGCTATGTTTTATTACTTGTGAAATAATTTTTGCCAGATTGTATCATGTTGTATGTTTTGATCAGTTTTGTCATTGTTGTTTGAAACCTTTAATTGACCAGTTAGAATCAAGTATTTCTGTATCATGGAAGAATACAATGAAAGTTCTTACTCAAACCATACTAAGAATTGCTCCAAACAATTCATTCTAAGAATTGCCTAATATGAGCCTTTGAAAGTTTCCATGCGTGACCTGACTTTTTGTCAAGTTGATGGGGCAGTTGAGGGGTCGCCTAGTGGTTAATGTGTTCACTGGTTCATAAATTTGATTCTTCACATGGGTAGAATGTGTGAAGTTGATCTCTGTTGTCTCTGTCTCTCCTATTGTAATATTGCTAAAGTGGCGTAAAAATTTCATTCTCTCTTTATATTGGTCGTTGCCCATGCCATAAGCAGTCTCATTAAAATCTGATCCCAATGCCCGCTACTGCTACACAAAGACAGGGGCCCCGTCCTCAAAATGATCTTAGCACTACGATTGTCGTAAGTCTTTGTTCATGTATGGGAGTTATGATCATCTTAATCTTAGCACTAAGATTGCTGTGTGGATCGGGGCCCTGAGCTATCCACTACATGTTATGTCAGTCATGGAAGTCGCCATTTTGAAACCAAGGTTCATAGGTTGGTCAAAAGTCGCTCTAACGTGACCAGTAATTGGCTGCCCTAAGATCTGATTTTAATGAGATCGAGCTGTACGCCACTGGGGGGCACGGGTGGCCCAGTCGTCTAAGGCGCCGTGATTCGCTGTGCAGAGTTGCGTCCCTTGGGCACGCCAAAAACCTATGATTGTGGGTTCGAATCCCGGTTCGCCCCGATTATGTTTCTAGGTTTGTCAGCACCATACCCGTGCTTGCGGGTTTCACCGAAGTGGTAAACGTCTGAGACCTGCATCACTTCAGGCTTTCCTCCCACATAAGCTGACACGCTGCGATATAACTGGAATACTGTTAAAAGCGGCGTAAAACCCAACTCACTCACTGTACGCCACTGGCTTCCCTGGCCCAGATGCCACTCTTTGTTGGCAGCCATGATATAAACACTTGTATTACACTTGTCAGAGGGGTACACAAAGTACGTGATCTAGACTACCAGTTGTCAGACTTTCATTTTTGTGGAAGCCTCGGTGGCTAAGTGGGATAGATCACTGACTTTGTGTGCTGGCGATTAGGTGCCTCACTCTGGCAGTCTGGGTTAGAATCCCAGACGGGACCCAGACGAGAGTCTGAACTTTACTTAGAAAGTGTTATCTCAAATATGACATTTGTTACAGCCATGATATAGATGGAATAGTGGTACCTTCTGTGTACCCTCTACTTGCTGGTAGTTTGAATGAGATTTGTCTGTAAGAAATATGTTTACACCCTTTGTCCACAGCTGTTTGACGATAAAAACATACGTGTCGATGTAGCAGAAGGTCGTAAGGACGGCAGAGGTCGTGGGGGAGGTCGAGGTGGCCCTCAAGGTAAGCAGGTGTAACAGTTCACATGGAGTGAAGCTTGTACAGGTGTAATAGGTCACACGGACTGAAGCTTGTACAGGTGTAATAGTTGACACGGACTGAAGCTTGCACAGGTGTAGTAGTTGACATGGACTGAAGCTTCTACAGGTGTAATAGTTCACATGGACTGAAGCTTGCACAGGTGTAATAATTGACACGGACTGAAGCTTGCACAGGTGTGATAGTTCACATGTACTGAAGCTTGTACAGGTGTAATAGTTCACATGGACTGAAGCTTGCACAGGTGTAACAGTTCACAGACTGAAGCTTGCACAAGTGTAACAGTTCACACAGGTGTAATAGTTGACACGGACTTAAGCTTGCACAGGTGTAACAGTTCACACAGGTGTTATAGTTGACACAGACTTAAGCTTGCACAGGTGTAACAGTTCACACAGGTGTAACAGTTCACATGGACTGAAGCTTGCACAGGTGTAACAGTTCACACAGGTGTAACAGTTCACATGGACTGAAGCTTGCACAGGTGAAACAGTTGACATGGACTGAAGCTTGCACAGGTGAAACAGTTGACATGGACTTAAGCTTGCACAGGTGTAACAGTTCACACAGACTGAAGCTTGCACAGGTGAAACAGTTGACATGGACTAAAGCTTGCACAGGTGTAACAGTTCACACAGGTGTAATAGTTCACACAGACTGAAGCTTGCATAGGTGTAATAGTTCACATGGACTGAAGCTTGCACAGGTGTAACAGTTCACACAGGTGTAACAGTTCACACAGGTGTAATAGTTGACACAGGTGTAATAGTTGACACGGACTGAAGCTTGCATATGTAATCGTTGACACAGACTGAAGCTTCCACAGGTGTAACAGTTCACACGGACTGATGTTTGCCGCTGTATTGTTGTAAAGCATTTAGAGAAAAACATTTGGAAATTCCAAGTTGGGCAAGGAGCTTTCAACATTTATATCATGGAGCAAATATACTCTGTGAGCAATAGCTCCTGGTTGTTGAATGGAATTATGAGCCTGTCACGAGATATTTTGAGGGGCAGGTTATGAGTTCATGAGCAACCGTGTAGCATCCCTCGAAATATCAGGTATACACGAGTAATTCCTTTCAACAAAAAGCTTGTTACATGGTACTGTCAATCAAATATGTCATACACTACTGCAGAAAATTATGTCATTTTGTTAAGGGATGATAGGATGACTTAAGTTGTTGGCAACAGTGATGTAAAATCTCCTTCTGATGTTGTCTAACACCGCACTCAGCAATATTCCAGCTATATGACAGCAGTCTGTAATCGAGTCTGGACCAGATAATGCAGTGATTGACATGAGCATCAATCCATGCAATTGGAATACAATGACATGCATCAACCAAGTCAGCGAGCCTGACCACCCGATCCCGTTAGTCGCCTCTTACGACAAGCATAGTCGCCTTTTACGGGAAGCATGGGTTGCTGAAGACCTATTCTACCCCGGGTCTTCACGGGTCTCTGAACTTATGGAGGTGTTATACTCTGGTAAAATTTGAAGCGTAGAACTTTGAAGCGCTTGTTTCCATCTATTGTTTTTTGTTTCAGGTGGCTTCGGAGGTGGACGAGGGGGTCGGGGAGACTTCAGGGGGGGTTATGGTGGGGACAGAGGGGGTTTTGACAGGGGTTTTGACAGAGGCTCAAGAGGAGCGCCACGGGGAGGCCCTGCTGGCGGAATGGGCGGCGGCGGCGGAATGGGCGGAGGCAGCAGGGACGGTGGCTTCAGAAGTGGTGGTCGAGGGGGTTATGATCGTGAACGTGACAGTGGTTTTGGAGGTCGTCCCCGGCAGCGGCGAGACAGCGACAACAGAGGAGAGGAGTTGAGGGAAGCTTCACCAGGTGCGAAGAAGTGTAGATAGAATGTCTTTTAGATTACAGTGATTGAATTTATTTTTTGCTCATTTCACTGACAGTCAAATGAGCTTGTGTCATTGCCTGTTTGTCTGGTATCTGGTGTAAACATCTCCTTTGAAACCGCTGGAGCAATGAAACTGAAACTTGACATACTTGTTCACACCAATATGATATCCCTAAATTTTGAGGAGGTTCGAATCCACTTTTCAATATGATCACCATGGCAGCCATATTGAAAAAAAACCTTATGGCCATTTGTCAGCCATATTTGTACAGAATTTATCATCCAAAACTGGCTCCCACAGGAGATATCCTTGGGTGAGATCAAGCGATGAAATTGCATCACAATGCTTTGCAGACCATTGTGACGTCTTTGATTACCATGATGTCAAATGACATCACTAATAGCTCTGCTACTGAAGCAGTTAGCATATATGGTACATGTTTAGTTAGTTGTGCTGTTCATCAGATATTTTCCAGGGTTTTTTGTTGTGTTTTTTAGATCGTTTTAATTTTGACCTCAATTTGACCTTTGCCCTTTGCCCATAGAGAGAGTTGAAATTCCTTATGGCCACAACTTAACCATTTTGGTTATAAATGTCATGGAACTTGGTGGTACGAGGGGCGTTCAATAAGTTTTGCAACGTCAATATAAGACCAAGTCGCAGAATATCTTTTGCACTTTTATTTTCAATATAATCTCCATTCACCTCAATACACTTATTCCATTTGTCCTTCAAGCTTTTAATACGACTATTATAGACATCCGCAGATTGGCTCTCTAACCACGCCTCTGTGGCAGCCTTTGTGTCCTTGTCATCCTGGAAGCGTCTTCCACGTAGGGCAGATTTCATTTGCCCGAACAGGAAATAGTCACTGGGGGCTAAGTCTGGGCTGTAGGGTGGATGATTTAACTGTACAGCCTTGACTTAGCCCCCAGTGACTATTTCCTGTTCGGGCAAATGAAATCTGCCCTACGTGGAAGACGCTTCCAGGATGACAAGGACATAAGGCTGGTCTTATATTGAAGTTTCAAAACTTATTGAACGCCCCTCTTATGTGTGGTTGGTAGCTGAGCTCAACACAAATTTTGCGATATTTCATATTTTGATGTTATTTGACCTTTGCATCATGCTCCTCAACCAGAGCTCCAGATAAGCTGCGTATCTGCGTGAAATACGCATCAGAAATGCATAAATACACAGTAAAATATAATCCAAGCGCATCAAATACGCAACGAACATTACAGATACGCTACAATAATGAAACTTGTGCGTATCATCAAAATATTGTGAAGTAACCCTGCGTATTCGATTAGCAAATCAGCAACTTATTTTGAAATTATAAACGGGCATTCCGTCAACCTTGCCAAACTCCACGATGACAGTTACATCATGATCATTTGCCATCACACTTTCTTGTGGAAGTGTCGTGGTATTTTTGAGTCCTATAAAGCTCTCGAACCCACACGACACCAGTTTGCAGGGACTAGATGAATAGTGTTTTTAAATATTTAACTTAAATACCCACATGTGTAAAAACTAGTGGGTAACAGAAATTTGAATACGCAGATAGAATTACTGATACCCAATGATTTTAAAACACCAAAAGCTTATCTGGAGCTCTGTCAACTCCCAAATTGTAAATGCTGAGCTCCCTGTACTGACATGGATTGTTGATGTTTCAGAGTCAGCGGCGCAGCGCCCCAGGTTGAAGTTGCTGCCTCGAACTGTCAAGGCTCCAGTCAACGCCCCGGTGGAGACTTCTAGGAATGCAAGCATCTTTGGTACGGGCCGCCCCCGTGAGGGAGCGGAGGAGGATGCCCCTCCTGAGCAGCGCAGTAGGAACACCAGTGAGAGCAGCCAGCATTGAACGGCAGGATAGCAGTGTTCGTCTTATGTCAAGGTGAGGGAACAGGTGGTCAATACCATGTGCTGGTACCACAGATTCTGGGTTCGATTCCGTCCGCGAAATACCAAAAGACGTTAAAGATAGTTCTTGTTGTTACCCTGTCTGGCGCTCTGCACTAACAGGCTAAAACATGGACTGGTCGGCTCGGAGTCAGTATACTTATGACACGACATTCTACCCTATTTCACCTCACCTCACTGATTCTGTCTGGGGGAGAAGAGGCTGTCAATAAGTTGTCAATAACCAGTGCTGGTACCACAAATGTCTGGGGGAGAATTGGCTCTCAATACCCAGTGCTGGTACCACAGGTGTCGGGGGAGAATACCCAGTGCTGGTACCACAGGTGTCTAGGGGAAAATGGCTCTCAATACCCAGTGCTGGTACCACAGGTGTCGGGGGAGAATACCCAGTGCTGGTACCACAGGTGTCGGGGGGGAGAATACCCAGTGCTAGTACCACAGGTGTCGGGGGAGAATACCAAGTGCTGGTACCACAGGTGTCGGGGGGAGAATACCCAGTGCTGGTACCACAGGTGTCGGGGGAGAATACCCAGTGCTGGTACCACAGGTGTCGGGGGGAGAATACCCAGTGCTGGTACCACAGGTGTCGGGGGGAGAATACCCAGTGCTGGTACCACAGGTGTCGGGGGGGAGAATACCCAGTGCTGGTACCACAGGTGTCGGGGGGAGAATACCCAGTGCTGGTACCACAGGTGTCGGGGGGAGAATACCCAGTGCTGGTACCACGGGTGTCGGGGGGAGAATACCCAGTGCTGGTACCACAGGTGTCGGGGGGGGGGGGAGAATACCCAGTGCTGGTACCACAGGAATCATTACTTCAGCTGTGATAGTTTTCAAGCTCTCCTGCAACAGACTAAGCTTTTGACAAATGCTAAATCTCCTTAAATCAGATCTTTTGCTCTGATCAATACATACTTCTCTGCATGATCAAGTGCCAACCACTTCATGGGAGGTTGGGTCAGCGAATTCTCTCTCAGTACATGTGAGCGAGACATTAAAAGTAGCATTTTCATTTCAGTATCTCGAAAAAAGAAAACTTAAACGGACAGTTCTGCATGTAAATAATAAAAGATCTGATTATTATGAGATTGATAGATCCTGAACATGTTATTTTAGGGTGTATTTGACTGAAACAACACAATAAGATTTATCTCCCTTTGATTTCAGGTTGAGGTTGTGTGGCCAGACTAATGCTGAGTGGGCTGGCTGCGTTGTTACCATGACAACACAACCCTGGCAATTCCATGGCAACAGCCCCATTGTTTCATTCATATCAGAGCTGCTTACACAGCTGTTGGCTAGGTTTCCTGGCCGCAACAACTTGACAGGATGACGTATTTATTGTGTCTCATGTTCTCATCACTCGTGATAGCTGCAGCCACAGGACTGTCTTTACAGGTACTACTTCCCTTAAGCAGCACAACTAGTGTTTGTTGGGTGGTTGGTTGGAGCTTGCTGATTGTCTGCCTGCCCAGCCAGGATCTCCGACATACATCTGTGCATACTACTTTCTTAAAACTCTTTCACATGACAGTAAGTAATTTGGGGTGTATGATGTAAGCTTGTTAGAAAGACAAATTGACAGGATTTGTCTGTTTCGGTTTCTTTTCCAAATGGATAGTTAGATACAAATTAGTATCAGTAACGGTTTGGTATTGGTTTTGACTCTGATTAGTCTGTATTATTTATGGCAGTAAAGATGTTGATTTTTATAGAAGGCTGCACTCAGTACTGAGAAGAATGTGTTGTGTGGGAAATGCTGTCAACAGTCGTCCCCTAATGTAATCTGCCGGACAATCGTTGGTCAACCGTGTACACAGCTACCTTGCGGCCATTGTTTTGATATATTTCACAGCCATTGAGGTTAAGATGTTGGCATGAGGCTAAGCGAAGTTATTTGTATATGGCTGCAGAAACGTTACCAAAAACATTTTTCTTTTGAACCCGATGTGAAGCATTTGAAAAAGTAATAAATTAATTGTGTACAGTTTACTGATTAGTTGAACCATCACATTATTGAGGTACGTCACCATTGCATGGAATCTTACAAAGTAAGGTTCATCTGTTGCCATTGTCATTATATAAACAATATAATTTGTTTGTGTGTCCGTTGGATTTTAGCTTGAAATATTTTAAATCCTCTAGAGCAAATTCCTGATAGGTTTCAATGTAGGGAGTACGAAGGAGCTAGTATCTTTCATTTTCGCAGTGCAAAGTGTTTTATTGTTTTAAAAAATACTAGCGTGCAGTTGGACTGCACTTCAAGCACTTGTTCATACTTCTAATCACTGTCGCTTGCTGTACAAGTCATAATATTGGAAATAGTGCTTTACAGTAAGCCATTTACGCTGTCATTTCCTGGAAATATCAAACACATTTTAGCCACGTTGCAACGTAAGACAACATTTGTGTATATCCCTCATCGATCATTACCTGCCAAGTTACATACACAGAATACGTGGGGAGGGGGGGTTGTCTGGGGAGGGGAGGGTTAAGTCACATGGGTGGGAGGGGTTGCTATGCCGTACTGGGTGGTGCCAAGTAGGTTGCAGCAGGGGTGGGTTGTGTCTCAGAGCAGGGTCAGGTTGTGAGCGACAGGTTTGGAGCTCCATGAGATAGGGGTACCTGCTCGTGTTGCCATGTGCTTCATCATGTGCTGTTCAGATGTCCCTTCCTCATCTTGTACTGTCCGTCTATCCATTCATCCATCTGTCTATCCATCTGTTCATTGTCATGACGGATGCATGGTGACATTGGTATCCTTGGCATTGTGGGAAACTCATGCTGGCTCCAGATCTGTTGGTAAGCAACAAGCTTTGGTATAACAGTGGGTGGGAGGGCTGCTTGTAGGGGAGGTAACTGATGTGTCCTACCATACGATACCTTGAGCTTTGTGCTGGTAAGCCACCAGCAGTGTAAAAAGTGTTGGCACAATTTTGTATTATGCCAAATTATTGTACATTAAAGTTTGTCGAATCAATTATAAAGATTTTGTTTTTTATATCATTTGAGTCTTGTGGCATGTCCATTAACATTTGCGTTTCATCTTGTCACCAAATCATTCAGTCCGGACCTTTTCTTTGACCTCATGAGAGCTATCACTGAGAGAGAAAGGCATAGTTGATAACGGTTGGTTTGTTGTTTAACGCAGCACTCAGCAATATTCCATCTATATGACGGCGGTCTGTAAATAATGGAGTCTGAACCAGACAATGCCGTGATTGAAATCATGAGCATCAATCCACACATTTGGGATCGATGACATGCATCAACCAAGTCAGCGAGGCTGACCACCCGATCCCGTTAGTCGCCTCTAGTTGATAACAGTATTCATACTGGTACAGGTATATGAAATACATTGGCAGATTCTAGAGAACACCCCTTAAGGTTGATATTCAGCAACCCATGCTTGTTAGAGTCTAATGGTCGTCGGCTGGATGACATTGAGAATCTTGCAACAGATAGCAAAAGCATGACTCGAATGTAACAATACACAGAAAGTAACAAGTCATGGAGAAAGGGTCAAAGAAGACAGTGTCACAAATAGGCCCATAAAAGAGGGTGACTGAGTTAAAACGTTTGCCTAGGGCCGCTCCATATGGCTACATCATTTGCTGCAAATGTGTACCAAACCAAATCAACTAAGCAATTCCAGGACGATTATCAACCAGATAGTATAGAACCACCTTTCTGGGGCAGGTTCCAAGCTCAGAGGCCTGTTTGAGATGTTATTTTGACGCAACAACATCGTTCACTGCGATGTGGGTGGTGTCAAGGATGCAGAACATTGCCCAGTGAGGATGGAGAACAGTTTGGGTCAACAACGAGTCCAGATTTATGATGCAATGATCTGATGGTAGAGCCAGGGCGTACCGACACCTGCATTCAGATTTGGTGGTGGTAGGGTAATGATGTGGAAGAGAATATCCCACTGTGGTAAAACAAACCTGGCAACGTAACTGTCCAACGCTATTGTGATGAAAGCCTACATCCGCATCTTGTTCCTATTATTAGCCATGCTAACGTCAGTTTTCAACATAACGTTAGATCGCGTAGAGCACGTTTGACAGCAGCAATTCAAAGAATCACGAAGCAAGGTTCTTTGCGTCCCCAAATCGCCAGATTTAAACAGGATACATCCCATGACGGCGCGCGACTACAGACAGAATGGGCTTACGGTCCCGAACGTGTGATGCTTTTTGGTCCAGGGGCGGTGGGGTAGTCCAGTGGTTAAAGCGTTCTCTCATCACGCCGAAGACCCGGGTTCGATTCCCGACATGGGTACAATGTGTGAAGCCCATATCTTGTGTCCCCCGCCGTGATATTGCTGGAATGTTGCTAAAAGCGGCGTAAAACCTCTCTTTGGTCCAGAAGAAAGGGGGCAACACTTGACACTTATGGTGAACACACAAGTTACCGAGATGTTATGACCTTGCCAATTTTTTTTGTCGTTTTCCGTGTAACAGCTTCATATTTGACAGTGGCCTCTATTGTCCTGATCATCACTAATCAAGACTAGTGTTCAGGTGCTGGTAAATGTGTGTTACTTCCCACACCAAACATGTTTATGCTAGTCATTGTTTAAGGTTTGTTTGTTGTTTAACGCCACACTCAGCTCTATTCCAGCTATATTATGACGGTCTGTAAATAATCGGCTCTGGACCAGACAATCCAGTGATTGATATCATGAGCACCAATCCACGCATTTGGGATCGATGACATGCATCAACCAAGTCAACGAGCCTGACCACCCGATCCCGTTAATCGCCTGTTACGACAAGCGGAGTCGCCTTTTACGGCAAGCATGGGTAGGAATAGGAATAGGAAGACCTATTCTACCCCGGATCTTCACGGGTACATTGTGTTGGGAGTACATGATCAAACCAATTGCATGTTAGAAATTTTATGCAATGGTGAGCATACACGGACGGCAGGGGGTCAATGCAGAATTTGCGTTTCTCTGCAGCGTCATCAGTTCCAAAACCAAGTTTGTGTGGCAGCTATCATGAATTGTTTCACTGCTGACATGGGCGGATACCCCCCTCTGTATCCGCCCATGCACTGTCTCACGAAATTAGTTACCATAGCGTTGTGTTGAATTAATAGCATGAAAGTGTTATTAGACAAGCTTTTAAATAGGGATGCTGCCACTTTGGAAAAGTAACAGAGTATGCTTCCTGTTCCACTGCACCATCATTTACAAATACATGTAGTAAATTTACTTTGTAGATATATGGAAATACCTATTCCGTTACATATGACTCATATTCAAATGACATTTTCCTCCGGTAATAATAGGTGAGGTGGGAAGCCAAGTGGTTAAAGCTTTCGTTCGTCAACCGAGGGCCGGGTTCGATTCCACACATGGGTTCAGTGTGTGAAACCAATATTTGTTGCACCAATTTGAGCTTTCCTCATGGATCTAAGCTGGGTTACTGGCCACAGTATTGTTACGTCTCAACTCAATCACTCACTCTTAAAGGTCAGATACTACAGGCATGGTAATAAGACAAATAACACAGGATCGGTGAAGGTCACACAGCAGGCGTCGGCGAACGACTACAGCAGGCATCGGCATTCACAGGAACGCGATGATAGCTTGTATAGCATAATATATATATAGACTATATGTATATACACTCTTCAAAAAAGGAAACGCATAGGTAGTATGTAGTTCAATGAACCTGACTACACAAAAAATCCGGTATTTTAATTGGATATATGTTTTTGGAAAATGTTAACGGCCTGATATTCGACAAACGGTGCGTCAAAACGCAGCCATTGTCGATTTGCAATATCTTAAGCGGCATTGTTCACGTGTTCAAAAATGTCATGGAGGAAAACAGCAAAGCAAAATGCACGTGCAAGTTATGGCATTCCTAACTCGTGGTAGTGGCTATAAAAAGGCAAGCAGAAGCCAACAATTTGTCGTTCAATTGTCTTGAATTGTCTTTTATGGACCTTTATTGCAATTTATGGATAATAACTACTTTATTGCGTTATTATAGCGATGTAATGACCATTATGTAGAAGATATATGGTAGGCGGAGTATTAACAGTAATGACAATGTACATACAGGAGAGAGATTAACATGAGTAGGCTAATTATTAACAACAGAAGGATGATACTTTTAAAAAAACCATCATGGACAGAGAACACGTCACGAGGAAGCCAATTAAACAGAATAAGTACAGTAAACTACGTTTATAACGAACACGCTTATAACGAACTTATTTTTTAGTCCCGGCCATTTGTTGCATATATGCTGTATATATGCTTATAACGTACTACGGTTATTACGAACTAAAGTTAGTGGTCCCTTTGAGTTGGTTATAACTGTAGTTTACTGTTTGCATAGGTGGAATGATTGGGAAAAGACAACTGTTGCTTAATGACTTCATAGTAGGCGGGTGGCACGGGTGGTCAAGTCGTCCAAGGCGCCGCGATTCGGTGTGCAGAGTTGCGTCCCTTGGGCACGCCAGAAACCTATGATTGGGGATAAGAGGCAACTTACGGGATCGGGTGGTTGGACTCGCTGACTTGGTTGATGCATGTCATCGTATCCCAATTGCGTGGATCGATGCTCATTTTGTCAATCACTGGATTGTCTGGTCAAGACTCGATTACTTACAGAGCGCCGCCATATAGCTGGAATATTGCTGAGTGCGGCGTTAAACAACAAACCAAAACCAAAAACCCAATAGCATGGGTCGATGCTCCCTATATCAATCACTGGATTGTCTGGTCCAGAGTCGATTATGTACAGACCGCTGTCATATAGCTGGAATATTGCTGAGTGCGGCGTTAAACAACAAACCAAAACCAAAAACCCAATTGCATGGGTCGATGCTCCCTATATCAATCACTGGATTGTCTGGTCCAGAGTCGATTATTTACAGACCGTCATAATATAGCTGCATGTCATCGTATCCCAATTGCGTGGAGGGGCGGTCGGGTAGCCTAGTGGTTAAAGCGTTCGCTTGTCACGCCGAAGACCCGGGTTCGATTCCCGACATGAGTAAATGTGTGAAGCCCTTTTCCGGTGTCCCCCGACGTGATATTGCTGGAATAATGCTAAAAGTGGCGTAAAACCATACTCACAGACTCACCCAATTGCGTGGATCGATGCTCATGATGACAATCACTGGATTGTCTGGTCCAGACTCGATTAATTACAGACCGCCGTCATATAGCTGGAATATTGCTGAGTGCTGCGTGAAACAACAAACAAAAAAACAGACCCAAACACCATGAAACCAACTGCCACGTTAACTGAAACTATCACCACCCTTCCATCTTTCCAGAGTGGAATGAAAATATATCTGCTCCGGAAATACTACGGCCTAACATGAATTGCGTTTTTTGTCTCATGCACCAGTTTTATTGACACTGTAGCGCTATGAGCATCCACTTGTGAATGGAATCTGGCGCATTATAAACGAGCTTTTTTATTGGGGAGCTATGTTGAATCCAAGCGGGAGAGCACTTTACATGTATGATGTATTGGGGAGCTATCCTGCCCAAGAACCCACCGATGAATCAGATTGGTCTACCGCGTACAGGAAACCGGTTGCACAAAGATTAAAGAATAGTAACTTAAAGATGACAAACAATATATGTATATGATTATGGAATTCACAACGTGAAGACCACAAAACATTTACTGTACGATTGGTCCGCGTTTACACCGCGAGCAGCAGAAAAGTCACATTAACACGAGAGACGAAGGTACTGTTCCCAATATGCAGCACAACCTTAGGATCGTATGTTGAGTATAAGAAAGGAGAATTAAATAAATAAAACATGAGTGCATTTGTATAAATAACCATACATGCAATAAATAACTCAGATATGTCAGACCATCTGGTCGATTCAAACACCGTGAATTATATTTCGTATTATTGAACCCTTTTCCATAATCATAAAAAAAAATCTGTTAAAAGCAGAGTCCATTGTACAATTCCGACTGTATCCTTAGAATATGTTTAAGGAAAGTAGTAGGACTCGAGATTGTCCATGAGAACGAGTATGTCGGCCAATGAAATACTAAGATGTATCCAAAAGGACAGAAATTTGTGCGTTATTTGTCGATTTTTAACCCCAGGGGACCAAATGTCTGAAATAAACACGGCGTCCGCGCACTAAACTGTTTAGGGCATGGGTGGCCCAGTCGTCTAATGTGGCCGCAATTCGCTGTGCAGAGTTGCGTCCCATAGGCGTACCAGGAACCTGTGATAGTTGGTTCGAACGCAAGGAAACGAACGTCTAAGGCCTGTTTCACTTACCTCCCACATCAATGCCGTGATATGAACTGCAATACTGTTCAAAGCGGTGTGAAACCAAACGCACTCCTTTCTGGGACGACCAAACACTTGGAAATGAACAACTTCACGGGGCAAGGGAGTTAACTGACTATAAAAGTCCAGTTTCTACCGTTGCCGAACTAGGCTGTAATTTGGTTTGGTTTTGGCTTGACGAGTCCATGCACAGTTCAATCAAACTCGCGTAACAAAATCGAAATCCGGTTCTGCCATGCAGATTTCGGTGGAATGCAGGATGGCATATTGTACCGCAAACTCGGCGTCAACAGATATTTTCCAAATCTGTTCATGCTTTTAAGGTACTTAGGGTGTTCAAGTCATTTGATGCACTTCACAAGGTAAGGCTCTTTTTATCACAATACAGTTTTTTATTATCGATCAGATCGTCTTGAGTGGGTGCCACCATGCAAATGCATGTAATATGATAGGTGGAATCTGATGGGTCAATAGGAAGGCCATAGAAGGGACATACCTCGTTTTAAAAAGCCACTGATGGCGCTACGATCGGACCGCGAAATTCCAGCCTAGTTCGGCAAGGATGAACCTTTATAGAAAGTTAACTCCCTTGCCTCGGGAAGATGAAAAAGGAATGCTTGTCGACGTTTTTCGAGTTATTGGTCGTCTCATAACGAACCCCAACAAATAGGCTTGATTGATCTCGTAATAGACAGGTATATGTATAATATAACAGATCAGTATCCCTATCAGAGTTTGAGTAGCATATATTCAGATAGAGACCATATACTAGTACATGTACATGTGTCTATGGTAACTGATCTAGATGGACAGGCGGAAGTAGCATCACAAGTCTGCGCATGAGCATTACATAATAATAAAGTGTTCGTCCTTTCACGCCAGCCTCATTGTCGGCACTTTCAAGCCGACTGTTTCAGGTTAATATCAAATGCATTGACGAATATGTTGAGGATTGTTATCAAAAAGATCAGGACTACCACAGTATTATTAAGCACTTCCGCTGTACTGCGCTCTTTCTCAGTGCGCATGCGCTTGAACCCCATGATGATGATGAGCGTCCCCGCCACCACCTGGAGAAAGATGGACAGGAATATGAAGACGATGGTCGTGTAGTGCGTGCCAGTCAGCTGATCCGACGGCACCCGAAACAAGGAGTTGAGCTGTGACGCGTTCGCCATTAGCAGAGCGATGTCCAGCATCCCCTGCGCTGCTGTCTTCTTGGTCACGTATGAGCTGGTGGCGAGCAACTCCTTGCCATCTTTCTGCGGAGGTAACAGAATAGTGAGTTAGGTTTAACACTGCTTTGAACACATTGTCAATAGTTCACGGGCTTGTTTACACTACGTTCAACAATCACCCGTTAGTCTAGATGGAGCTTGACGCACGGCGCTCTCCTGGTCGCGTCATACCAAAAGACATTCAAAGATGGTACTTGTTGTTACCCTGCCTGGGCTCGGGATTAAGGGGATAAAACAAGGACTGGTCGACGCTGTACACTGTGTCTGAGTGTTGACACACACACACACACGGACGCACGCACGCACGCACACACACCCACACACACACGCACGCACACTCACACACACACACACACACACACACACACGCCCATCGCTATGAAAGTGCAATAATCTTAAACGAGATATAAGCGTCATTAAAGCGTCACCACATCTCCTGATAGAAGGCACCCTGGACGCTCTGAGGCGTCGAGACTCAATGGCTGCGTAGATATGCTGCAATTAGACCAAGTTTTGTCGGGATTATGATCTTTTGCTAACGATGTGGTCATCCTCGATTATCCAGTGTATCCATTCGAACAAGACTCAAAACGACGCTTTAATGACGTATTGATCCAGACTAATCACAATGGAATGGAGATATAATAATACGCTAGATAATCGAGGATGCAATGTGGTACTCTTTGGGTTTTCGCTCACTCATTAAGCTGGGACAATTTGAAATTGCATAAAACCTCACAGAAATTATTATTTCAGTTAAAGAGTCGAGTGAGCAAAGCTCAGCTGATCTTCATCCGTCAAGCCCCATGTCAAGGGCATCATCTGCTTTGGTGTTTTCAAAGGAGGATGTTTTTGACAGATGTATACTACTCAACATTTGCTAAGGAGCACACCTTTCACGAAAGATGATTGTTTTGGTCCTGAGCAAATGTTGAGAAGTGTATATATATATATACGTACTGTTCGTGGATTAGATCGCTCAACCATCTCCGTCTTCTCATTTGCCATGGATCTGTAGTACAAGGACGATCTGCAACATTAAATATAACTGTTACCTGTCGGCAGCACCATCACACGGGGGAAACTGAATGTATTACAGCAATATCACACGGAGGAAACTGGATGTATTACAGCAATATCACACGGGGGAACACTCGATGTATTACAGCACCATCACACGGGGGAACACTCGATGTATTTTTACAGCAATATCACACGGGGAACACTCGATGTATTACAGCAATATCACACGGGGGAACACTCGATGTATTACAGCAATATCACACGGGGAACACTGGAGGTATAACATCAATATCACACGGGGAAACTGGATGTATTACAGCAATATCACACGGGGAACACTGGAGGTATAACATAAATATCAAACGGGGGAACAGTGGATGTATTACACCAATATCACACGTGTGAAGCTGGATGTATTGCAGCCATATCACACGGGGGAAACTGGATGTATTACAGCCATATCACACGGGTGAAGCTGGATGTATTTCAGCAATATCACACGGGTGAAAACTGGATGTATGACAGCAATATCACACGGGGAAAACTGGATGTATTACAGCAATATCACACGGGGGAACACTCGATGTATTACAGCAATATCACACGGAGGAAACTGGATGTATTACAGCAATATCACATGGAGGAAACTGGATGTATTACAGCAATATCACACGGAGGAAACTGGATGTATTACAGCAATATCACACGGAGGAAACTGGATGTATTACAGCAATATCACACGGAGGAAACTGGATGTATTACAGCAATATCACACGGAGGAAACTGGATGTATTACAGCAATATCACATGGAGGAAACTGGATGTATTACAGCAATATCACATGGAGGAAACTGGATGTATTACAGCAATATCACACGGGGGAAACTGGATGTATTACAGCAATATCACACGGAGGAAACTGGATGTATTACAGCAATATCACACGGAGGAAACTGGATGTATTACAGCAATATCACACGGAGGAAACTGGATGTATTACAGCAATATCACATGGAGGAAACTGGATGTATTACAGCAATAACACACGGAGGAAACTGGATGTATTACAACAATATCACACGGAGGAAACTGGATGTATTACAGCAATATCACACGGAGGAAACTGGATGTATTACAGCAATATCACACGGAGGAAACTGGATGTATTAAAGCAATATCACACTGAGGAAACTGGATGTATTACAGCAATATCACACGGAGGAAACTGGATGTATTACAGCAATACAGACGGTGGAACAGTGGAGGCTTTTCAGTGAGCAGTGGCTGTTTGTATGAGTGAGTGTGTTGATGATGTTATATATGTGAGTGAAGGGTGGTGGGAGTTCTGATTCTATGGATAAGTGTGTGTCAAAGAATGCGATGGTTGGGTAAGTGGATGATTATATTCAGCTGTGCAGGAATATGACAGCACGGTCGTTAAGTACGGAGTATCCCTTCTTTGTGTCTCTAAAGCCGTGTTAATGTCATCCATTGTCTCTGTTGTGACCAGTCTCCCCCAAACAGACTAATTACAGACATTATACCACGTCATAGACAAAGATTTGATAATGTCTATCAATTAAAACCGTTGTTAGCGTCATCGCGCATAAAGTTCATCCTTATCAACATGTTGGAAATTGCATTTCAAAGGGCCATATATTCTACACGCAGTCCATTGTGTTAGACATGCATGTATACCCTCCACAATGGACATGTATACATGCACGCACGCACGCACGCACGCACGCACGCACATAAACACCAACATCAACTGTGAGAACTTGTGTGTTGAAAAAATCGTTTAACTGTTTTAGATGTAGTGTATCAGCCTTTAGAAACTTTAAATTTATAGAAAGACTGATACATTGAAAATCATTGTAAGCACTGACATATTGACCATGATATGTTTCATCACACAAAACATTTCTCTTTTTTAACTTCATGTTTTCCATTGCTGATTATATATGTGAATACAAACAGACTTGCTTTTTATAAGCTATATTGATTTTGGTTAAATTAAATTCATATATTCCGCATAATGGTGCAGGACGTCAGACATAGTCAGCGAGAATGCAGATACAGTAAACTACGGTTATAACGAACTCAAAGGGACCAGTAATATTAGTTCGTAATGACCGTAGTTCGTTATAAGCATATACAAAGCATATATACATCAAATGTCCGGGACTAAAAAAAAGTTCGTTATATCCGTCAGTTCGTTATAAGCGTGTTCGTTATAAACGTAGCTTACTATACCGTAATTATGACTTCCTAGTGTCGATTCACAAAGCCATTTTAGTGCTACGACTGAACCAGCATTTGATCCGAGAATTATAGTTATCTTATTTAAAAATATATGTCTACAAAAAAATAAAATCCAAATGGATTCCAGAACAATTCTTAATTTCAGAGTTGAGCCAGTCTAGACTTGCCAAATCATTCTATGCATGAGTTGGATTTATTTTTAAGTGTATTTTCGAGGGTCTGAAGACTTCGCTACGACGCTGGTAATTAAGTCTATGTTAGTATGTGAGTTGGACGATCGCTTTGTGAACGGGCACCTGAACCCGCCACTGTTTGTACAACACATGCATATCCCAGTGATGGCTTGCCAACTGCGTTCCCCGTTCAGTGCACGACTCGGGTCATATGTCAGCTGGATGTAACTGTAGTTATTCACCAACATGCAGATTAAATTTTATCATCCACGTTTCAAACAGATGGGTCGGGACGGAGATACTGGAGGAAAGGCGTACACATACCGTCTCACGAATAACGTGGTAATATTGTCTAGAGCTATACACCTACCCCACGACAATACGAATAACCTGATGGTATTGTCTACAAATGCATAGCATAAACTACACACTTACTCCACGATGATACGAATAAGATGGTAATATTGTCTACAGCTGCACATCTACCCCACGACATTACGAATAATGCGATGGCATTGTCTACAAATGCATAGCATAAACTACACACTTACACAACGATAATACGAATAACATGGTAATATTGTCTAGAGCTGCACACCTACCCCACGACAATATGAATAGCCTAATGGCATTGTCTACAAATGCATAGCATAAACTACACACTTACTCCACGATAATACGAATAACATGGTAATATTGTCTAGAGCTATACATCTATACCCCACGACAATATGAATAACATGGTAATATTGTCTAGAGCTATACATCTATACCCCACGACAATATGAATAACATGGTAATATTGTCTAGAGTAAATAAAAACTACACTTTACCCCACAACATTACGAATAGCCTGATGGCATTGTCTAGAGCTACATGGTATAAACTACACACTTCTATAAATATATCTTAAGTACTCCACGCGATAATATGAATAACATGGTAATATTGTCAAGAGTAAATAAAAACTACACTTTACCCCACAACATTACGAATAGCCTGATGGCATTGTCTAGAGCTACATGGTATAAACTACACACTTCTATAAATATATCTTAAGTACTCCACGCGATAATATGAATAACATGGTAATATTGTCAAGAGTAAATAAAAACTACACTTTACCCCACAACATTACGAATAGCCTGATGGCATTGTCTAGAGCTACATGGTATAAACTACACACTTCTATAAATATATCTTAAGTACTCCACGCGATAATATGAATAACATGGTAATATTGTCAAGAGTAAATGAAAACTACACTTTACCCCACAACATTACGAATAGCCTGATGGCATTGTCTAGAGCTACATGGTATAAACTACACACTTCTATAAATATATCTTAAGTACTCCACGCGATAATATGAATAACATGGTAATATTGTCAAGAGTAAATGAAAACTACACTTTACCCCACAACATTACGAATAATCTGATGGTATTGTCTAGAGCTACATGGTATAAACTACACACTTCTATAAATATATCTTAAGTACTCCACGCGATAATATGAATAACATTGTAATATTGTCAAGAATAAATAAAAACTACACTTTACCCCACAACATTACGAATAATCTGATGGCATTGTCTAGAGCTACATGGTATAAACTACACACTTCTATAAATATATCTTAAGTACTCCACGCGATAATATAAATAACATGGTAAAATTGTCAAGAGTTAAATAGCAAAAACTACACCTTACCCACAACATTACGAATAACCTGACGGTATTGTCTAGAGCTACATGGTATAAACTACACACTTCAATAAATATATCTTAAGTACTCCACGCGATAATATAAATAACATGGTAAAATTGTCAAGAGTTAAATAGCAAAAACTACACCTTACCCACAACATTACGAATAACCTGACGGTATTGTCTAGAGCTACATGGTATAAACTACACACTTCTATAAATATATCTTAAGTACTCCACGCGATAATATAAATAACATGGTACAATTGTCAAGAGTTAAATAGCAAAAACTACACCTTACCCACAACATTACGAATAACCTGACGGTATTGTCTAGAGCTACATGGTATAAACTACACACTTCTATAAATATATCTTAAGTACTCCACGCGATAATATAAATAACATGGTACAATTGTCAAGAGTTAAATAGCAAAAACTACACCTTACCCACAACATTACGAATGACCTGACGGTATTGTCTAGAGCTACATGGTATAAACTACACACTTCTATAAATATATCTTAAGTACTCCACGCGATAATATAAATAACATGGTACAATTGTCAAGAGTTAAATAGCAAAAACTACACCTTACCCACAACATTACGAATAACCTGACGGTATTGTCTAGAGCTACATGGTATAAACTACACACTTCTATAAATATATCTTAAGTACTCCACGCGATAATATAAATAACATGGTACAATTGTCAAGAGTTAAATAGCAAAAACTACACCTTACCCACAACATTACGAATAACCTGACGGTATTGTCTAGAGCTACATGGTATAAACTACACACTTCTATAAATATATCTTAAGTACTCCACGCGATAATATGAATAACATGGTA